ACACACCAGTGTAAGTGGGTTTATATGAACCTTGACAAGGAATGGGTGTAGAAATTATTCAGCTGAAACTTTGTATGAATCATCCCAATCTTAGTGTATCAACAGGAACAGGTGTACTTGTAGCGGACCTACCTTATACGTTCCATATTTTGCGATGTTATAAATTTTGAATGATGACATGTATTGGCTGAATAAACAGAACCTTTCCAGGAACATTTATTGTTTTACCCGCTTTATTAGAATTGATTTGGTATAGGAATTAGGTTTATCAGGGTTACATTTTTTTATCATTAGTATTTCATGTTCGTGTGCGTTAAAAGAAAAACTTATGATGGAAGAAAACTTGCCGAAAGACAAGAATACAGGTCCATCTTGTTTTAGACTATGCTAATTAAAAGCGTTCTCAAAAAAGATTTTTATAAAATTGACTTGTGAAAAGAGTACGGACAGATGCATGGGAACAGAACACCACCACTAAATATTGCTCATAATATCAATCACCGGCTTATCTGGTCCTTGATTATTTAGAGACATCCCTAATACAGCTTTTATAATGACTGTGGAACTTGTTGGACTATAAAAAACGTTTGTTTTTTATTTGCATGCCATCACAATCTTATGGCAAGTGAACAGCGAAAACATGCCACGACTGACGGAAGTCTAACGCAACAACGCCGTTAGAAGAATTATCTTCAGTTGTAGCCAGGTATTTCCACGTAGCACCAAGCACCATTACAAGATCAGATCCGGTCGACCACGTATCACTACTACAACACAGGACAGATTCATACGGCCACGCCACGTATGTGAAAGAACCACAGCGGCCACCTCTTCAACTACGGCAATACCAGAATTACGTAGGATATCAGCCCAGAGAGTGAGGAACCGTTTACGCGTTGAAGGTATTCGCGCTAGACGACCAGTTGTGTCATTTTGACGCGCCTGCATACGTCGGCAGCGACTCCAGTGGTGTCTTGTTCACAGAGTATGGCCACAACTGCGACCGAGACAAGTTTGGTCCTGTGACGAGTCACGTTTTATGCTTCGCTGTGCAGATGGTCGCGGAGGACGTTATGCAGGGAACTGCATAAAGGAAGTGGACAGATTTGGTGGTGGTAGTGTGATGATGTGGGCAGAAATCTCCAACACTGGTAGAAAAGACTTGGTGCAAGTTCTGGGAAATTTAACGTCACGGAGTCACACGGCCACCCGTCCTTCCAATTATGCAACAAGCGAACGTCATTTTCCAACGAGACAACGCCTGACATCACAAGGTAAGAATGACGACAGCCTTTTACAGGAATCACAACATCCAGGTTCTGCCATGGTCCTCCAGGTCTCCAGATTTGAACCTAATCGAACATTTACGGGATGCACTGGATCAACGACTGAGAGCAAGTCAACAACAACCACAGAACCTCCGACAGTTGGCACAAGCACTGCAGGTAGAATGAATGAAAACTCCCAAGGTCACAATTCGGGATCTGATAGCTTATATGGGACGACGTTGCCAGACATTTTTGGACTGTAATGGTGGTCAATACACGATATCGAGAACAGATGACCTTCACCTTGAAAACCTACTGTTCCATGTCTGTCATATGGAACTTGGGTCAATGACAATGTGTGCTAATTTTGAACAATCAATTATGATCTGTTGATTATTTATGATATACAAAATTAACATCTTAACCGTTTCTTTTATTTTGCAGAGTATATCTTCTGATCAATTTGGTATTGGCAAATGGAAATAATATGATCATATCTGCTGGGGATTGGGCCCTTATTGGATCTACTGGTTGGTGTGGTGAGATGGTGGCGCACTAGGTCATTAAAGAGTAGGGATCAAATTCGAAATATGCATTTGACATCCAACGTCACTAATACGGAAGAGAATATATGGATGTCATCTTCTTTATTATGTGGAACACGACGTTTCGAAGTATGTGCTTACTCCTTGATCATCCACCTGATGAAGGAGTAAGCATATACTCCGAAACGTTGTGTTCCTCATATTAAAGAAGTTGACAGCCATATATTCTCTTCCTTTTGTGTATCGGAGCACGGTTGGCCCAGTCGTATAAGGCGCCGCGATTCGCTTGCAGAGTTGCGTCCCTTGGGCACGCCAGAAACCTATAATTGTGGGTTCGAATCCCGGTTCGCCCCGATTATGTTTCTAGGTTTGTCAGCACCATACCCGTGCTCGTGGGTTTCACCGAAGTGGTAAACGTCTGAGACCTGCATCAACTCGGGCTTTCCTCCCACATTAAGCTGACACGCCGCGATATAACTGTAATACTGTTAAAAGTGGCGTTAAATCCAACTCACTGACTCCTTTTGCGTATCACTTCTAAATGCCTTTCAAAGACCTAACGTCACTAATTAACATTGGGTAAAACCAACTCTGTTGGCCAGACGAATTCTTCGATGCATGCTTCTGATAAGTCGACCAATGTCGACTTTTTTATGTTGTTCCATTCATCAGTGAGAACAACACCGATTTCATTTAGAGTGGTGTGTGGATTTTGACGTTGACGTACACGTCTGCCAATGACGTCCCGATAGTATTGACCTGAAACTTTGCCATGTTCTTTATGCAGCGCAGTTCATGTGATACCCCCCTATACCATTATGGACCCACCCGCAAAACAATTATGTTGTAGGACGTTAACGTCCATAAATTAGGACGTCTTCAAACTCGATTCCTTCGGTCATGAAAAGTCAAGAGTGAACCTCGTTTCGTCAGAAAACATGACATTAACCCAACGTCAATTATTCCACTGCTGGCATTCCCTGCACCAGTGACGTCTGAGATTCAAATGACCTGAAGTAAGTTGTGGTATGGCACGTGGAAGTTGTGCACGCAAATGCCATCTATGCAGGCGATTTCGCACCGTCTGGGCATTTACTCTTTCGCCAGTTGCCTGTTCAACCGTTCCCTTATCTGACTGGCAACCAACCGACTTCTTAATGCCATCATACTGACTAATCTGTCCTGGGATGGAGTTGTCGCCCTTGGCCGTCCAGAGCGGTGATGATCATCAACGTTATGTTATTTGTTGGTATCAGGCTAAATATTCTACTAATGAAAGATTGAGAAAAAATTATTTAAAAACTTTTTATTTTTGTTTCATTATCGTTTTACAGTTACGCATATTACATGTATAGTAATTGTACTTTAAGAGAAGAGTAAATGACAGCTTGATCAGAACCTGTTGAAATATCCCAAATCATTATTAACATTTGCAAAATATTTAGTTAGTGAATAGTATTAATTAAGCTCCCATTTGATATCCTGGACAGTTGGCATTTTGTGTTCAATTCTTTTGTCTAATGTGGGTTTTTTCAGCACCAAGATTATGGTCTTTACAGGATTATTGTTTTGTAAGGTATACCCGAGTAAAACGTTTTCTTTTGAAATATGAATGTTTATTTTTGCCTTTATCGCGAATCCAGTTTTCCATATTGGAACAGATGGGGCGTACCTTTTGACATTGCCCAAAAAGTTGTAAAATCGTTTCTTTTATCATTTGAGCAACAACTGCACAAATTCACTGTCCAGGTATCCAAATTAACAAAGTAGCGAATTTGTAGGTGGAATAATGTAACATTTGGTATTGAAACCACTGAAATGTATATGATCCTGTACATCTAAACGGTATAAGATTATGTTTACGATCTTCCCAACTTTGAAATTGTTGATTCTTGATAATGTGTTTGTCCATAAGTATTTTATAGAAATATTTAGAACCTTTCCTGGTGAAATAAATTAAATGGAAAAATTGGATAACTAAGTTTCTTCAGCTTCTGTAGTATTGCTTTTTAGACTAGTAAGACTTAGATAATTAAGAAAATTAATTATAAGGTTGAATTTCTCCGTGAATTGTACAAATGAGAGAAAGTGTCCCTTTTTCGTCAATAAAATCGTTAATAAATCTGATGCCTTTTGAAGACCATGATTGGTAGACAACCCTTTCCTTCCCCCGTGTATGGTATCATTTAACCAGACATTTTGTGAAAGAATACCAACGGCAGAAATATTATTTTCTAGACCGTCGACAAAAGCCTAACAAGACATCAGTAAATCGTCATAGAACTTATTGTTTACTCTCGATAATATGTATGGCTTTTGCTTCTGGCTATTGATCTCGAACACATTTTGACCCCTTATTATGGGTATCTAAGAATACACAACTCCATTTAGAAATGGTTGAAAAGGCTCGTCTTATCATCGAAATCTTTTGGGATTATATAACGTATCTATTATTTTAGGGCATTTACTTCCTCTATCGTTAGTATTACATATTATTTGTGATCTTTTTATTTTGAGAAACATGCTGCGTCTGGTCAAGAAAATTCTGACGTGTACCCACATGCAACATGCTTATGGCACGTCAATGCTCAGCACGTTGCAAACATCGCATGATCAATGCTGCTACTTCCTTAATGTGTTGAATAAAGTGTCTGAGCATTTACTTCCAAGAAAACAATATGCGTCTGCTCACAACTGAGTCTCAGTGACAATGGTACATCTGGCGTACCACCCCTTGCACGTGCTGTTTGAGGTCAAATGCTTCATAACTGTCACATTATGTTTTCAGAGCTTGATTTCATTGGAAATGAACTTGCCACATAAATCACCTACTTTCATTGCCAGACGTTAGTGTATTTTCCTGAAGTTTCACCTCAAAACAAAACATCCCCTACTGTTTTTGAATACTATATGTCTCATGCAGATAAGCCAACAATTTCAGACCAGGAGCTTTCTGGTGCTTTTGTTGCCGAACAGGTTGTTGATTTATTTAGCAGAAAGCAGAGGTGACGATTTTGTAATCCTTTCAGGAGCAGGCAGTGATGGAGGCTCATCGAGGTCAATAGGGTGACACAAACTCCACCAGCTCTTAAATGGGTCTGAACATGACAAAGCTATAGCAAGGCATTTAACTGTCACAACACATTTTCCGTAAGGTCACACAGCATGACAAAACAAACAAACAAACGTGTATAAATTGATTTATTTACATTCTACATACAAGTAAAAATAGTTCATTGTAATATAGTTTTCTTATTTTACTGTTAAATTCATCCTTTTTTTCACAGAAGTTTAAATAAATCTTGTACACATAAATATATCATACATTTTTTTTCAATATTATTGTTTTATGGGTGCAAAAAAGCAAAGCACTGACAAAAATAAATAACATAGTGATAGAGATGAGCATGAGAGCTGGAGACACAGGAGTGAGGGGAACAAGATGCATATTGCTTGTGTTCAGTATATCCAGACTTGTTCAGTATATCCAGACTTGTTCAGTCACACACAATCACACCTGAACTGTTCATCATCAACAGAAAGTGATTATTAATTTTGGCTTTTCATTTAAAGTTCATTTGAATCAAATGGGAAACTCATAACATTCATATGATATGCCCAAATCCAGAGTTGATCTGATCATCACTGTCACAATGTGTCATCTGATTGTGTCTCATGCAGCTTGACAAAGGATGGTTCATTGATTTATCAGTCACAAGTCTGTGTTGGCCAGATGTGGATTATTTACATGCTACCATGATATAGCACTAATATTGCTGACTGCAGCATGAAACAATATTCACTCAGTCCCACAGATCTTAAATGTAATGTAGTCATACGTTTTCCACCAAGGTAAAAGAAACTCAAGGTGTGATGTTCCTTATGTGTACATTTATAAAACAACCCTTAAAAAGAATGAACATGAAAGTTGGCAAGACGATACTCTCTATGGTTGGTCTAGACATTTAAATTTTTGCCATTTGTGGCCTATGCTTCTCTTGACCTCTGAAACATGCACTAGGAATAAAGTCTCTGGCAAGCTGCGGATGCGGACCCAGACCGACAGTCCCATGAGGTGGGAGATCGAACACCTCCCACCTTGTGCCTTTACACAGGATGTCCTTGATTGACTAGCTCACTGTGAAAGTTGAAGGTAACAAAAGAGTGCAAGTATCCACAGATATACTCTTGAGCATCTTCTTCAGAGGTATCTTCAAAAGACTTCAGTAACGTTGAAATTACAAGAGCAGATAGCAGTAAGTATTGTCTAGGCAGATATAGATTGGAAACTCATTAGTTCTTTACAGAAAACGCCATGGTGTTTCAGAAAATGACATGGCTTGGTTATTCATCATTACCCACACTAACATATCTATATAGACACACAAGGCTCATATAGTCATCTCCTCCACACACAAGGTATGTAATAACAGAAACAGTAAGAGACATACCAAGCATGACATACCTGTAACAGTAATTGTTCAATGGCTCAACATGTTGTAGTATTTGTTCACTGTATCTGGTGCAGAAGAAAACGTAACATTTCTTAATTTACATATGTAACATTTCCAGGGCTGTAAGAATTCGCTCACACTGTTCCATATGGATCTATATCTCAATTTAACACTCCTTTTCTATCATAAAAAAACAACTACATCTATCATTATGTATCAATTCATGACAGGCTTACCCTTTTTGCAAACAACAAGTGTCATCATGGATTTTCAGTGATCCATACATGTACAAATTCAATTTTACTGCCTACCCTTTCCAGAGAACAATATTTATGTGACTTAGGAGAAATACCTTTTCTTTTCTTTCACGCTATGATAGTTTTAAAAAATGCAATAGATTAACTGATAAATTTAAAGGTGCAAATTTCGGATTGCAAGTTATCCATAAACATACAAAAAAAAGCAAAAAATATTCTAAGATCCTTGGACTGCAGGAGGAGTTAATTAAACATATTTGACATATGACATAGTGTAACGTATAACTTGGACAAATACAAGAACTAATTAATATTTTTTCATATGGTGGTAATTTCAGGAGGAGATTACCGTTTTCAAAATATCTGCAGAACTCATTTAAAACGAACCAAGTTCATATATTCTATTTTATCTTTGGTATAACTTCAAATTTGACATTAATCATTTGGTTTTGGCATTGCATCATCTAGACATGCTAGGTGGCATTTTGCAGGGAAAATGCCAAGATCATAGCTTGGCAAGAAAAAGAATTTAACATTGATACACTCAATTATATCTTATCTAAGTGAAACGACACTTTTTTCTCTGAGCATAGCACTAATCACAACTAGGAAAACACAGTGTGTCATTTGTCTTTGACGAATGCTTGATAAGTTAATCACCTTTGAAAACAAAGTCTAAAAATTACAGATTAAACAACAGATAAATATGAGAATATCAATAAAAGTTTTCTGTGCACTTTTAAAATAACAAAACAATATTACTCCAGTAGATTAAAAGGAATGACGTTTGATATTTGAAACAAATCAAAAGAATATTTACAATTAATATCAATGTCTGGTGCAATTTGCATGACTGGAATAAATGTTATTGCAACAAAACTGTATCTAGTGCTGCACAGTACAGGGAGTTAACCAACACCAGGTCAAGGTAGCTTCCCTGCATCAGCACAAGTTCACTGTCAATAATACATGAGCTTTAGAAGTTTGTTACATTTTCAACCAGATGCAAAACCGGCATGCTGTGTGATGCTCTTGATGTAAAAAAGGTACTTACCCCAAAATGTCATACATTTATATTGATTCATTAATTTTCAAAGGTATTCCAGCTTAAGTTTAAAATTTCAATAAACCTAAAAGAACCAATCGTTTTGAGCATCTTGTGAAATTAGTTCAAATCTGCTGAAAATGTAATGAGAATAATCATCTTGCATAAAATCCTTGCCAATCCAGTAGCAAGTGTACCTCACATGTTCAACATATATCTATCTTGCCTACATGTCTAGCTGCCCTTATCACAATATCATAACATAACATAAGTGTCACATCGGAAATAAAGATCGATGGGAGACCGAATATGTGGATGCTTTTGTGAAAATGACAACACTCATATTTTCATGACATACTTGTCAATAACTGTGAAACAACTTGAAGAAAAGTGCTTTGTTAGTGACAATTTAAAAGAAGAAGATTAAATTCAACTGCTTTGTGCTTAAAATATAAATAACAAAACACCACTTTTGAAAAAATATGATAAAAAGTTTCTCTTCATGAGAGATTGGAGATGATCATTTCTGTGCTTGACCTACGTCATGTGGTATGAACTGTTGTTATTTTTATTGGATATCAAAATAATTTTGTCTTTAGAGTCACAGCAGATTTTTGGAATGCTGAAATGCTGAATCTATGAATAGGTATCATTACAATAGAACTTCAGCAATAGGTCTTGTTAACAAATCTGATAAACCCATGACTCAACAGAAGTTCAGGACCACTCGATTTTTGAGTTTGTATACATCACACAAGAGTAATCCACATACATACTGTATCACAAGGTATTATAAAACACATAACCCGATTTAATCATTTCTGAGACCATGAACGCAGAAGTGTGCTTTGTGAAACACTTTGGGGTGTAAAACACCAAAGGCACACAAAGAGTATGCTCCGGTATTTCCTTCTGCAACTAACCTCACATCATAGAGATCCTATCTTACCCTCTATAGACAAAGGATAACATGTGTACTTGCCCATCAAACACACAATATACACAAAATCATAAAGTGAAAATTCAAAATCTTTCCTCATAACAGAAATATTTGAGAAAACTAGCATGGAACACATTTCCTTGTAGGACATGAAACACAAACATCAAACACTTCATTCCCTTTGAGAATGATTCTCAAATGGATCTAGCACTAGCCTCAAGAGATGTGTTCCACAAACAAAATCTAAGCACTCTATCTTCACACATTGTAATGCAATGTCAGAGTATACCTCTAGTGCAACCGTTGCTTCGTAGACTGTGGCTGGTCTAGGCCATTATCACAGTGACAGTGTACAGTGACAGGTGTGTTGAGACAACAACTACAGGGACAGTATTGCTTGAGAAGGTTTGTCACATCACAGACAGTGGATTGTGAGGGGTCCTCACAGACAGTGGATTGGGTGACACAGTACATGAATCCAGTGGTTGAAACAACTCTTGCATACAGTCAATTAGGCAGCTCACACAGTCCTTCCATCATTCAAAAGCGCATTAATCTGTACTGCACATTAATCTGAACTGCACATTAATTTGGAACTGCATATCAATTGCATAAACCAAATTTCACATTTTCTAAACCATGCAAAATCAACTACTTATCCCTTGCCATTTATTTTTTGGCATTTTAGAAAGATATGGAAAGGCTGTAATCCTTAAATACTCCAGTGACAATTCTTACTGAACAGTGAAATCTGGAATGTACATTAACAATTTAAGAATGATATTATCCATGATGTCATAGTTTCAAGAAATGATGTGCTTATACATAACCAAATGATTCAGGAATAGACTAAACACAACGGAAAGTAACCAGAAAGTAACCAACAAGAAACCAGAATCCCATAACTTTAAACTTGAATGTGAATGTTGAATAACGGCATGCTTCCCGATCTGTGTGCATATTTCATTAATGGCGACACAAACATCTCACATTGGGAGGTGAGACCTTTAGCTTCTAAAACATATGAGTTTACCCTGACACAAGTTCAATTTACCATCTAGTGAGTAGGTGGGTGTATTGTTAAATCATTGGAACAATTTATCCTGAACACAAATTTTGTTGAATGAACCACTTGCTTACCCAGACAGTACTTATCTAGATCTGATCATTAAGCCCAAATCTACCATTATCAATGACATTGGGACTCATTTTGTCTATGCATGATGCATGGAAGTATCAAATACACTATGAAGGATACAAACTATCTGAAACTATATTGTGTCACCGGGCTGCCGAAAACAAAGTTAGGCATTGGACAATGACCAGATTTCAATTCTATCTTCAATAATGATAAAACTATAAAGGCAAGAACAAATACAATGAATACTGTTTACATGTGCTAATACTTGTAAAAAGTTACAAGTTATCTGAACCTACAATGACGTTACCTCTGCTTCAAAACATTGCATAGACATTACTTGTTTACCCTAGCTATAGTAATGTTTTGACAGAATAATATCATGTTACTTTCTTTCTGCAAACTTCCTTTGGAAATAACTAGAATCTAGGAACTACAATGTCTTTAGTTTTGTCTCTGTCAGTTCTCCCTCTTGACAAAAGATTTGGGTGAAAATTGTACAAAATCAAAACTTTCCTCTAACATAATAATTTGAATGGTCTCTGGTACATATTACATTCTTCGAAACTAAAGTTATTAAAATCTTGTTTATTTTGCAATACTAAAACTAAATGAATAGTTTTAAAAAACGTTCTGCACAAGAATCCAATATTCAAAAACAAAAGCACACTCTCAAAGCTGCACACCAATATACCCTAAAGCTTACAGGGAGCAAGAAGCTTGGCCACAAACAAAAGAAAATGTCTCTAATATTCCACTGTACCCAATCTGTTCTTCCAAGTGCATTGCAGCTGATTGCATGATGTGAGATATATATAAACCAACAACGGTAACAGTTGCCTACTTCAGCTATAGACTATGATGAGCAGGTGTCAGTCAACGGGAGGGAGGTCCACTAGGTTGATGATTATCACAACCACCGGCAAGGCAGGCAGAGTAATTGTGGTCACTGTCAGACAGCATCAACCTGATCTAACTAGCACTAGTTGTTGAATGTTGTTGAGTGATTTGCCATGGTCACACAGCATCAGTCTACCCTTTGCACAGTAACCTGGGTTCATCATGATCACAGATATAGAGGACCCTGAACAGCCTTGACCTAAATGATCTCATCAGGCTGATAATCCATGGAGTACGTAATGGTTCTCATTCAGCTGTAATCCATACTCTTCAGGAACATTACCTTCTTTGCAGAAACCTTTGAATTATCAGGTCTAGCTTTGTCCACAGTAGGGTCAGTTCATCAATCAAGATCAAGTACACAATATTTCCTAAGTGATCGTGATGTCAACAATGTGGAGGTGGCTGATCACTCTCCTGACTGCTGCAGGATGAGATCTTGATTTCCACTCCACCAAAGATGATCTTCTGTTCTTCCTCCTCCTCCTCATCTTCCTCGACCTCATCCTCCCGAGGAACGTTTTTCACATCCATTCCCAGCTCATTAACAACGAGCTTGGCGATGTCGCTGATGCTGTCACTCTCATCCATGGATATCTGTCGGAGTCTGTTCCGGATCACCTGCTCCATCTTGCGATGTTCGATCTCCTCGGCCTTCCGGAGAAGTTCCTTCTCACTCTTGTATGCTGGTGTCTCCAGAGGAGCAGATCCTGAAAAGCTGTCAGAGAAGAAAACGTTGCTTGATGTGGGACTTCGTTGTGGGCTCCTGTCTTTAATGCATGATGTATCGATGTCATCGGTGATTGAAGTGTACTCTGCATGTAGTGGGGTTAGGATTGATGATAAATCCCTGACAGCAGATTGAGGGATCACCTCTGGATCCGGGGTGGTGAATGACCCTGTGGTTTGGGTGATTGACTTTGAAGGAGACAGTGGCGTGACCTCTGGTGAGATCGGGGTGAAAGCATTATCAGTTTTACCAGTGAGTATAGACTTCCAATCAGTCTTTTTGGTTGCATTCAGATTAAGATTGGCTGGCTTGTCTGGCCCACCTTGTATTGTAGATGTGTTGGTCACTGCAGGGATTTTGGCTGTGGTGAACACAGCACTTGAGCCAGGGCTTAGTGTGATCTCTCCATGAGATTCAGTTGTTGAAGGTGCTTCTTGCAGATTGATGTTCTGTGCGCCAATGATTCGTAATTTGGATTCAGGACTCACCTTAGCCTTATTGACATTTATAGTAGATAGCTTAGGACCATGTCTTCTTTGTAGAAGTGGCACTTCAGAGTTACTGATGGGAGTACTTGTACTGTCTGGTGAGAGCAAAGGAGAAGGCGGTGACACTGTGGGAGAGTCTATGGTTACAACAGTCACAGGGGTAACTGGGTCATCAGTAACAGGGGAAGGAGGGATAACCAGTGGAGATGGGATAATTGCAGCGGGATTTCGAGCAATTGTAGCCTCACTTGGGGCAAGGGTTGCAGGGCTGGATGCAGTTGTCTCAGAGGTTGGATCTTCTGTAGGAACTGCAGAATTGGATTTGTTGAAGGTCTTAACATTGGAAATGTCAAAAGTTGAATCAGGTGATCGTAGAGTGGACTCTCCAGGAGTACCATCTTTCCGTGAATCCTGCCCATCAACACTTCCAGATTGTGTATCCACAGATGGTATGCTGGAGTAGGTCCCTCCACTCAATTGTCTACCTCGGCTGTAATTGGTGAATTTCTCCAACTGCTCATGATTCAGTGGCTTCTTTGAATGTATCAGTACAGGAGAAGGCTGGCTATGCATTAGAGTCTCTGGTGTTATTCTTCCGTGGGACAAGTCGGTGCTGGAGGCACGACCCCGATCATGGGTCATCAGGGGCTCCATGATGATTGCTGGAAGGTCCTGTTCTATGACGGAATCATGGCTGGAAATGGAAGGGTGGAGAAATCGGGTGGCTGGGAAAGAGCGATTCTCACCATGAGCAAGACATGACTGGATGTAGTTGAGAGCCTCTGCCGTCTGGTGGGCTATCTCTTCCAGCCGACCAAGACGATAGTCCACAGTCTGAAGAGAGAGCTTGATAGTATTCTCTTTCTGGTTCATGTCATCAACCCGCATGGACATATTTTCTACCCTGCAACAAGAAATATCATTATATGTACCCAGGGGTCCGGAAACCGTCATATGCGCCGGACATGTCCAATTGGGAATCTCAAATGTCCGTTTTAAAATATTGCTTACCGGACATTTTAAAAAGTATTGTCCGGACATTCTTAAATTTTGACTGGACATGATCAACAGTTAGGACTGAGCAGTTTCTGTCTGCAGTTGCAACACAATGAAGATTAACTACACTGACAAGCTTTGTTTGTTTTGATTGCTGTAAATACATCGTACCTACATGATAGTCCAATCGGTCAATCACTGTAATAGGCAATAAACTGAGTTGACACTGATTAATCGAGGATTAATTACTGAGAACATCTTGTTAATTTGAGTGAAAGGTGTTTACAACTGTACATTAATACCTTGCATCATCGATGTACCTCATTATCCTCACAATGCTATGATACGTAACCTCAGACAAGAAGCAAAAGCGTGACGACAGCCAGTCGACCGATGCAGATCAGTCGAGCGGATCTGCCAAACCCTCAAAGTCTGGACGATCATTTTGTAAGTCGTGGCTAACGACTTTCACTTGGTTGACACACAATGAGGATTTGCAGATTTTATTGTTTTCAGTAGCTAGTCGTATATTGAATCTTGATTGACCGCCATTTTGCTTTCTCGGACGATCGATATCCAATTTTTTTATGGTCAATAAATAAGTACAGATGAAAAAAGTATTCAAATAACTATTGCTATCAACGATATTTTAGTATTTGTGATTAAATTATCTGTCTTGTTTTTAAAAAGATCTTAAGTTTAAAAAAAAAAAATTCCCGTGAGGTCACGTGATAACCAAATATGGGATAATAGTCTCGATCCAAATGTTACAACGCGTACACTTGAGCAGACTCATGAATATAACTCATGAATATTAATTAGACCGTTCACTACGTTAACAGATCGTTATTATAACAGAAACAAACGTATGTTTTCCATGTAAATCTAAAATGATATTATTTGTTATTAATTGTCCGGTGAATTAAACAATTTAAATTGAAACAATTCATAATTCATCATATTATGAATACGTAAACTTGTAATGTGTGTGAAAAGTCGTACTAAAATACGCTATTTGAAGGGGGCGTGGCCTAAATGCAAATGTCCGATTGGGATTTTAAATTTTCCGGACCCCTGGACCTAAATGTCGACTTTTAACAAAAAAAATGAAAAAAAATGAAAGGATGCTACATTAATTAAAAACATAAAATCCAGAAGTTATTATTAAAATTTTCATAGAAAGTCTTTTTAAAACCCATCTAAAAACTAGACATCTGTACATTATGAAAGAAAGTCTATACAATATGCAAAAGAAAGTCTCACAATATAGCTGAAATAATCAAACTGAAATCTGCCATCAGTATTGATGGTATAGATGTGTGCAACTGACCTCTCATTGATTAGTCTGATCCGTTCTTCAGATGAGGACTGGAATTTGATTTCTTTGTCCCGGAAGTAGTCCTCCATACATTCCTCCTCAAAATCATGAAGTTTCTCTGTGTCCTCTTTAGACAGGAACAATTCTACAATTAAAAAACCCCATTGAAATATTTATCCATTTGTGGAAGAGACACAATTGGGAAAACATAGAACAGCAGAATAAGTTCACCTGCCACTAAAAAGAGGATATATTACATCATAAAAACATTCTTTACCTAGGTTCATATTGTCATGACTGTTACCTTGTTGGTGAGTGTTGACCATGGTCAACATTATTTCACATCAGTTTGAAAAGTAGAAACACAGGTCCTGGATAGACAACATAGTGGCTGATAGTGGCATGGGGATCAGTCCACTCATTCAGGGAATGACAATGAACTACATCAGTCAGCTGAACTCTTGGCATCTGTCCACCATAAAGATGACAACCACAGGGGGTTGCCCAATTCTATTATTTGTCAAATTTTGTATTCAGATATTTAAAAAAAATAAAAAAATGTAATCAATAAAACCCTCTAGGTCCACTTACTGAGTCCATTGTCGTAGTAGTCCCTCTTGCCCTTGCAGCGTCGTCTGAGATACTTAAAGGCCAGGTAAAGATGGCTGAAAATGATTAGAGGTGGTGGCAGGATGGGCCTCATCTCATACTCCTGAATCAGTTCATATCGCTGAAATTTCCAGATCTCCAGTGAGATGGCATTGTTCTTGTAGAATGTTGAACTGTGAACACAAAGCCATACCTGAGTGGTGGAGGAGCAACAAAAGAGGCTACCAAGGAGGGGGTGGCGGGGCCTGACTTGATTGACACATTATTTCACTCATCTACATAATTATCACAGCTCAGTCAGCTGATAGAGCCAATATAGTAGGGTTCAGGGTAGGACCAAAATACAAGAGAGGAGGAGGTGGAGGTGGAGGTGAAGGTGAAGGTGGAGGCGGAGGGACCTATGGACATGTTGTAAGTGACAGAGCAGTGCTAAGTAGATTTGGAGAAGAAGAGACTCAGTGCTAATGGATAGACAAAGACCTATAACATATAACCTCATGATGTCAAGGGGAGATAATTAAGTAAATATTCTGTAAATTAAGTAAATAAATTCACTAGCTAAGATACCCAGGTACTCTCCCAATGTCAGTCAACACATTGGGAAGTACCAAACCAAAGGCACCGAGATCATTAGGGAGTCGGACAACTTGGTACATGGGATGCAAGTGTGATATTTCAAAAGCGAGGTCTGCATATTTGCCATTTTTCTCCTGAATATGGTCAATCACATTAGTGTCAAAAGGGACAGAAAATTCAACAATATATGATATCATTGGATTTATCAAAAAGGACAAGATCAGGTTTGTTGGCGTGGATACGTCTGAGGCTGTATTCCAAAGAATTTTGTATTTATCATTTTCCATGACATCCTCTACATTTTCTGGGTCGTACCATGGATGGACCTCTGCGTCAAAACTACAAGCATTGCGAAGACGGTAATAAAATGATCCAGCCAAAGTTGGTTGGTTGGTTGGTTTGTTGTTTAACGCCACACTCAGCAATATTCCAGTGGCATTAAACAACAAACCAACCAACTAACCAACCCAGCTTTGGCACAAACAAAGCATCTTAAGCGACATGATGGAGGGGCTCGATACCTTATTACCGTCTTCGCAATGCTTGTGGTTTGGGGCATCCACTGAACAATGTGTTGGACAGTCTCATTAAATTCATTATATAATCTACATTTCATATTTACATTTTGATGCAAAATCACACATTGACAGTTTCAAGTGGGAAGGGACAGGTCCTGAGCAGCAAACAGAAAGCCTTCTGTTTCACTTTTCAGGCCAGACGACTTCATCCAAGCAAAGGACTCTGCAGGATTGCTGACTTTCTCAACACACTGCACATAAACTTGATGCAGTGGTCGTTCAGATAGCCTCTCCTTGAAATACTGAGTCTGGGCGGATTTGATATGGCACTTTGCTTGGTTGACACTCATTTCTGTACTGTCCAGATTAAAGGAACCATCAACATTGACATTGATATTATGTCCCACATCCTTGGCTCGTTTAAGAAAACTGTGGAATGCCTTGTTTTCATCATGAGTCTTGACATGCTTCACAAGGGGATCATCAGACAAATAGATGTGTGCAAAAGTGCACAAAACAATTCTTCTTCTTCTTCTTCTTCTTATTATTATTATGGGCTTATCAGTATAATCTGGACATAGACATCATATCAAGAAGAGTTTCTGAGATAAATTGAGCATAGACCATCCACCTTCACCAACAACTGTAGTTGTTTTTGTTAGCTGTGCTACATCGTACTCCTCACAGGGAAGATGACAGAAACAGATGGATTTATTGCTGGGAGCCAGTCAGTGGGAGCAATGGTATCACAAGCTGTAAACTATGCCACCGTGTTTCCATTCACAATCATATCAAACATCCCAAAGAACATCAAAAGTCAAAATTGACATGAGAAAAAATGTCTTCAAAGACTGCTCTATTCTTGGCTGACAAAAACACAAGCGATTACGTGACTAGATGAGAGAAATGTTCCACCTGGGCTGATAAGGCGTATCTGGGTGGTGGTAATTAATGTCAGAGTTGGTGCAGAGATATATAACGCCCTGCTCTCATATTGATGCAATCAATAAACAATATAGGACTTGGTTAAAATTGGGATTTACGTGACACACAAGCAGGAATTATATTCACATGCATTGTCCAACATCAGTGGTGGTATGTTTCAATCTGCATTTATCAAAATCAAATACCAAATTGCTATAAAACAGACACATGGCAAGCATTTGTATTACCAAGAACAAGTTTAGGTGGCAACATTTACCTGACATAGTTTCTTGGGGTAATCTACCTCTGTCGCTCCCATAAAGGTGAAGTCAGGTGAAATGTGGTTTAATGTCATCAAGTTCAAGATTATTCACATGTATACCGACATGCATACACGTTATGTGTGGTGCTTGTTTCACAGAGCTAGCCCACTGGGATACTGTGCCCCAGTCTAACACGGACACCCACTCAGACACATATACTCTGAGCCGACCTTGTTTTATCCCCTTAATGCAGGGTGCCATGTATGATGTGGCTGAGGTTCAAACCACTAACTTTCCGCATTGTGGTCAGATGCTCTATCAACTGGGCCACAGAGGCGGTCACCCTCCCACAAAACAATTGGCTGATGATCACTGCTACAAGTGTATAACAACAAAATCAGTGACATCATTGTGAAGAGGTTGTCATTTTTTTGCGAGTTAATATTTCCTCCACTATTATGACAACTCTAACTTTGCAACATTTCTGATTTTTAATCTCTGCAAAAGTCAGTTCATACCTCCTGTGAATTGAAAATCTATTTAACTGAAAGAACATTATTAGCATATATATTACCGACAAAAATTAAGGGAACTGATGCAGTGATAGTGAAGGTGTAATGAAAATAAACGTCTGTAAAATTAATTTTTGGTGTGTGTGTCCACCATGTTGGGTGATACATGCACTGAAACAGCAGTACTTTTCAATGCTTTCTCCTAAAACAAACTAAACACTTCATTACACTGCCATTTACATCGGAAAACTAGGACGCTTAGACCCCCTTCTGTTCAATGGACTCAGATTTAGGAATATTTGCCTCACACAGAAGCTGATGATCATTGCAAGTGAGACAAAGATGGTTACTATCTAAGTTCTTAACAGATTTCCAAAGCTTTTTTTCAAACAACGATAAGATACCTGCATTTTAGGCAATTTACTTGTTATGAAACTTGTCTTGTCAAGGCAGAATCTCACCCTGTAGATTTGATTATCTAGAGGCTGCCATGATAAAGCTGCAATTGATGTACTTACTTAAATCTTGCAATGAGAAGGTTGATCATGAGTATATTGGCCACTAGGAGATAGGCGGACATTATGGCTGGAGCTACCCATGATCCATAGGCACACTTGTCACTTTTGTCTTCACATGCTGAAACAAAATGTTTCCATATATTTTATGATGGTACTTATCACCACGACATTCTGCCAACTGCATTCAATATCAAATTACATGACTTGCATTCAAATTTGGTTTACATTCATCAGTATCTGTCTAACGCATATAATACCATGGTCATTAAACCTTTGACCTAACTATTCTGGACAGCTGTCAAAGTTATTCTTTCAGGAGGGAAATGGCCATGCTATTTTCACAATTGAGCAATTTTAGCATTCATATTTTCTTACTTAATTCATCATATTCTTTACCATATGTTGTTTAAGAATAGCTGTTGACTGTATTTAAGGATAAAACTATGTAAACAGAGGTCATGGCACAAGGTGTTTTGGGATGGTAAATACATAGAGTGTGTGGGGATAATAAAATTAGTACCGGACATATCCTTTGACAACAAAATACAACCGATATCAGCTTTGGTTAATGCTGAAAAAAACAGTGTCTTTATACAGAAGAGTCTAACTGGCCAGTAATCAGAATTAAGTTTCTGCACTTGCCTACTAAAGTGCTTGATTTGCTACATCACATGGAATTCCCACATCTAGCCAATCAGGAAAATATACCTCACAAAATTTCAAATCCAAAAATATACAGCATAATGCTTACAAAAAACCCGCAAGTATCGCTTTCCGCTTTATGATAGTTAATTTCAGAAGTTTTCCATCACACAATAATATTACATTGACAAAATCTAGTTCTGATTTTAATCCGAAACTACGATTCATATTTACACGTTGATGTTTGCATGTCAGTTGAATTTGTTACTGCTCCAGATTATGTTTGTGGTTAAGAGGTAACAGATAATTTATTGTGTACAGTAATGGGTGTAGCAAGTGACATGTGAAGAGCTTAATATGGGAGCTTAAAGGCCAAGTGGTGCCGGTCTCAGACGTTTACCACTTTGGTGAAACCCACGAGCATGGGTATGGTGCTGACAAACCCAGAAACATAATCAGGGCAAACTGCGATTCTAACCAACAATCATGGGTAATTTATTACGAAACCTGACATCAATAAATATTTTGTAAAAATTACCCCCTCCAAAAAGCCTATGACTCCTTGTAGCACAGCTTTATGACCCCCTGTTTTGAGAGGCTAGGTTGGTTGGTTGGTTTGTTGTTTAACGCCGCACTCAGCAATATTCCAGCTATATGACGGCGGTCTGTAAATAATCGAGTCTGGACCAGACAATCCAGTGATTAATATCATGAGCATCGATCCACGCAATTGGGATCGATGACATGCATGAACCAAGTCAGCGAGCCTGACCACCCTATCCTGTTTGTCGCCTTTTACGACAAGCATAGTCACCTTTACGGCAAGCATGGGTTGCTGAAGACCTATTTTACCCAAGAATCTTCACGGTTATTGAGAGTCTAGGGAAAACCCTGGTATCTAAATCAACTTACGATCTATATCCTCTGCGAAAAGCTCTCCATATATCATCCAGTATGGATAGAACCACACATTCCTGAGCACACGTGACCAGCTCATTTCTTCGTTCTGGTAGTGGATCGACTGACGCACCACGCCGAAACTTGTCACCACAATAAACAGGATGATGATGAAATATGCCATGTCCTTCAGCTGTAAGGGTGATATAACAGTTTATTGTTCAGAAACTCAACACGAGTTTAATGAATCTCTCAGCATGCTATCAGGAATATATAAAATTAGAACCATGAGATACTGCACATCACCTACATATTAGATCAAATCAAAATAAGCCCCCACCCCAACCAAAACATGGAAAACAGTGAGTAGAGCTGACTTATACCGCCTACCTCGCCCCAACATATTTCTAAGTTCCCAACATGAAAAAAAGCAGTATTTTCTCAGAAAATCAAACTTTGCATTGCACCTCTCCTATTGGGATAGAAACTGTACCTCCAACTGGAAAAGAATCCATGAAGCAGTTTTCGAGTTATAGGTCGCACAAATGTTAAAATCCTATTTTTCATAAAATACACATATCAAATCAAACTTTGCACTGCACCTCTTCTGTTAGTATGAAAACTGTTCCCTAAATTTGAAAAGACAAAATTAAAATTAGCTTATCTTTCCAGAAAATCCAAATATGAAAACAAACTTGGCACTGCACCTCTCCTATTGGTATAGAAACTGACCAAGTCTCAGGGTTGAAGAAAGTAACAGTAACTTATAATGATACAACCACTTGACATGATCACCTTGACCAGTACCATGCTTCTGAAATCTTTGTCATGGTTTGACATACATGCAAATATGTTTTATGTTAGTTGAGGTAAACACAGAAAAAAAACAACCATAATATGACTTGTCCATGAGCATCTGGGGTGGATACCCTCTCAGGCCAATGATTTGTGTACCTTCCAAGTTCTACCCATTTATCAAACCAAACATTCCCCATTCTTGCCATCCTTATTCCCAAGTAATTTCAGTCGCTTTTTCTTGCTGAAGTAAGACGAGTTCTATGGATGAACAACTTCTTTTTTACAATTAGAGTGACGTAATAAAGAAGTTGTTCATCCATAGAACTTGTCTTACTTCATCACACCAACTTCTAAATGCCACTGAAAGAAGTTTTCTTGCTGAGTTCTTGTGTTTCTTTCTGCTCTGAAATTCCAGAGTGAGCTTTCAAATCTTTTAAAGAACTAGTAATAACACTTCCACTTACCAGCTTTCCAATAATCTTGACATAAGGTCCCAAATACTTGTTGACACTAAGGTTTTCGATGATCCTGACAAACCAGAGGACAATGTCCACAGTATACACAAGATGACCAGCTTTTAGGGTAGATGGGTTGAGTCTCAGCCCTAGGCCGACTGTGAACAGTGATATAGCTAGCGTGTCCCACAGATTCCAGATGTGTGCTGTGAACATACGCAGTTTCATGGCTATCTTGGAGGGCTCTGATGCTATAATCTGAAGAAAAATACAAAAATAACTTGAATAGCATGCATGTTATGAATAATGTTTCTGCTCTGTAATTTTCTGTCTTCTGCTTTTGCTTCTTCAACGTCAATTTGACTCCCAGGTGTAATTTTTCATCAACCTGTTTCAAAGTTTGTTCACCAATGACATTTTGGCCGACTGTGGTTGTTCAGGTCTTTGTTTTACAGATTTGGATATTTTCACAATATTACACTTCTGTAACAAATGTTATATCTGGTATGACACTTTGTTAGTAAAGTACAGATTCTGGTACTTGTTTTTTGGTTTAGTCCCATCCGGGCTTCGAACCCACACTGCCAGGGTGAGGCACCTAATCGCCAGCACACAATTAATTGTAGAAGCCTCGGTGGCTGAGTCGGTTAGATCGCGCACTTTGTACTTTACTAAGAAAGTGTTATCCCAAATATAACATTTGTTCCATTTGACCACTTTCTAAATGGCACTGTGTGTTCATATTACACTTATATCTCTATGTGGAGACAACAAAGTCCTCTTGTTAGTGACGGAAATAAACTAGAGATGGTTGCATAAAACAGAAGCAGCCCCGTCACTGCCATTTCCTCAAAGTCCCCCAATTATAACATACGAGTAGTTTTAATACATTTTTAGTTTCAGTGTAGCTTCAAACATTTTAGTGATTTTTTTCTGTCTCATGACCTTAACGTCTGACCTCATCTTGACATGTGCAAGCCATGAGGTTTCCAGGTGAGAATATGTTATAAGCAGCCTGTGTTTGTTGTAAGGGGTGACTAAATGAATTGGGTGGTCAGGTTCGGGGACTTGGTTGATGCATGTCATCGCATCACAATTGCGTGGATCGATGCTCATGACATCAATCAACGGAATGTCTGGTTAAGACTAGATTTTTACAGATCATCATTTAGCTGGAATATTGCTGAGGGCAGAGACAAACAACAAGAGTCATCAGAAAGATGACATATCCCCCCAGCAGCTGTCTGTAAAGTAACCACAAGTAAATGTGCTATTCTGTATTCTGTGTTTGTTTTTTATGCAAACAAATGACAAATTACAAGAAACAATGACTAAACAAGCGTACAGTCATGAAGTCATCTAAATTCCCCGCCCATTTTAACACGTTATGGTCCCAAACCAGGTAAGTGACCCAACATTTCTTTTAGCCCATTTCAAAATAGCTGCAATGGAAATTCTAAAATAAACATTTCTAAAACTTATTAACTTCCTTAATATCAAATGGCACCAGTTCAGTATGTGCTTTATTAATATATATATATAGACATGCAATGTTTGGCAAGAAAATATTTAACAGTTTATTTGTTTTACTCCATAAGTGAACCCACCCTATATTAAAACATAAATCCATCTTGTTGCCATGGGAAAGTAAAAAATAAAAATTTATAAAATTCCTAAATAGCAAAAGGCACCAGTTCAGCAAGAGTCTGATGGACATGCAAAGTTTTGTTAGAAAGTTTTGAATAGGTTTTGAGATATGCTCCGGAAACGAACTCTACCCTATAGAAGTCCAACTTGTAGCCATGGAAACGTAAAAAATAAAATCCCAAAATATCAAAAGGCACCACTTCAGTATGTGCCTGATTGCTTTGCCAAGTTTCGATCAAATACACTGAATGGTTTTCGAATTCTGCCTCGGAAATGAACCCCATCCCCAATTGAGTCTATGTCCAACTTCATTCCATAAAAATTAAAAAAAATTAAAATTAGAAAAATCCCAAAAATACAAAAAGGCACCACTTCAGTAATTGCCTGATTGCTTTGCCAAGTTTCGATCAAATACACTGAATGGTTTTCGAATTCTGCCCCGGAAAAGGAAATGATTACAGACGGTCTTTTGATATGACGCGGCCTGAGATCGAACCTCCGGACGGATACTCTACCACTTGACCACAGAGGCGGTCTCTTTGCCGATATCAAGCGCCATTGCGTGGTCACTCAGCAACAGTTCCATCAAGGCCTTACAGCACTCCCATTTCATGGCGCTGGTAATTATGATGTTGAATGAAAGAACTCTCTTTGAATGCTTTTCAATCAATACACACTTCAGTTTGCTTTGAAGCTAGTGCACAAATGATACACATGGTTGTTATTACTCCCCAGAAAAACCTGGAGCAGGTAGGTGCCATCACAAAGCTCAGTCTATCATGTCAAGGTGTCTTCAGCTGTTTTTCAAGTGGAGTTATGAAAATATCAATTGGAATTTGTTTATCAAACATTAGAAGTTTGAAGTCCATGTGGTTAACAACTTTGGAATTAGGTAATTGTCAAGTCATCTCTCAGACTCTCAGGAAGGATCAATGCGAAGAGACAGCTTAAAAGGTCTACTGAATTTTACTTAAAATGTTCTTTGACCACAATCAATCTTTGTCCTAGACAGTTAATCAATCTGAAACTCTGAATTTCAGTAAAAATCTAAACATTCTAGAAGCTTTGCATTGTTTGCATTATTTTATTATCAAGGGTCATAAGATTTAAGGTTCCTTATCTTACTAATAAAATGCATTATCAGGAACTAGCCCTGCACATAAGCAATAGTTTTCGTATTAAGAAAACACACATACTCCTGAGATTAAAACATTATACTGACAAAATCCCCACACAGCTTACATATTTGGGTCAGCATTTATAAAAAACAACTTATATAAAAATTTGCTGGCCAACAGAGTCATGCAACATTAACTTTGTAATGTCTGCTCTTTATTTTCTGAGACTTCAATGTATTGTGAATTATTACAATAGCTCATTTTTAATGCACAACATCTTTTCTCTCATATAACCAAAGAAACGTAACATGTTATTACTCCAGTCAAAACAAATGATAGATGATAATTGAGCATACAATTCAGCATGTATAAATGAAAAACAAAACATTCATCATGTTGTCTTAAATTTCTACAAGGAATATTGAAACTACCTAATTCTGATTCAAATCACAAACATATGATTGAAACACAACCTAATAGCCACTGTGAATGCCAAGAATTATAAACAAGCCCCCCAAATAGCAAAAGGCACCACCATTAGTCACTGAAATAATAATAAAAAATCTTGCTTCACACTTTTGAAAACTTTGATAAAAATATAATCCTTGGATGTTTGCTTGCATTTATTTGTTAGGGGGAAGATCTTAATGCTTTTAGTAACCTTGGTGGAGAAAAAGATATTTGTCCATAATAGCCACAGCAGTATTGAAATTTTGAATTCAAAGCCATGTGATAAAGGCTGAATCTAATCAGTGTACATCATGCAACGCTGTGTGCCTTGCCACATTCCAATACACACTTATTCCACATTTGTCTTTTCAACAATGTGAGTAGAAACGAAGTCAACAATTCCATCAACCATCACGTGAAAAAACATCGACAAGATACTCTCATTCCCACAAAAACTTCCATTTCCTCCCTTAAAAATCTAGTATTATCTCGAACACCACCCTTTCCCCCATCACAGCCTCATTTTTACCTGGATGTCTGTCTCGTAACACCTGCCTTTATCTACATTAGACTTCCATACCAGATAAACTGAAGCAATTAAATAGAGAGACGTGACAGAGTTTGGCTTGTTGCATGTCTTCACAACATTAATCAAGAACGTTCACTGCCAACACTGACTACCCTCAGCCACATGTTGAAAGCAGCCATATCTTGTTGGAATACCTTCATCACTTCTGTGATCAAAATATGTTCATCAAATAACTCTTTCACTGCATTATTGAACTGTTATAAAGAATGAGATACCTTTGTTGCCAACATCATTGCGATCACATCTGACCTAGCATGCTGTATCAAGTGATGATGGTTTGATTCTGAGAAACATGGAAAACCCACCTTTTAAACAGTAAGATGTCTGCATGATAGGCAAAATTAGTGCCACGTTTACTGTAGCTGACCTGGACATGTTTAAAATATCAACAAATATAGACGCTTATAACAAAAGTTGCTGTCAGCATTGCTGTTCAAATATGTCCAACATAAATACTGAGGTCTAAAATCTAAGACTAAAATATGATTTGACAAAAAATATGATGTCATCATAAAGAGAAAAAAGCCAAAGTTCTGCTCCCTCAGTTTCGCAATTTTAGAGAATACATTTACAGAGTCAAATATGCATTTAAAAAGAAATTAAGAGCATCGTCAAAACAAGACCAAACCTTTAATATGTTGAAATCATACGTGTTGAATACCACAAAACACTAAACAAACACCAGAATTAATTTCCATTCATATTAAAATAGGTAATGGAAATAAGGTGTTTCAGTTAACAGAATGGTTGAAGTGTAAACGGCCAATTAAAGGTAAAAATTCAAAATAAGTTGCAAACATACCCCATATACGTTGAGCCATAATCCTTACTACAATATATCAAATTTAATTATCAGATGACATATCGCCCCCCATACCCACCGCCACCATTTTGAAATGGAGTATGGCTACTTATACTCTACTTTTGGTTCATTGCCAATGAATACCTTCTTTTCGGTGAAGAAAAATATAATGCTGTTCAGAATTTTTCAAAATTCCGAATCATCAAAAGGCAGCAGTTGACCTTACTAGACAGATCTGTACAGCAAGTTTCATCCTGAAATATTCAACAGTTTTGGAATTCTGCTCGAGAAAGAGCACTACCCTCATTTTCAGTATAAGTCCAACTTGTCGCCATGAAAACATCAAATAACTTGTTTTCAGCTTATAAAATCATGAAAAAAAAACCAAAATAAAAAGAATGAAAATCCCAAATCATCAAAAGGTACCAGTTCCCCACTAAAACTGATCTATATAGAAAGTTTCAACAAGAAATATTTTTTTTCGGTTTTGGGGTTCTGCTCCAGAAATGGAAAACGGATTGCTGATGGACAGGCAGATGGACAGACAGATGGACAGACATGCTGATCGCTATATCCCCCTGTTTTTCAAACCAGGGGATGATGATAACGATTGAGTCCTTCAATAGCTTTTACAATTTTTCATAATATGAATTGAACCTCTTGAACAAATTCAGAGTCATCAATGGTGGGAATTTTAAGCTTCGTTGGTCCTGGTGGCTTCTGAGGATACAGCAACAGACACTAACATGTCTACTAGTCCTTATAATGATAACACATAGCAAAACCCTCATAAATGGCAAATTTCTACTAGTCCTTGTGACACCTTAACTACTGGGCAGTTTGGCAAGGACTACAAGGTATAAGTGTCATTCTCTAATGCTGGGATATGATATCGATGTTTACAATGAATGACTAATGACTTTTTGTATTTTCCAATATGGCCAAAAGCAGCCATATTTAATTTCTGATCAAGATGTGTTGAACAAACATGGTACTACAAGGTAACCATCTCGCCCACCAAGTTTCAGGTCTCTTGCCCTTTAGCTGTCTGCGAAGATTTTAAAATGTATTCCTAAAAAATAAAGATGGCTACCTGAAAACGTCTATTGCATTTCCAAATTTGATACCTCAAACAAACTTGAACTCACTTTAAGAAACAAACATCAACTCAAAATGTCACCTGAATCCATCAAGCCATTTGAAAGAAGGAAACGTGATCGCGAGATCTACGTGTTGACATAGAATCTTCAAACTATAACAAATATGACTTTTAACGAGTCAAAGTATGGCATTTATGATATATGTTTCCATTCTCTGTCAACTAAAGTTCGTTTCAAGGCTTCAATAACGGTAATCTGACCGTGGTTGCTGTTAATAATGGTGAGTTGTGCGATCTTCTGATCGTTTCACACACGATTTTGCCGAAATTAATTGAAACAATATTAAAAGGAATTTTTAATAAAATTTATGACAGTTGCAAGTTACAAACATAAGGACAGAAATAGAAACAACACTTTTAATAGCCAGACAATGTAATTACATGATTAATTTGCGTACTTCAGTATGGATTTGTTGACATGGTATTTCCGGTGTTACGTCCTCACGGTAATGTCTTTCCGTTGGGGAAAAAAAATCTAAATTCTTTTTCTCGTGTATAATGCGCACCCCCTTCTACACAGCTGTTTTTTTTGGAAAAAAAGTGTGCACTATACTCAAGAAAATATGGTAACTCCAATCCTATAAGGTATAATTTAGTCGTATATATGTATGTAACTGAAACTTCTCTAAGAGTATTGTAGTCTCAAGTAAGTGTTTTTGAAGTAATTGAACCATATATCTGTAAGTGAAACATCTTCTTAAATCAAGTCTCAAACATGTAACCAGAGCTCCAGATAAGCTTTTGGCGTTGTGGGTATTTTACCCATGCATTTTAAAATCACTGCGTATCAGCTATTCTATATGGGTATTCAAATTTCTGTTACCCACTAGTTTTTACACATGTGGGTATTTAAGTTAAATATTTAAAAACACTATTCATCTAGTCCCTGCAAACTGGTGTTGTGTGGGTTCGAGAGCTTTATAGGACTAAAAAAACCCACGATACTTCCACAAGAAAGTGTGATGGCAAATGATCATGATGTAACTGTCATCGTGGAGTTTTGCAAGGTTGACGGAATGCCCGTTTATAATTTCAAAATAAGTTGCTGATTTGCCAATCGAATACGCAGGGTTACTTCACAATATTTTGAATATACGCTCAAGTTTTATTTTTGTAGCGTATCTGTAATGTTCGTTGCGTACATATTTGATACGCTTGGATATTATTTTACTGCGTATTTCTGCATTTCTGATGCGTTTTTTACGCAGATACGCAGCTTATCTGGATCTCTGTGTAACTGAAACTCCTCTTAGAAGTAATTGAGTCTTTTTAGATTAAACTGCATGTTGATGCAATTCAATCTAAAATGTGACAAATATATGACATCTCATATTTGGAGTCAAGCTTTCCTTGGTACTGACAGGTAGAGATAGAAAATAGATTGACAGTCAAATTTAACTTTACTTTGGTCAATAACTGACACTGACTACCAAAATGTAAAATGAAAGCTGAGATAACTTTAGTTACATTTGTATAAATAGAAACAATATATTGGTACTGACATGAAATGATATCTTGTCAAGTATTGCAATATCAAACAAAAATTCGATAGTAATGTACTCTTAGTTGTCTCCAAGAAATGGTTGTGACAAAGTGATAATCAGTATCAAGCATCAAATAGCAGCTCTCATTTATCCCCCTAGCCTAGAGATGCAAGCATGCTAAGACACTAAAGCAATTAACACTTGAAAGGTGTTTGTCAATGCCAGCTTTGTAATCACTTCAGAAGTTCCTTATTGCAATGCTTATCATTACTGTCGAAATGACACAGACAACCTTTGAGTGGCATAGTAACCATTTTCCATCTGGCCCAATGAATTATAATGAATTGTTTTAAAATATATTGGCCACAAGGCTATGTCAGTCTCGCAAAAAAGATGATTGCATGTTTGTAGTTTAAAGTCTCACTCAACAATATTCCAGCAATATGACGCCGGCATGTATAATCAAGTCTCGACCAGACCATCATGAAGCAGGTAACAAACTGAATTTTTCTTTTAACAAGCTTGTAATATGTTTCCCATTAAAAGAATGCATTTGTTCCAATATTATCCCCACGTAGAATGTCATAAATATGTCCAATTCCATACACCTGACATTGATGAATAAGTAACTTGTTACAAAACCCCTGACATCACAGACATCAATTGTGAACCAACTTCACAATACTTCTCTAACTCGATCAAGTGTAACCTATTAGCAGGCCAATATGCACTGAGTTATGGCTATAGCAGGCCAATATGCACTGAGTTATGGATATTTAACTACATTACTGGCCCGTGGGTGCCCCGTTGCTGATATCCCGAGTCCCAGCAACAGCCAGGAAGGAATCAATGCAACTCCTGGGCCTCTCTCTCAGCTGGTCTCTCACTGTTCCATCCCCCTCCCTCCTCCCACTCAGACCTGGGCTGCCTCTGATAGGCCTGCGCGTATCTACAGAATCATTAGACAACCATCAGGGCGGAAGTCTCACTTTAGAAAGCCACATAAAACCAAGTAGGGACAAACAAGCCAATTTGTCGCAGGTATCTTAGCCAAGGCGTGTACATACATCTTAAGTGGCTACCCGTTATCAGTAGGAGAATACACACACAGAAGAAAGCTGTATAGATAGAGATGTATTTTAAACCTGAAAGCTTTTCCATGTTAACAAAACACAATGTCAAAAGAAATACCTGATTATTAAAGTCAGACAATCACTGTGGATACTGTGACTAAGACGCAGTGTGTGACTGAGAGAACTTTACAATGATAAATCTGAAGAATACTGCAGGATTCTTTGTCTTAAAATCAGATGAGTGGCAGTACACATTTGAAATCTGACATGGATAATAATCTCCAAGAATCTTGAGGAAACGTTCAGTTACCATTCTTCAACAGGGCCCAAATACTCCAAGGAGAAATCATATTGAAAGGTAGGTTGATCTAACACAGTGCTTTGAAGTGCTGTCTTAACGTGTTTACCAAGTACCAAGAACTTTCACCAGCGCTTGAAGGCGATATAATGCAAATTTCACTTTCAGTATGCACATTTTTGTATTCAGTATTTCCTGATATCACTTTAAATTTGTGTCTTTGACCAACAACATATGCAAAACCAAATGATTATGCAGCTCCACGATTGATGGTCCAGAATCACCGTTAAATTCATTATGCAGCACAGTATATTATAGTACAGCAACATAATGATATACCAACATTTTGTGTTAATATTTAAGAAAATATTTCTGTTTAATAACATTTACAGTTTGCTCTAAACCATTTTCTGCATATTGACATTTGCTGCCTTCAGTTTTATGACTAACATGTGCGAAACATATATATATATATACACACACACAAATGTTGTTTTTGAGTTGTCAACCTCTTGAAAGGTCTTTGGCATGATAATGAAACTTGTCTAGACTTTTAATTGACATTTCAAAACTTTATGTATGCAATGCCTCTGTAAACCTTATTATAAACAATGATTTATTTCATGATAACAAAAATATGATGCTATTCAGAAATCCCCTGAAGAGATAAACTGATTTGCGCACAACATTCTTTGTGAAGAAACAGATTTTCTAGGCCAGTATGACAAAGTGCAGAAACAAATTGCAGTTTTTGTAGCTTTTGACACATCAAATGTTACAAACATTAAGATAGGTTAAATAATGAATATGAAAGAATGAATGAGTGTCAGAAGTATTCCAGTGAAAACACAAGTGTGTTTTAAAATCTGGCAAACTAATGGTTGATGGCCTGAGCAAGGGTCCATGTCTTTGGGGCCTTATGGCACACAATGGAAGCCACTCAATGTGATAGGCATTAGGTAATTGGGACATACTCGGGCAGATTACCACAGGCTTGTGTATTAGGGAAAAACTCGAAGAGGACATTCTAGTTATGGTTAATTTGTAAAAAGAATTCCTCAGAAGTATTTCCAATGGCTGCCACTGTGGTCATGTTTTATCTCAGATTAGAATTCTATAACTTACTGGAGAGACCAATGTCAGGATAATCCATGAGATGCAGCTTCTGGTTGCTTTAGAGGCAATAAGGACAATATAAAGTTAATGCTGCACAGCTGGATGTATGGCAGACCTACAATATGCCTGCCTACAGAAACATGCTAGGATATATCTTGTTCTGGCTGAAACCTAAAACTCCCATCTTACTGACTGGCACAGTGTTTTACCTTGACCTCCAAAACTAGCAAAATTTGCTTGTTTGCCAATCCCTCCACTTTATGGAAATAAATATGTTCATATCAAAACTAGGTATCTGGGGGGTGGGAGGAGGACAAGGAGGGAGAATAATAAATTAGGAAATATTAAGGTCCTCTAAAGTAATGAAATATGAGTGAGTGGATAATTACTTTAATGTTTCTAGATATATGTTTCTCGATAGATGTCAAGAATTTTGAGGAGCGGTTGGGTAGCCTAGTGATTAAAGCATTCGCTCATCATGTCGAAGACCCAGGTTCGATTCCCGACATAGGTACAATTTGTGAAGCCCTTTTCTGGTGTCCCCCCTTGTGATTTTGCTTGAATATTGCCAAAAGAGGCGTAAAACCATACTCACTCACTCACTCAAGAATTTCGAACACTGAATTACTGTGTATCCATCCGGATGCACTATACATTCTAGACATTTGTCAAAAAGGGATGCACATTTCTGCAGTGTATAAAACTCTACTTGAACTACTGACTCACATTTGTTCACCTTTCTCTGTGTTAAGTTTGGCAATGTTAAATGAAATAACAAAATTACCCATTACTGAGCAAACAATTATGTCTGAGTAGGTCCATTTCAGATGTTGCCTAAAACAGAATAGCAATCCCTCATAACAGGTTTCATACATGTACAGATCCATCTTAAGATTCTAACTCCATAGATACTCAAACACACCTGCATTAAGGTACCAATCTGTTCCAAAAACGTTTGCTTGCACGAACAAAGCTCTAAGCAGGATTATCAGAAGAGCCTAGTGGCTAAGGTCGCAGACTCTCAGGTAATATATTATTATCTGTTAGAAACAATTCTTATTTTCATTCATTTTCCCCTTCAAAGTTAAACTAATATTGTTTCCAAGTCATTAATTCCTATGAGTCTATTTTCTTTTCGATTAATCTTCAAGTGAGAGCAATAAAGTCTAACTGGACTCGTCATGTGGCAGGTATATGTTCAGGGAGAATGCAGTGAGATGGCACTTTGATGGAGGGTTGTTTCTTCAAACACAGCAGGATTACGAAAGGATATTTTCCAGATGAGTGCTACCGGAAACACGACAAATGCAATACATTCTTACAAGACCTTCACAGTTTGTTGTTATTACCATAACATCTAAGGCTCCACAATCTGTCATTGTAGTCAAAAATGTTCTGATTACAATGTTCCTATAAATTCATAGTAAATGGCTTCAGATGTATTTTCCTGAGGAGGTCCTAGTTACTTCTCTAATCCATGCTAGAAATATTAAATAACCCAAAACAATTTAACCACAACTTGTTGAACTGAAAACAAAAATCCCACATCACTGCAAAATGTGAAAATCTTATTAGTTCATGTACTATAACATTTACATTGTACAGGTGTATGCAGTTGTAAGCTTTGAAGGACAACATTCAGTCAATGCATATTTCAAGAATAGCAAGCAGGTAAATTTTATTCCGAACCATTTTGAGAATGTTCATTCTGTGTGACACAAACTCTCATCTGAAAATGTGTGATCTTTAGGCAAATGCAAGAAATCCATTGTGTGCCTGGAGAGATCGGACATAACTTTTACCCGTCTGCCAATTCCAGTATGTAAGCCCAGCTAATACTGTGTACTTCCCATGTGTAGACAGTTCAGATGGATATACGGAGGCTGCCAGACAGCAGATGGAGGGAGATAATGGGGCCAGACTCAAAGACTTTGTGTATTTGTACGCTTCTCCCAGATCACATGGCTACAATGCCCTGTTTACACTACAAAGGACCAAAGGGAAATTGTTCCACTTTCAATTATACCGGTGTTACACTTGAAATAACAATTTCCGGTTTACAGAGTAGTCAGCCAACAATAAATGGGAACATTGCATTGCAATTCTTTACCTTCACCCCTGAATCTCTGACAAAAATATCCCTTGAATAGGACAAAAGCTTTCGAAGAAAGACATCATTCATAGTCATTCTTAGAACAGTTACACCAAACCTAATCAATATGTCACAAAAGTCATTAATCACCTGTTTCATACAATCATGACATGAATCATATTCCATAACAAATAAATAACAAATCAAAAAGTTTACAATTTTGAACAGCTGGAATCATGAATAACTTGAATGACAATTTCCACCTTGATCCTTTTCTACAGCTTATAAGTACGTATCCAAGCAGAATACGTATCGAGTAAAGAAATGAAGAATGACATTATACATGTATTATAAAGAGGTTATCACGCTTGTGTGTATGGAGATGGTAAATATCACATATTAGGAATAAACACTATGTATTTAGCTCACAAAGGCTCGCTAAATACGATGTTTATACCTAATACAGGATATTAACCATCCCCAAACACTGGCGTGATAACCTCCATATCCATGAAACCAGTGTGAGTGAGTGAGTGAGTGAGTGAGTGAGTGAGTGAGTTGGGTTTAATGCTGATTTAAACAGTACTACAGCTGTATTATGGGATGTCAGCATAATGTGAGAGGCAAGCCTCAAGTTATTCAGGTCAAAGATGCATAACACATTGGTTAAATCCACAAGCATGGTGAAGGCCCCCACAGACCTGATATCAGAATCAGGGTGTACCTTAGATTTGTATCTATAATTAGCAGATCCTGGCTTGGATAAGGGATGCAACTCTGCACAGTGAAACAATGTACCTTACACTTACCACTGTGACAAGACATATTTTCTTGCCAAACTCTGTGCTCTCTGTTTCGCATTTCTGCATAGTGCACTCACTCTGTGTAATTATGCTTATACTTATAAATAGACATAAACAATTCTTTAGAGTCAATTCAACATGCCATCTTCCCAGATGCTTCAATCTCTACACAACAGCAACAATAAAGCATCTCACAGCTTTCATTGCTGAAGATAACATACCATTATCCTGATTGAAATCCTTTCAAAATGTTATGGCCCATGATAATGGATTGGTCTTCACAAGGATGTTTCTTGCTAATCTCCGTCATAAAAAAAATTTCTTATAAAAATGTGCGTGGTGTTTTGATGTTTAAAATACTTTGTCAGCACAGAACAATAGATTCCAGGGAGAGAAACATATGACTTGCTACTTCCTTCTAACATGATTAAATTAGAGATACAGTTTCTGTAGCTCAGCTGAAAATGTGTGTTGTGTCAAGGTGATCTTGACAGTCATAATTCATAATGATACATACAAAAATGTCCAAAAATTACATTTTCAATATGGCCACCGTTTTTCTGAATAGATGTAAAAAATGTACAAGTTTGCGACAAACTTGCCATGGCATAAGCTCAGTCGGCTTTCAGTCAGATGAACTAATAATGGATACCCCTGCCAGGATTCATATTAAGAAAAATGTCAACAATACAATAGGTAGATGTATTTGTGCAATTTTGTGCTAAAGCAAGGGTTCTTTTATCATAACTCAAGAGTGGCTTCCTAATCTGTGGAACTAACAGACAATAAAGTTTTGGAACATAAACATATGCTCATTAATGAAGGTGAGCTACGGAAAGCAAAAAATGATTAATTCCATTTCCAGGCTAAATAGTACTGATGTATCAAGTCAATGACAACAATAAATTAAACTGTGTTATTCTGTGATATCAATCATTTTGTGAACATGTGAAACTATTGTGTAAAGTCATACAATATTTAACACAGTTAGGCAACATTTTCATCTGGACCAGTGAAGATCCGGGGTAGAATAGGTCTTCAGCAAAATTTGCTTGCAATAAAAGGCGGCGGTGCTTGTCGTTGGAGGCGACTAACGGGATTGGGTGGTCAGGGTTGCTGACTTTGTTGATGCATATCATCGTATCCAAATTGCGTGGAACGATGCTCATGATGTTAATCACTGGATTGTCTGGTCCAGACTTGATTATTTACAGACTGCCGTCATATAGTTGGAATATTTCTGGGTGGTGTTAAACAACAAATAAACAAACAGATTTTCCATCTGAAAACCCATCAATCTAATTACACCAGTTTCACCCCATTTTAAGCCTGTGAAATGAAACAATGGGAGTAAAAACAATCCCATGATCGATAGAATGAACAATAATACCCCTCTGACACCACGCGAGATGTGTTCAAGCAGGAACCGATGTTCTACGGACTACTTGTCTCCAGGATGAATGGAGTAAGGCCATGCATGGATGTAACTTTGCAAGCTCCCTGTCTCTATCATTTCCTGACTTGGGATGGCTTCTTGTGGTGATTTAGATAAAACGTTTATCATGTGCCAGTCCCAGCCTTGTGCAAACAAGCTTTATACTGCCCACATTCTCCCTGGCAAACAAATCATGCTAGTGACATCCTTTATCCTTACTTCCTCTGTGTGCATGCGTGATAAAGCTGCAACGATAACCTACTGCCTCAGTAAGCCTTCGTCTCTTCCCCTGAAGAGATTGATCTAGTATGGAGACCAGCCTGGCTATTGTGCACTCACTGTCTACAATATTCCTCCAGCATGTTATTTCACACGAGCTTAATGGCAAATGTTACCAAGTGAAAGCATGTTTCTACATATTGCCTGATAATGCGTATGCAATCATTGTGGGAGGAAAAAACCCAAACCTTAACGTTCCCAAGATGCTGTTATGCTGAACTGCATGACAGAACATCTAGTGGTGACAAATACCAACAGGTGAGGTGAGGTGGTGAGGTGTTGATGTGAAGTGAGGTGAGGTGATGAGGTGAGGTGAGGTGAGGTGAAATGGGGTTTAACGTCGCGTTCAAGATTATTGCACTTCAACAGCGACGTTATACCTCATGGTAATGTCTTTTGTTCGGGGAAAAAAACCCATCAAAACTTATTATGGCATGTATAATGCGTACCCCCTTCTACACAGATGTGTTTTTTGGGAAAAAAGTGCGTACTATACTCAATGGTATTTCAAGCCGTTTATCACTTGGGTGAGACCCATAAGAAGGGTCTGGTGCTTACAAAACCAAGGATGATAATCAGGGTGAATCAACAAGTGTCCCTAGCTCCTAGGTTTCTGAACAGATTGTAGGGAATAACCAGCAATTGAATGGATAGCAATTTTTTTACTTACATCTTGTTACATGCAATCATATATTTGATATACGTAATCACAAATAATCTGAAGGAAGCTATGAATTCAACTTGTAAATATGTATAATATCACATGTACTTCTGATTTCAGCCGGACTACCCAGTGGGCATTAACCATGACAACAACTGCTTCTGAGACAGAGACTGCAGCGAACAGCTTGATATACAGCTTAGATGACCAGTCCGACCTGAATAGTTACATACAAGGCTGGAGCAACTTCTCCAGAAACAAGACCTTCAGTGAACAGGTCACGCCTGGTCCAAGTTACCTTCATCAGATGGAGCAGCAGATGGAATACCAGCTCTCTGTGTCTCTCATCCAGTGGGTGTTTCCATTCCTCATCCTCCTTGGCACCGTTGGTAATGGACTCAGTCTGACCATCATGCTCCAGAGAGAGATGAGACAGACTTCCACCTGTTTTTATCTGGCTGTGCTTGCAATTGCAGATACAACTGTCCTCTACATCAGTGCCTTCAAGACCTGGCTGAGAACAGTGTCTGGCTTTGAGTTGCTCCATGTCTCACAGGCTTCTTGTAAAATCACCATGTTTCTTGCCTACTTCAGCACTCACTTCTCCGCCTGGATCATTGTGGCTGTCACAGTGGAGAGATTTCTGGCAGTGTGGTTCCCTCTCAAAGCTGGAACCATGTGCAGTGTGTCCCGAGCTAAGTTTGGCACTATGGTCATAGCTGGCCTAGTCCTCCTGATCAACTGTCAGATCCTCTGGACGGCTGAACTAAAAACTGCGCCATCAAGCTCACTCAGTGAAACAAAACTAATGTGTGTTCCCTACAAAGATTATGCTGAATTTGTTTGTGAACTTTTGGCTTGGATGAATCTTATTCTCTACTCCTTCCTCCCATTTGGATTCCTACTTCTGTTCAACATCCTTATCATTGTCAACCTGCTGAAGCACCGACAGGTCCTGACAAGCACGATGACCAAGGATGACCAACAGATGCGGTCATCTCACAGGAAACTGGCCATTACCCTCCTGAGCGTTTCCTTTGCCTGGATTGTGACAACAATGCCCAGCACTCTCTTCTTGGTGTTCAAACCTCGTCCTGAGTCTGTAACCCATGCTGCCCAGCAGCAGCTGGTCAGAGTCATCTGCTATAGCCTGCTGTATGTCAATCATGCCATCAACTTCTGCCTGTACTGCATCACTGGGAACAGGTTCCGTCATGAGCTGAACAGGCTGCTGTGTAGGAAGCCCACGACCTCTCCACGTGCCACTCTCACCTTCAAAAACAGTGGCAGTGGACAGGACAGTTCAGGCTATCCCCTCATGGAGAATGTCTACATGAATGCAATGTCCAGTGAACAGTCAAACAGTAACTAAATATCTATGGGCTGGATCTGCTTATGGTGGAAGGCAAGAGAAGGGATAAACATAGCATCAACTATAACATTGGCTGTAGTGTCAAACAATATGAGCAAGTGTCTCACAGGGAAGGATACCTTTTCAGTTCTACAAGAAGAACAATCCTTACTCATTTGAAATCAAATTAAGGATGCCTACACAATATTTCTAATCTAACAACAAACACACTAACCCAATACAATGATAAATGCTTAACATCACATGTTTGGTGTGCGAATGTTATTCCTAATCTCAATACCAGGGTTTATCTCTTGCCCTACTAAGAACACAATAAATGTGTCACATGCTGCAATTCACCCCTTTACAGTACTTTGATTGGTAACAAATGTTATATTTAGGAATTTGTATCTTGCACATCAGATCCTTCATCTTTACAGATGGAACCTCATGGATACATATAAGCCATGTGGATGTGATACTAAGAAGTTAAGAACAGTGGCATTCTCTACACTCAACAGTGTATCAGTGGATACATCCTTTTCATTTGAAACCAGAGCAATATTCCTGCAGCTCCAGCCCTTGCTGTCTACATTACACAACTTTTTTGGTACAGTCCAGGATGCTCTTTTTACCAAGACTTCACAGAGCGTCATACAACTCTTGCTCAGAAGTTGTTTGATCAAGGTTACAAAATTCATTGTGGAGGACATTTCTAAATTTGACGCATCAGTGACAAAAATGATGTCCGATGTTATTCCTTATTTGACTTGAACCATGTGTTCCTGTGTAGTTTTCAGGTGAACAAGTGACTTGTCTTTGAATGTGTTTGCGATGGGTGCCACCCGTGGGGCAGGATATGCTCACCTATTTGCAAACACCTGGTATCACTATTTAGTAGTGCTTCATATACACAGGCTTGTGATATAGTCAGAATCTTACAATCAACTGGCAGAGATTACATATGAATATGGAAAGGCTTTTTGTCGATATTATTCTGTGAAATCCTATGACATATACTATTATACTATTAAACTATTATATTATGTGTAATTTGCAATTGTATATACTGTGGCCATTAATTCTGAACAAAAGTGATAAAGTCAAATCAAATTCATAGCATCCTTGCACTGTCAAGTGTATCTTTCCAGAGTGTCCAGTACACAGGTCAGAGATCCCCTCCAAGATATTGTACAGTAGAACATGGATATAAAGAACTACAAGGAACCTGAGAAATCAGTTCATTATATACATTATTTGTTACATACCTTTTCGCTGGGAAAAGTCCGACATCTTGGATAAAGCAAAACACTATACCCGTAATTGCAGCATTGACTTGTATTAGCAGTGATCACTTCATAGCATTTTACAGACAAGATAAGTCCAAATACATGTATGGGTAAGATTAACATAAAGCAAGTTTAACAAGGTTAAATTGTCGCCACTGATTTCGCACAGCCAATTGTCAGTGACAGTTGACACTGAGTGAGGTTTCTATGTTCGCTGTACACATCACTTATAAGTGGTATTTGGGCTTGTTGGGGATCAAATATCAGTTCGCTATATACGTTAGTTCGCTGTATAGAGTTCATTATGTATGTCAATTTTATATGATAATATATAGGAGATAAATCGGGATTTTGTAGTTTTGGTTTGGTTTGTTGTTTAACGCCGCACTCAGCAATATTCCAGCTATATGATGGTGGTCTGTAAATAATCGAGTCTGGACCAGACAATCCAGTGATTGATATCATAAGCAATTGGGATCCATGACATGCATCAACCCAGTCAGCGAGCCTGACCACCCGATCCCATTAGTCGCCTTTTACGACAAGCATAGTCACCTTTTACGGCAAGCATTGGTTGCTGAAGACCTATTCTACCCCGGAATCTTCACATTTTGTAACAGTTCCTTGCATCCGTTTGTTCGCTCTATCCGTGTTCTAGTGCATATCCTTTAACTTCTGAACGACAAGTCTGTCTACATGTAAAATCTGTTTATCTGTTTATTAACTTTCTGTGTTAATCGTGTTGTAATTTTACAATGAAAAAAACATCATACTGTAGCTGCCATTACAGCCATGTTTGCCCTCTGTGTTCAATGGTGCCGAGGCGGCTTATACACGAAATTATAGTGGTGAAGCAATCACAGATGAGAATGTGTGACATGTTCTTCAGATTATCCATGTTTGGTACAAGGTTATTTGTTTCATGTGTTAGTTGGGTAGTTCAGTTGCTAGTGTGTTAGATTTCCCCCTGATACCCTGGGTTTGATTCTCCCGATGGACACATTCAGTGATGCCCATACATATCAGCCCTGTTGCTCTAATGATGTTAATTCTGACTGTTAACAGTGTCATTTTAGTGTTGTATTTTTAAATGTCATAATACATGTCTGTGAAGAAGTGAGTAAATATGTGAGCTTAATCCATCTTTGGATAGTGTTTCAGTCATACAATGGCATGTCAGCAAAATGTCTGAGGAAGTGATGCAGGTCAAGGAAATGTATTACCGTATTCAACTTAATAAGCGCCCCCCTCTAATAAGTCCCCACAGCGATATTTGCTAATAATTGGCTAGTGAACAATCCCAATTAGCACTCCTTCCGATTGATCAGTGTACACAAGACTTATTTATTCGCATATAATACGCACTCGTGTGTTACATGCTGGAATTCTGGAAAAATATATCTGTCGTATATAAACATATCAGGCTGTCAGCATAAACCACAAATTTTATCTTTCAACTGTTTTTTTTCCACCAAAATAATATTCTAATAAGAGCCCCCTATTTCTAATTTTGAGAGCGCCCTGGGCGCTTATTACATCAAATACGGTACTTTAATCCATGAGTAGGAGTTGGTTTTATTGCTGTTACATTCTAGCAGAATGCATTGCCTCAGGTGCTGCAGTCCCCAGTTGCCCCCATGAGGTGCTGAGAATGGGGCTGACAAACAATGCTGATCTTAAGGGGGAGTCTTAGTTTTGTGTTTGTTTTGTTTGTCAGCAGTATTTCTGCTATATGATGGCGCCATGTAAAATAATTGTGTCTGGACCAGACAATCCAGTGATTGATATTATGAGCAAGGACCCATGCTGTTGGGGTACGATGACACACAATCAACCAAGGGACCCAGCCATACCACCCAATCAACTTGGTTGCCCTCACGACCAGCATTGTTTGCTAGTGACCTATTCCAACCCAGAATCTTCACGGGGCCTTGGTTTTGTGAAAAGTGTATCCCCAGTTGACAAAATGTAGGAACTTTCTTAAAATCTTCAACCTTACATATTTTCATAACAAATTTATCATTTATGGGATTTCTTCAAGCTAATGAGGCAAAAACATACATATTTTTACTGGATGTTCATGTTGTGATGTGTACATTTTTCTTATTTAAATCAGCCTGCATAATGTGTTTGTTCCCCTGATTAATAAAGAATGTTGCATATAGACATCTTAAGGTAATTTGTTTGTTTGTGGATTATGATGGTCATTTACTAGTGTTTTGAAATAAGTGTCTGATGTTGTAAGAGTGTAGATGTATTAAAGACATTCCCATTTCAAATCAACAGGTAATGTACCTACATCAACCTTCATTTTGGCACCTAGTTTTTCACAATTATTTCCATTCAACACACAATCACATGACAAAAGTTGGTTATTATCGCATAATAGTCATTGGCCTAATGAAAAATACCAGTTTTGTAATATTTCATGTCTGAATAATAGTATTTTCCTCATTGTTATCATGTAATTTTGTGGCTCACAGATGACATGGCCGTGTTGTTGGGGGTAACAACAGACAATTTAACATCCCACAACGAGGACATGTGTGTCAACATGCTTATTGCAAGCATGACCCTAGGTCACCTTAATATCTATCCTGATGACGAGGAAATGTCTCAAAGACATGTTGGTTTGTTGGTTTGTTGTTTAATGCCGCACCCAGCAATATTCCAGCTATATGACGGCAGTCTGTAAAAAATGGAGTCTGGACCAGACAATCCAGTGATTGACATCATGAACATCGATCCACGCAATTGGGATCGATGACATGCATCACCCAAGTCAGCGAGCCTGACTACCTGATCCTGTTAGTCGCCTCTTATGACAAGCATGGGCTGCTAAAGACCTTTTCCACCCGTCATCTTTACGGTTCTCAAAGACATGTAAATAAATTTAAATGAGTCATGAAATAAGATTTAAACTACCTCAGTATATGAAAACGATATATTATACAAAATTTATTGATTAAAACACCTTCCCAGTAGCTGAGAGTCAGAACACTACATCAGATGCGCAATCGTCGGTAAATCTGAGTTGAATGTCTGTAATTGTAGCATTCAAATCAATAATTCAATGATAGAATGACATCCCTCAATACCTGGCTTCTCAAAACTGTTAAGCTGTCTTCTTGAGTTTTTAGATGGGCCTCTTTGGTTCGTCATCTGCATGTTTTAAAACATTTGTCTTGGGAGATAATTCAGAATAAAGTCCTTCAAATGTGAGGTGCATGTAATATTCTCTTTGTGAAGCAACAAAGAGATATCAAGGGTGTCTCTCTTTTTGATTCACATTTAAAAAACCCGAATTCACCTTACGAATAATATCACAGGTATCCTTTGACAATATATCTCCACGTTACACAAGATTGCTCGCCTATACTGAAACTGTTGTTATAACCAGAGGTGTAGGCCACCTAGGGTCATGCATGGAGCAAGCATGTTTGACACACGTCGCCGTTTTGAGATGTTAAATCGTCTGTTCTTACTGGGGATAAAATAACATAACAATAAAGAATATATTTTTATTCGGACACAAAATATTACATAACTGGTATTTTTAGTAGGTCAAAGATTATTATTTGATAATTATAAACTTTTGTAGCGTAATTTTGTGTTAGAGAGAAAAGAACTGTGAAAAACCAGGTGCCAAAATGATGGTTGACAGACTACAGTAACTTCCTTATTTTTGCCTTTTTCAAGACAATCAAAGACAACAAAAGGAAAATAATCTTAAAATGTGTTCTTCAAAGTCACTTCCAAAGTAGAAGGAGAGAGAGACACTGATTTCCACTTGTGCTAGTATAATGCATTCATAGACAATTCTGTGGTACAATTTAACTTAGGCCACAATACACTAGTAGATTTTCAGCCAAATTAAAAAAAAAGAAAAGCTTTCCAAGGCATTTGAACACATTATTGACAGATGTGACTGACTTTACACATGAGTGTTAGGTAGGACTGCATGCATGGTTGTTTCATCAAGTAAAGAAAAGAGAACACACATTTACTTTGCAGATAATTGAATTATTGACAATAAAATGTGAGATGAGATATTTGGTAGTGAGGAGAACAGGGGGGACAATCTAATTAAATATATATTATGTATTTAGAAACAATTAATTATTACCAAAATGAAGCATTATAAGATCTGATAACAATCTGGAACGATAATTATCTGACCATCCTGTTTCCATCTACGTTTCCACGCACATACAAGCCTCTAACACCTCCCAGATGTCCTGCATTATTTACATTGCCTAAAACTAAATAAACAGCACCAACCTCTAAAAGCTAGTTCTAACACAGCAGTTAACAGTTTTCAAAATGTGTTTTAGAACAAGGGAAGTGTTAGCTTCAATTTCCTTTTGAGCATGGCTAACACCTTGGGGTGGTTTAATTGGTAACAGAAACTGGCAGCGACAGATACTGTCTGCACGTTCTGAGACATATGTTAAGCAGAATAACCTTACACATGTATAAAATGTCTTGTATCAAGATGGTTAGTTTGACTGGAACACAGATTTCATTCACTGACTACAAATTAAAACTTCTTATTGTTAACATCACAATCAACAGTTGTTGTTATTGTTTATTGTTTAACACCACTTGGCCATATTCCAGCCATATGACTGCTGTCTGTAAATAATCAAGTCTTGACCAGACAATCCAGTGATTGACATCATGAGCATCGATCAATGCAATTGGGATATGATGATATGCATCAACCAAGTCAGAAAGCCTGACCACCCAATCCCGTTAGTCGTCTCTTACAACAAGCATAGTCGCCTCTTACGACAAGCATAGTCGCCTTTTATGGCAAGATTGGGTTGCCTAAGACCTTTTCTAACCCGGATCTTCACGGGTTGACACACAACCATAAAATTAATCTCCAGAAGAAATGTGAAGAAGTGGCCCTATTGAGAAGGTCTGACACCTGCAACAGTTTTCAATAATAAGCCATAAACCTCTGCCTGAATACCAGAAAGTGAACACTGAAGAATGATGCAATAGCACTATCCTCTAGTATCACAATCTGGAAGCTGTAAACTATCAGGCCCAATACCAGCAATGTCTGCTGCTCGTTGAGACGTCACTGAAGTGTTGATGGAAAACACAAATATCAAAATGGATCTTTGAAAGTCTAAACACAGTCCATGTCATGTGTTGATATTTCACCCAATTACCTGACTGGTCTTTGCAAATACTGATAAAACAACTACCAGTATGTAGCTGTAACAACAAGTGTCTCACATACACACATGCACGTCACTGTAAGCAAACACCTCCCGTCGCGTAACGCTATGTACACAAAAAGCCTTTAGTGAATTGTTTGGATTTTCGATGTAAGAGTGGTGATTTACTCAAACTGATCATGGGAATTGTGCTACCCAAATAAATACCTTTCAGCTGGAGGAAATGGTGGAGCAGTAGCAGGATGAAGGATACTTGGCGGAATATTCCGACCATTAGAGTTACTTCCAGAATGATCAATTATTGCTTTCATTCAACAGATCAATGTATTTCTTGTCATGAGAACTGAAGATACTTGAGCTTGTGCGGAAGGTGTTTTGGGGTACACGTAATGTAGGAGACTGGTGTCACTATGTAGGTGTAAAGGAGATAACAAGCCGAATGGTCTTGAACACAACAAGAGCAAACACAAGATCATGATTGGCCAAACAGCTGAGTAATGATATATACAATTACACATGGATAAAGAGTGAAACATTAGCAGCAACTTTATTACCCCGGTCAATGGATCAGTGTTCACTCAACAATCATTCTCAGCTCCCTTGGGAGTATACAACCCAAGCTTTCTGTCACATGTGTCGATATTACTTTTTGAAATCCAATCAATCATATTTAATACAAGAAAATGAAAGTTATATCAATAAACAGTGAGTGGGTGATTTTGGTTCAATATGGTACAACATTTTTATCAAGTGGTTCCATCTTGATATGGTGTGTGGACACTATGACAAACTCAAAACTTCTGATCAATTCCGATCATTTGTCTCAGATAACTAGTTCGCATCATCTTTACTCATCAGTGGCAATTGTATTTCTGCATCCCAAATACTGCAGGAACTCCCTGATAAATTCCACCAAGTGCTGTGATATTACTTGACTTAACCGCTTCACAAGTAATAGCTTCCCCTTTAGGAAGCCTCTGTTTACATGACTCAAATTCAATCTCAATGTAGCTCAAATATTAGTTAAGTTAAATCTTCTTATAATTATCTTAATCCGTAAATGTGCAGGCTCTAAAGGTCCTGGCATGCCGAGCACAAGGGTTCTCTTAACACAATTAAAAAATCATCATAACAAAAATTGGACTTGCTGGATGTGTGATGATGATTTTACAGACCGATATCACAAACTTTAGGCCAGCTAGAGATCAAATGAAAATCCAAACACTGAATCTGGTGCAGGTAAGCTACGAATGAGTGAGTGAGTGAGGGAATACACATCATACTCAACATTTCAGAGCCTCACTATGACTACATCCAAATCATAGGTAACTGAGCCTGGTGTGGATCAACCAGGCATAAGTCCAAAACAGACAAAAACCTCAAGAACCACAGAACGTAGATGAACAGTTTGCTGTTTTACGCCACAGTCAACACTAGTCCAGCTGTACTTGGCGAAGTAGACACAATTTACGGACAACTTACTTGACAACGGTATAAGGATCTATACCGAAACATTGCCTTAAGTAAATAAAGAACTTGTTATCTATCTATACATTGTGTCTACTTTGTCATCCATCAACTTCTAAGTAATGCCCATCAAACAATTTGTTTCTTGGCAGCCTGTAAATACTTGAGTCTGGGCAAGGAAAACAGTGATCGATAGCATGCATCGTCCCACACACTGGGAGAATGACAATCAGCCCCGCCACAGAGCTGTCTCTTACTACAAGCTTGAGGCATGGGGACCCACAATGACATGGAATCCCCATGGTGGTATTATGTCACATGATGATCAGCCATGTCACATGATCAGCCATGTCCTCCAAGGTCTCTCAACCGGTCTACCAACAATATTCAGCAGCCATTCCACTAGCTGGTCACTGAATACAAGGTTGAGGTAATGGTGTTTACCTTACAGATCTCCATTCCTCAAATGAAGCCAATCATCCAAGCTTCCATGGTCTGAGAGTGAAGTCACACCATAATCCCATCAGCAAACATGAGGTGATAATGATGTTGGCTCAGATACTAATTAACCCATTTTGTAAGTTTGGATTACAGCTGGAGGCTGTTTGATTCAAATCATTGGTAACTTCATCATCTTTACTTTGTGATGGTAAACTAAAAAAGCCTCTTTGGATTATCGGGTGTCAATAGAAAGATTAATTATGACCCGAAGAGAGGTGTCGGAGTACTTACCACACAACAGCAGATAACAAGTATCAATATGTCTTGATGGGATTACAATTAACCTGATATTCACAGATATAGATCCAAATATTTTATGTAATTATTAGCTTCATTAAAAGTATTTTTTCATTGTCCTATTTTTTAAAGAAACACATTATTCATGGCAGTACATGCATAATATGTTTGTGTAGATTATTCCAGTCAAATACATTGATTTTATATCAAATTTTGATAGGACATTCTGCCTTATTTAAAAAAACCTCTATAGGACATTTTGAAAAAATGAAAGGGAAAATAGTGTCACTCCAGAGCTGATTAAGGTATGTAGTCAGCAGTTTAAAATGTCAACAAAGACAGACACTTGAAAAAACTCAGCACTGATATTCAAATATTTTCTGCATAAAGACTGTGGAATACTACAATAAATCCAATGATTTGAACAAAACATGTCATCATGAGGAGAAACAAGTCACATGCATCGAGAGAAAATTTAAGAACATGGTCAAAACAAGGTCAAAATTTAAAATATCGCAAAAAACCCACCCAGAAACCCTGGCCTAATTGAGTTAAATCCCTATTTGAGTTAGTTCTATGACCATGATACTCCTCTCACTAAAGCATGGAGCTGGTTTTATGACCATTCTACTCCTCTCACTACAGCATGGAGCTGGTTCTATGACCATGATACTCCTCTCACTACATCATGGAGCTAGTTCTATGACCATGATACTCCTCTCACTACAGCATGGAGCTGGTTCTATGACCATTCTACTCTTCTCACTACAGCATGGAGCTAGTTCTATGACCATTCTACTCCTCTCACTACATCATGGAGCTAGTTCTATGACCATGATACTCCTCTCACTACATCATGGAGCTGGTTCTATGACCATGATACTCCTCTCACTACATCATGGAGCTGGTTCTATGACCATGATACTCCTCTCACTACAGCATGGAGCTGGTTCTATGACCACGCTACTCCTCTCACTACATCATGGAGCTGGTTCTATGACCATTCTTCTCCTCTCACTACATCATGGAGCTGGTTCTATGACCATGATACTCCTCTCACTACAGCATGGAGCTGGTTCTATGACCACGCTACTCCTCTCACTACAGCATGGAGCTAGTTCTATGACCATGATACTCCTCTCACTACAGCATGGAGCTAGTTCTGACCATGATACTCCTCTCACTACAGCATGGAGCTGGTTCTATGACCATGATACTCCTCTCACTACAGCATGGAGCTGGTTCTATGACCATTCTACTCCTCTCACTACAGCATGGAGCTAGTTCTATGACCATGATACTCCTCTCACTACAGCATGGAGCTGGTTCTATGACCATGATACTCCTCTCACTAGAGTGTGGGCCTGGATCTATGACCACTACACTCCTCTCACGACAGCATGGAGCTAGTTCTATGACCATGATACTCCTCTCACTAGAGTGTGGGCCTGGATCTATGACCACTACACTCCTCTCACGACAGCATGGAGCTAGTTCTATGACCATGATACTCCTCTCACTAGAGTATGGGCCTGGATCTATGACCACGACACTCCTCTCACGACAGCATGGAGCTAGTTCTATGACCACGATACTCCTCTCACTTGAGTGTGGGCCTGGATCTATGACCACGACACTCCTCTCACGACAGCATGGAGCTAGTTCTATGACTTTAATACACATCATGCTACAGCATGGAGCAATGACTAACGTTCAGTAAATACCGTAAACATTATTGAAGTACACACATGGATCTATTCCTTTGACACAGTCAAAAACAACTTGACACTTCTTTATGTATACTGTCACTAACGTATGTCACAATGCCTTACCTGTCTGACTTTCTCTACAGCAAGCGACAAGATGTAGGTGACCACATAGTACTCCTGCCAGCGGAGTGTGGTCTTGATCTTGGCCAGAATGATGAAAGCAAACATCACCAGAAATGAAAGGTATGTCATCTGCAACACAACAGCATGTCTTGGTCTGTGTCGACACATACAACTTCTAAACATGAAACTAAATCACTTCAGAATTCCTTAATACTTGTTTTAATCCAGAAACTTGTCTCAAGACTCATTTTAGCTTTGTCATGTGACTTTTGAACTACATAATATCAAATGAGTTGGACCCCTGTTTAATAGCCCAAACTAGTTCAAAGACATTAGTTCCATCCAAGTTATCATCAAGTAGGCTTTATGTAAAATCAGGACAGACAACAGATGCACTACCATCATATAAGCTGTACAGTTGGCTAAGAAGGGAAACTACCCTAGACTAATATTTGATTACATCTTGTAAGAGGACACTTACCGTGTGGGACCAGAATTTAGTGATAGGAGCATTGTAGAACTCGTAGATCTTCTTACCGAGCCTGAGTGGGCTCTTCTTCTTCTTGAAGGGATGGTTAGAGTAGGTGCTGACATCTACTGGCACAGTGCCATTCTCCTTGGCTGGCACTTGCAGCGCCGAGTGGAAACTTGTCTCCAGGTCATCGTTAAAGTCATTCTAAAAGACCACAACAATATAATAACATGAAAAACAAATCTTGACCATCAAAGCAACACAAAGGTTTCACAAAGGTTTTCACTATTCTGTCTTTGTTCAAATATCTCTTAATCCTGTGTGGAGACCAGGGCAGAGAATGTTCCATGTACCCGATGTGTTTCGCTACCAGTCTACCAATGTGTGCCTGGGCTGTATGCAGAGCATACACGCTGTTAGCATCCATTGTTATTCATAATAAATGACTATCCTCAACTCATAGATATGTTAAGGCTGTATTAGTCTTACTGACTGACACAAAAACATCACTATACTATGAGATAAAGGTCCACAAGAGTAGTTCAATTTTGGCATCTCTTTGGTTTGGAATATCTGATAATTGTTGTTGTGTTTAATTTCATTCATCCTTTTGTATGACATTGAACAAGGTCAGTGCAATTCTCTTTCCTTTCCTTGATGAGGTATACAGATAGCATACCAAGGTCCAGTGGTAATGGCAATACCTGTTGTCACTGCAATGTGGCTTCATAAACATGATGCCAATGGAACCCAGAAACCTATGACTTCCCCTGCTTTTTCTTGTCAGTTACAGGGGGCCAACCATACATAATGCTTCAGGGGTGGGTGGGGTGAATATTTGTTAGAAACAGAATATTTTTTCTGTGTCAAGACATACAACTTGTTTTGCCAGAAAGGAAGAACCAAACACTTTGTCTGGACCAAAAACATTTCTTTAGGACACCCAGTGAACAATATTTTGTTTGAGGTCAAAACTGCGGGCAAATCATATGTTTCCCCTTTTTCTTATACAAAATATTTTGAGGAAAATCCTAAGCCCCTTGAAAAGTATCTGATGGTCAGTCCCTAAAAGTGTATCACACAAATGGTCAGGCCCTATATTTCTATATTTTCATGTAATTATTTAATTATTTTGATTCTGATTCATGAACACATGCCTACGATATATCAAATGGACAATGTATTTATTATGGAGTTATTTATTATGATTAAGGAAAAGGCCAGTTGCTCCTTAACCATTAGCCTGATGAATTGTTTTCACACTTCTTACCCCCGCCTGCTGGATTAATTTTAGCATAAGGCGCTCTAAAGAGAGTGGCCGGGTCATTTCAAACAGTCGGTGCCTCATTAAACAAAGGCCAACTGAAGAAATATTTTGCACATTTATTCCTGATAGAAAACAACATCGGGATATAAAAATATCCCGATGTTTTCAAACATACCAAGGTTAAGACCAAAGTGAACACAAAATTTGTAAACTTTCTTGAACTTACATGAATTGAGTTATTGAAGGTGGTTTGCGTTTCATGCTAGGAACCTTTTTATATCTTAACATTTGTGCAAATTGATTTCAATAATCATATCTCTGATATCTTAATTTTAATTGAGTATAAATTTGATTTTTTTTTGGCAAATAACAGCGCATTTGTAAATTAAGCCCCCATTACACAGGGCTGCAACCTTTGTGCCACCTTCGAGCGATCAAAAACTGGCCAGGACACTCAATGGTCGCCTAAACCCAGAACATCATGTTTCTATGTAACTGCTCCAGCAGTTGTTCAGCAGTAAGTGCTCAAGTTGTTCAACGTCTGCAACCACAATGAAACACTGCAGGTACATGCCCTCTATTTATAGGCAGGCTGAGGAGGCACTACAGGTAGCTCAAAGGAGGCAGAAGCATTGCCATGGTGTCTCAAGCATTGCCGTGGTCGCCGAATGGAGGCACGGCGATCGCCATACTCATCGTTCAATGCACGCTGTTGGTAGCCCAAAGAAGGCAGAAGCATCGCCCAGATTTACAGGACAATATTTCAGCAGAACGCATCTATTACCTGGCGACCATTGGGCGACCACTTTCCCTTCATTCTGCAACAACGGCAATGCTTGTGCCTCCCTTCTGCCTCCTTTGAGCCACCTTTGAGCAACCGACCTCCTCGGCGACCTTTGTGCGACTGTTTTGAACTTGTTCAAAAATTCATGGCGACCATGGTGTCCATGGCGATGTCTGAACCGCCTCTGTACCACCTTGGAATGACCTAGGCAACCATTCTGCCTCATTTGAGCCTCCAACGACGACCTGGCAAATTTTATGGTCACACACGGGAGGTATAAAGGTCGCCATCCCGTGTAAAGGCCCCATTTTGAACCATTTCAGTAAATTTATTTTCCACACGTTAAACAGAAAAATAACTTAATTTTCGAGGTCATCATGTTGGTTGCAGAAATATGGACATTCGGGTTAATCTAACGTGTCATGTTATAAAAATTGCAGGAAACAATTAATGACTTATAAATATTCACTAATCCTAATTTCAAGCATTTACTATGTTACTAATTATAGAAACGTATGTTAGATGTAACTAAATGGTTATGATAGTATTACGAGATCACGAAGCATGTGGAGTTGTTTGTTTACTGCTGTTGCCAAGTTCCATCCAATCGATGATGTTACGATTCAGATTGTTTTTGTTTACAATTAGTTACACTGAAAGTTGCTAATTTTTAGAAATTAAGGAACTTGAATGTTTTCCTTTCGTCAGCAAACAAAAAATTATGATCAAATCTGAAAAATGATAAAATTATAAAGAAAATATCAGACTGCATGCCTCTCAATCTGAAGTGCCAAAAATCAACAATGGCCATTTCTGGTAGTTGTGTGCCGAGAAGTTTGGCTGAAACTTTTTTAACTCAAGATATTTTCCTTTTGAGGTAAATAAACTACTGAAAGTTTTGATATTGAGTAAGCTGAGCATTTATGCATGTCATATGTAACTAGATATGGCGAGTTTTATTTTGGGGTGTCGTTATGCTATTCACCTGTCAAGTGGGTTTGACATCCGATGCACGGGTAGTGATACCTCTGTCGAATGGGTTTGACGTTAGTGTGCAGAGCTTTAAAAGGACACCTCCAAATAAGAAAACATAACACTTTACGGACAACTTTTGGTTTCTTGCAATAAGCAACATTTCGATGTAGATTCTTACACCATCACCAAAACATAACTTGATGCAATAAACCAGAACTTGTTATCCGTAAAGTTGTACGTTTTCTTATTTACTCACCAACTTCTAGAATGCCAGTCAAACAGACACCTACAACTGCATGGTTGCTGAATACTAGATGATAACTGGGATGCCATGCATGTGCTGCAGGGTCGGTATGACTAGACCGCTGGATGGCTAGCTAGTCGGTGTACAACAGGTTATCTACTTTAATTCTGGTTGGCTATTGGGAAACTAGTTACCAATTTACTAACACCAGTAATCACATGGACGTAAACTGCCTAAGATGATGATATTAACTAAGACAACTAACAGTGGAAATGTTCTCTGGGTAACATGAATTGGCATTCACAATGAAATGTACATATTAAACAAAACATATGGCTACAACATCATTACAATGTAGATTGAAAAACAACAGCAAGTTTGACATTACCCACACCGTTCATGCAGTGAATGGATTTTTGCAAGTGCTTAGATCTACATGCAAGAAAACAACAAGCAGAGCATCTCATATATCAAAATCGCGCAACCTTCGGCTTTTAAACATATTCTCTCAGTGACTGGAAAATTTATGGCATTAATCTGTCTTTCCCCCTCATGTACAAACAAAAATTCTGTCACTACTATCACTACTGTCACTTCTATTCTATCAATACAGTATCAACACTAAGTGTATGCTGCCAGCCACCTCATGATATACATAAATGTTTATATTAGAGCTGAAACGATATCCCGGGACACCGATGCATCATGATTCACTCCATACGATATGGTGCACGATTTGTGAGGTGCTTTCTCTCGATTTTTCACAATACGTTTTATTTCAAAGACGTATATATATATATATATATATATATATATATATATATATATATACGTCTTTGTTTTGTTTTTAATAAACTATTATCACAGATACGTTTTAAATGTGTTTTAACTCTTTCAACACAGTAGGCCGGTAAACCGGCCAAGAAGCATCAAGTCCCCAGATACCATAGGCTGGTTAAAGGGCCAACCCTTAGACCTCGTCACGTCAAAATAGTTCATAATTTTAGGAACCTACCTGTCATACCATTTATTTATTAAATCTATCACATCTCACAATGTCTGAAATACGTATTCCATTTCAATTTATCATTTTTTATCGGTAGATTACAAAATTATTCCTAGGTGTATCGTTGCAGCCCTAGTTTATATACTGTAAATGAAAACAATATGTAATACCACTATATATAATGTACATCTATGTCTATAGTTATATTTATGTCCATATGTAGATAGTTTGTACCCTGCCCTACGAGGATGTTCTGTACAATACAAATTCTTCTTCTTCTACCATTTCTGAACTAATGTCTGCCCTCTAAGCATGTGGCCTCCTCATCCCATTCAACACACCAGCATAGAAGAGACAGTCCAGCTATGTATATCGTATGACCACACCAACAAGCGGGCTCCTTCCTTGATACTTACAACAAAACACCATGTGCGTGACCACCACATCAAGCCAACTCACACTGAAAATCTAGGACTAAATTGACCTACTTCAATCACCTGGTCTTCATCGAAGGAGCTGACTGAGATGTTATCAATATCACTGGCACCATCTGCAAGCTCTTCCAGATGTTCTTCCATTGTCTGAGGCATGAGTTGCAACTCCTCCTTACTCTTGAACTCCAGGGCAGCTACATATGGTGGCAGGAGGATTCCTAGAAGCACCTGAAACATTGGAGCATGGCTACAGAGTGGAGATGGGGATTCCTAGTAGCACCTGAAACATTGCAGCATGGCTACAGAGTGGAGATGGGGATTCCTAGTAGCACCTGAAACATTGCAGCATGGCTACAGAGTGGAGATGGGGATTCCTAGTAGCACCTGAAACATTGGAGCTGCGTACAGAGTGGAGATGGGGATTCCTAGTAGCACCTGAAACATTGGAGCTGGGTACAGAGTGGAGATGGGGATTCCTAGTAGCACCTGAAACATTGGAGCTTGGTACAGAGTGGAGATGGGGATTCCTAGTAGCACCTGAAACATTGGAGCATGGGTACAGTGTGGAGATGGGGATTCCTAGAAGCACCTGAAACATTGGCGCATGGGTTCTGAGTAGAGAGGTTCCCTAGTAGAACCTGAAACATTGGAGCATGGGTACAGAGTGGAGGTGGGGATTCCTAGAAGCACCTGAAACACTGGAGCATGGCTACAGAGTGGAGATGGGGATTCCTAGAAGCACCTGAAACATTGCAGCATGGGTACAGAGTGGAGATGGGGATTCCTAGTAGCACCTGAAACATTGGAGATGGGTACAGAGTGGAGATAGGGATTCCTAGAAGCACCTGAAACATTGGAGCTGGGTACAGAGTGGAGATAGGGATTCCTAGAAGCACCTGAAACATTGCAGCATGGGTACAGAGTGGAGATGGGGATTCCTAGTAGCACCTGAAACATTGGAGCATGGCTACAGAGTGGAGATGGGGATTCCTAGTTGCTCCTGAAACACTGGAGCTGCGTACAGAGTGGAGGTTGGGATTCCTAGTAGCACCTGAAACACTAGAGCATGGCTACAGAGTGGAGATGGGGATTCCTAGTTGCTCCTGAAACATTGGAGCATGGTTACAGAGTGGAGGTTGGGATTCCTTACAGCATCTGACACATTGGAGTGTGAGTTAACAGAGGGCAGAAGGATTCCTAGTTTCCAAAGCAATTTATGAAATCGTACTACAGCACAACAGCAACAACTACATGAGGTGGATAATGTCAGCATCAGTACAATCCACACGGAAACACTGACACAGTCTGGTCACAGCTCATTGTTGCACATTGCACGGTGTCATTCATTCATGAGAAATGCATTCCCATTATGGCCAACATTTGTTTTGTTTGTTAACACCTCACTCAGCAATATTCCAGCTATATGACGGCGGTCTGTAAATTATCCAGTCTGGACCAGACAATCCAGTGATTGACATCATAAGCATCAACCCTCGCAATTGGGATACGATGACATGCATCAACCTATGCAGCGATCCTGACCACCGGATCCTGTTAGTCGCCTCTTACGGCAAGCATGGGCTGCTCAAGACCTATTTTAGCCCGGATCTTCACGGGTCTCATGACCAACAGATGAGCATTGTAATTTGTCTCACGTAAAAAGCATGTGTGCATGACCAGAACCAGAATACACACAGAATCTACAGACAGTATCACCTCATAGACACAGTACATTTACACATAGGGTAGGTGACCAACCTTCATACTTGTATTTTTCCTCATGCGCAGCCCCCCAATCCAGAGGTCGTTGAGTAGCACCTGGCAGCAGGTGTGGGCAATGAACTCCCGGTGGTTGGCGGCCACGGCAAGACTCAGGCAGGTCTGCTCACTGAAGTTCTTCAGCTCGTACGTGAGAAGTTGCTGGGTGTAGTCGTCGTCGATCTTGTAGCAGTGCTCCAGCAACTCCAGGGCCAGAGTCTGGAACTCTCTGTAACACAGATAACACTCTGTAACACAGATAACACTCTGTAACACAGATAACACTCTGTAACACAGATAACTCTCTGTAACACAGAGAACACTCTGTAACACAGATGACACTCTGTAACACAGATAATACTCTGTAACACAGATAACTCTCTGTAACCCAGATAACACTCTGTAACACAAATAACACTCTGTAACACAGGTAACACTCTGTAACACAGATAATACTCTGTAACCCAGATAACACTGTGTAACACAGATGACGCTCTCTAACACAGATAACACTGTGTAACACAGATAATGCTCTGTAACACAGATGACACTCTGTAACACAGGTAACACTCCCTTTGACAAAATGTAACACTCTGTAACAAACAACATTTCTATAAGAAAATCATTTCTAATATCTCAGTGTTTTATTCATACACTGTCATCTCCATAGAAGACTAAATGGTGATCTATTTATTTCTTGCCCGGTGATGAGACTGATACATAATGATAAACAGAATCTCATTTGTTGATAACTTAAACAAACCTAGGCAAAGATGCTTTTCTTTTACTAATGGAATCTACAGACAGGTTGTTGACATGGAATCTATAGACAGGGTGTTGACATGGAATCTATAGACAGGGTGTTGACATGGAATCTACAGACAGGGTGTGACATGGAATCTATAGACAGGGTGTTGACATGGAATCTATAGACAGGGTGTTGACATGGAATCTTTAGACAGGGTGTTGACATGGAATCTATAGACAGGGTGTTGACATGGAATCTACAGACAGGGTGTGACATGGAATCTATAGACAATTTGTTGACATGGAATCTACAGACAGGGTGTGACATGGAATCTATAGACAGTTTAAATTGTTGACATGGAATCTACAGACAGGGTGTGACATGGAATCTATAGACAGTTTGTTGACATGGAATCTACAGACAGGGTGTGACATGGAATCTATAGGCAGAGTGTTGACATGGAATCTATAGGCAGGTTGTTGACATGGAATCTATAGACAGGGTGATGACATGGAATCTACAGACAGGGTGTGACATGGAATCTATAGGCAGGTTGTTGACATGGAATCTATAGGCAGGTTGTTGACATGGAATCTATAGACAGGTTGTTGTGATTCTTAGTGCAATCAGTTCCTAGAACTACCATCAAATTTACTCACTTTGCATAGGATCTAAATTCATCCGATAGTTCTATTTCCAAGTCATCCTGGTCGGCCTCATGTGCCATTGCCTTGAACAGCTTGCATGCTAACAGAGCCTAGTGGAAAAGAGAGATAATATGTACTAAAGTAGTAATGTAACAATCCCTGTACGAGCACAACAATCCCCGCATGAACAACGTAAGTGTAGCTATCATTACACAATCCCTGTACCAGCACAACAATCCCAGCATAAACAACATAACTGTAGCCATCTATCATTACACAATCCCTGTATCAGCACAACAATCCCAGTTTGGACAACATTAGTGTAGCTATCATTACACAATCCCTGTATCAGCACAACAATCCCAGTTTGGACAACATTAGTGTAGCTATCATTACACAATCCCTGTACCAGCACAACAATCCCAGTTTAGACAACATAAGTGTAGCTATCATTACACAATCCCTGTATCAGCACAACAATCCCAGTTTGGACAACATTAGTGTAGCTATCATTACACAATCCCTGTACCAGCACAACAATCCCAGTTTGGACAACATAAGTGTAGCTATCATTACACAATCCCTGTACCATCACAACAATCCCAGCATGACCAACATAAGTGTAGCTATCATTACACAATCCCTGTACCAGCACAACAATCCCAGTTTAGACAACATAAGTGTAGCTATCATTACACAATCCCTGTACCAGAACAACAATCCCAGTTTGGACAACATAAGTGTAGCTATCATTACACAATCCCTGTACCAGCACAACAATCCCAGCATGACCAACATAAGTGTAGCTATCATTACACAATCCCTGTACCAGCACAACAATCCCAGTTTAGACAACATAAGTGTAGCTATCATTACACAATCCCTGTACCAGAACAACAATCCCAGTTTGGACAACATAAGTGTAGCTATCACTACACAATCCCTGTACCAGCACAACAATCCCAGCATGGAAAACATAAGTGTAGCTATCATCCTACAATCCCTGTACCAGCACAACAATCCCTGCATGGAAAACATAAGTGTAGCTATCATCCTACAATCCCTGTATCAGCACAACAACCCCAGTTTGGACAACATAAGTGTAGCTATCATTACACAATCCCTGTACCAGCACAACAATCCCAACATGAACAACATAAGTGTAGCTATCATTACACAATCCCTGTATCAGCACAACAATCCCAGTTTGGACAACATTAGTGTAGCTATCATTACACAATCCCTGTACCAGCACAACAATCCCAACATGAACAACATAAGTGTAGCTATCATTACACAATCCCTGTACCAGCACAACAATCCCTGCATGGACAAACTAAATGTAGCCATCTATCATCATACAATCCCTGTCAAAGTACAACAATCCCTGTACCAGGACAACAATCCCAGCAACGACAACATAAGTGTAGCTATCATTACACAATCCCTGTACCAGCACAACAATCCCAGCATGAACAACTTAAGTGTAGCTATCATTACACAATCCCTGTACCAGAACAACAATCCCAGTTTGGACAACATAAGTGTAGCTATCATTACACAATCCCTGTACCAGCACAACAATCCGAGCATGGAAAACATAAGTGTAGCTATCATCCTACAATCCCTGTACCAGCACAACAATCCCTGCATAAACACTTCCTTCCCTGGTATGTGTGATGAGACAAGGGGAGACAAACCTTGGCCATAGCCTCCTCGCCATGCTGCCACATGAACAGGGACATCTTCTGTCTCTTCATGAGGACGGCCCAGATCATCAGGTCATGGAATGGGTAGGGAAACAGCTCCTCCACCTGCTTGGTGTTCACAAGGTGTGGGATGGATGTCACCACATTGCCTATGGAGGTACCCTGGAAGGAAAAGAACCAGAGTATTCATATCATTTTAAAACATTAATAGGAATCATAGAAAACAACATTAGACAATACTTCATGTGTTACTTATTGCATACATGTATAATTAGAGACAACTAAAAAAACACTACATGTATATTTCCTGTAATTTGAAAACAGCTTACCTACTTAGCTCTTAAATATAGAAACTAATAGATGCTTAACACTACAACCCTTTCAGTCAATCAGTGACATGATTCCACAACGTTTCTGAACAAACAGAGTTATATCTATAAATATATAACCAAACTAATTGTTTGTAAAGTATGAATTATTGAATAATCCATCAACACAATCTGCCAAATGTTGGAACATTTATTCTATTAGTATAATGTCCTCATAGTGTAACGCACAGAAGCTATTCCCCCGAAGCTGTCCTGCATGCTTAGTGGCAAGTCGAGGTGCATCAACCATCTACCTGTTCTCTGTAGTCAAGTCACTACAATGTACAAGGCTGAACCCACAGTCGTGTTCTGGTCAAACACTGCTGACAGTGGACAACGCAAGGCGGTGAATAGGGCAGCTATAATGACACGGTCACTGTCATAGTTAGCAGGGCAGTAATATTGTGACACTGACACTGTCATAGGGAGCAGGGCAGCTATAGTGACACTGTCACTGTCATAGGGAGCAGGGCAGCTATAGTGACACTGTCACTGTCATAGGGAACAGGGCAGCTATAGTGACACTGTCACTGTCATAGGGAGCAGGGCAGCTATAGTGACACTGTCACTGTCATAGGGAGCAGGGCAGCTATAGTGACACTGTCACTGTCACAGTGTGCAGGGAGGCTATAGTGACACTGTCACTGTCATAGGGAACAGGGCAGCTATAGTGACACTGTCACTGTCATAGGGAACAGGGCAGCTATAGTGACACTGTCACTGTCATAGGGAACAGGGCAGCTATAGTGACACTGTCACTGTCATAGGGAGCAGGGCAGCTATAGTGACACTGTCACTGTCATAGGGAACAGGGCAGCTATAGTGACACTGTCACTGTCATAGGGAACAGGGCAGCTATAGTGACACTGTCACTGTCATAGGGAACAGGGCAGCTATAGTGACACTGTCACTGTCATAGGGAGCAGGGCAGCTATAGTGACACTGTCACTGTCATAGGGAACAGGGCAGCTATAGTGACACTGTCACTGTCATAGGGAACAGGGCAGCTATAGTGACACTGTCACTGTCATAGGGAACAGGGCAGCTATAGTGACACTGTCACTGTCACAGTGTGCAGGGAGGCTATAGTGACACTGTCACTGTCATAGGGAACAGGGCAGCTATAGTGACACTGTCACTGTCATAGGGAGCAGGGCAGCTATAGTGACACTGTCACTGTCATAGGGAGCAGGGCAGCTATAGTGACACTGTCACTGTCATAGGGAGCAGGGCAGCTATAGTGACACTGTCACTGTCATAGGGAGCAGGGCAGCTATAGTGACACTGTCACTGTCATAGGGAACAGGGCAGCTATAGTGACACTGTCACTGTCATAGGGAACAGGGCAGCTATAGTGACACTGTCACTGTCACAGTGTGCAGGGAGGCTATAGTGACACTGTCACTGTCATAGGGAACAGGGCAGCTATAGTGACACTGTCACTGTCATAGGGAACAGGGCAGCTATAGTGACACTGTCACTGTCATAGGGAGCAGGGCAGCTATAGTGACACTGTCACTGTCATAGGGAGCAGGGCAGCTATAGTGACACTGTCACTGTCATAGGGAGCAGGGAAGCTATAGTGACACTGTCACTGTCATAGGGAGCAGGGCAGCTATAGTGACACTGTCACTGTCACAGTGTGCAGGGAGGCTATAGTGACACTGACACTGTCATAGGGAGCAGGGCAGCTATAGTGACACTGTCACTGTCACAGTGTGCAGGGAGGCTATAGTGACACTGTCACTGTCATAGGGAGCAGGGCAGCTATAGTGACACTGTCACTGTCACAGTGTGCAGGGAGGCTATAGTGACACTGTCACTGTCATAGGGAACAGGGCAGCTATAGTGACACTGTCACTGTCATAGGGAGCAGGGCAGCTCTAATGACACTGTCACTGTCATAGTTAGCAGGGCAGTAATATTGTGACACTGACACTGTCATAGGGAGCAGGGCAGCTATAGTGACACTGTCACTGTCACAGTGTGCAGGGAGGCTATAGTGACACTGTCACTGTCATAGGGAGCAGGGCAGCTATAGTGACACTGTCACTGTCACAGTGTGCAGGGAGGCTATAGTGACACTGACACTGTCATAGGGAGCAGGGCAGCTATAGTGACACTGTCACTGTCACAGTGTGCAGGGAGGCTATAGTGACACTGACACTGTCATAGTGTGCAGGGCAGCTCTAATGACACTGTCACTGTCATAGTTAGCAGGGCAGTAATATTGTGTCACTGTCATAGTAAGCAGGGAAGCTATAGTGACACGTCACTGTCATACTGACAAAAATGCTGTGAAATTTTACTTTAGAAATGATACCTACAAATTACACAAATTCTAAATCTTTGACACATTCATTGTAAAGACTTAAAACATCACCAGTCAGAGCCATCCAAAGTCAACATAGCAATGCCAACTTACAAGCATGCTAAGTAATTCTATATTATACAAAATATTTCATGAGACAATGTAAGTTAATTACTGGCATTCTGATGATGCTATGGTAGAAATAATTGAAGAAATCACACTGATCAAACCTCAACTTTGGTGCATAGTGAGAAATTAGTGAAAGGGGACAATAACAGTACTGTTAATCCTCTTTAGTTGCTAGCTGTGTTAGTCCTAGTACAGGTGGGGTACTGAACATCATGTGGTTAGACACGCAAGACACAAAGAATTCACACAAATGTCAGTTAGTATATGATGTACAGAGCTATTTCACCATGTTCAATGTAAACATTTAGCTTCAGGTTATCTTGCTAGGGGTGTTGCCTTCTGTTTATTCAAATCCTGAAAAGTAATAATTTTAAAACATTTTTTATTAATCCTGTAAGCCTTGATTTCCACATGAATATCCCAATCACTCTGCAGAGCTAGGTCTTTCTAGCTTTCCTATGAGAGATAGGGAACAATACTGATATCACTGGAGACAAAACAAAAGAAAAGGTTGTAAGAACTGCTTCAAAGTTCTCATTCTCAGAATCCGGGTCAGAAGTGGTCTTCAACAACCCATAGCAGGAATATTACTGAGTGCGGTGTTAAACATCAAACAAACATTCTTATATTATAACATTGGTGTTCTTCTGAGACCCTGTTTACTTCACTTTGCCTTCTTAAAAAAAGAAGCCAGTTTTTGCATTAAAATATCATTTTCCATCAGAATAAAGAAATAATACATAAAATACAATCAAATAGATATTGTTATAAGAATAACTAGTGTAAGTCAGACAACTAGTGTGAGAAAGGTGAACTTTGAAAGCACAAAGACCCATGCAAACACAAACCAATCTAAGCAGATAGTGAGCTAGTGTCAGGCACTGTACCTCTTGTTCCGAAAGCTACAAAGGGAAAAACACCACATTCAGGTCATGCTGTCGGGAAACATTGCAGCATGGCGGTTATAAAACAGGAACAGGATCAGCTGATTATGTTCAACAGTTATAATACAGCTTTGCTTTATCAACAGCACCTGGTGACAATCCTGTTTCTATACAACCACAGATACAAGCTAGTGAAGGACAAGGGAGGTAAGGCCAGTGGACACAAGGGAAATAATTATAGCTAATTCCTATGAGGTGCTGTAACTTGCTATGGGGGATCCAATCTCATCAAAATCTGATCTTAGTCCTTGTTATTGCTAAACAAAGGTCTGAGGACATCTCATTACAGTCCATGCCAGAACTTCTTTGGAGAACTTTGACCAACTAATGAAATAACTAACATTAACTCAGTACTAGCCAATCAGGAAGCAGCTTTCTCCAGATATACAGTACTAGTTCCAAACGGATGACTTTGCTTTAAAAAATATCTTGACAAATTCTTGATTCAAGATTTGAAAACTGAATAAAAGAAAATTCTTGAATGTCAAATAGATGGCTTAGATTGTATGGCAGCACTTCCAATGGGCAATGCACAGTCTCGTCTGTTTATCCCACTGAAGCAAGAGATAGACGATGATTTTGACAGATTCTGTCGTGAAGCCCATAACAATTGTTCAGAATACCTCGGGTTAAATTTGTCGAGGTTGCATGATTAGAAAGCACATTCCGACTGTCACTTTCCAGATCTGGTAAGTGACGCTGTTATTGGTTGGATGAAAGGTTGTTCTGACGTGACCTGTTTCGGGATGTCCTCAGATCTTTGTTTTGCGGTAATGACAACTAAGATCTGATCTTAATGAGATTGAAGGAGATCAAGCCATGTCAGAATTGGGTTTGAATATAAAATTTGCCCCAATATGTTTCTACTTTCTGTCAGCATTATACAAACTCATAGAAAGGTGATGAAAGTTTATGACAGGCATCACTTGGTACTTGAGCTTCTATGAAATAACTAAAAAAACGTTCCAGTTATGAAGTGTTAGACCCAACCCAGTCACTCTCTCATTCCACAAAAGTACACACCACTGTCTCATGTGCAAAGGCCCATCATGGAACATAGGCCCAACCCAGGTGGACTTATAACTGGTTCATAGCCCACCCCAAAGTATTTTTATCAATAGGCATACCTTGTATCATTCTCAAACATTGTTATCAGTAAAAGATCATTTGACATCATCTACTTGTGGTGTACTGCAAAGACCCACTCTGTACAGCCTCTTTGTATGCCCACATCCCCACAACCTGCACTGATGTCCATCACTATCAACATGCATTCCATGCTATATAGGAACAGGCATGATGACCAAGGCTGCTGCTGCTGCTGGCATAGCTTGACGACATGGGGATACATTTATTAATGAGAGGAGCATCAATAAGAAAAAGACACTTATACCTAGCTGGGTAACACAGGATTTGCAAATACACTGAAGGCACATAATACCCAAATCATTTAAACTGCTAAACTTTGAGACTTGTGAAGATAGCCGAGTTCATTCAGAGCGTGAAAGAATTTACATTCTGACAAATATTTATCTAATGTTTGAAACTACTCTACATCCGAAACATGCAATGCATACAATGAGACAGCAGTCATGAGTCGATGCAGTACAGCCAGTCTCTAGTTCAATATTTAGCCTATCTATACCAGGCATGAGCTCGAGATGTGACATTGATGTACCTTGCACAGATTCTACTGGAAATCATCTTCCCGAGGCAAGGGAGTTAAATGACTATAAAAGTCCAGTTTCCACCCTTGCCAAACTAGGCTGGTATTATGGACTTACATTTCGGGTGGACTAACGAGTCTATGCATAGTCCAATCAAAATCGCGCAATGAAAATGAAATCCGGTTCGTAAACTGTCGTGTAGATTTCGGTCGATTGCAGGATTTGCAAAGGATATGCACCGCCAATGTGTTGTCAACAGATATTTTCCAAATCTTTTCATGTTTTTAATCACTTGATTTGATGAACTTCGCGATGTAAGACCCATTTTATCACAATATAGATCTTGATTATCGATTAGATCGTCTTGACTGGGTGCCACCATTTTGTTTGAAGCAAATGCAAGTGATAGAAGAGGTGGAGTCTGATTCGTCCATAGGAGAGGCTTAGAAGGGACATAACTTGTAATAACCACTGGTGGCGCTATGATCGAGCCCAGGAATTCAGGCCTAGTTCAGCAAGGGTGGAAACTGGACTTTTAAAGTCAGCTAACTCTCTTGCCTCGGGAAGATGACTCGAAATATGCATGTTGTAACATATGATTCATACAGACCTGGAGGGAAACAGTCATCTACATATCCTCCATAACTTTCAAGTGGTATTTAACCCCTGATCTTTGACACTGACTTACGTCAGTCATAGAACTAAGACCACCTTGTGGAATGGGGGCAGATTCAGAACCGTCTTGTTCATGACAAAACTTAAGGTTAATCCTAATATGGTTTGAAATTTGGATTGTTCACAGGACAAACAAACTTGCACACCATGAAGAACAAATTGGCATGTGTGAATTAAAGGAAATTGCTTTCAATATTTTGCATCATCTAATTTCTTTCTGAGAAGATGAAAGAATAAGAGTTCTTTTAACACAAATCAAATACCTTTCAGGGACATGTAAAAGCTTCAGTAACCAAATTCCAGTGCTTGTCCTGGTCTGTATGAACCCTAGTTTATATTCCATGAAGACGTGACAGAAAGACAGGGGAAAAGCTGATTTGAATATTTATTAAACTCACATGGTTCTTGAGTGCGAGGTACTTCTGACGGAATCGTTTTCGACAGTATGATGAGCGGAACGCGCCTCCCATGAGATGTTGGACAACAAGCCCCACATCAGGTAGCGTGTAGCTGTAGTTGGAGGGAACATGCTGGAAAATATTGCAACATTCATTACTTCGAACCTTTATACAACTGTCATGTGTTTTATACCGCCGTACTCAGCAGTGACGTGACAGCAGCCTGGTTATAATCAGGTCTGGACAACACAAGCCAGGGATTGATATGACGAGCAATACCTCACACCATTGGGGTACAATGTTAACAGGTCACCAGGACTCTCACTGCACATTTGTTTGAGTCAAGAGCATAATTTAAGTCATGCATGAGCTTAACTCTCTGTCTACAGGACATTTATAAAAAAGTCATGAATATTCTGTTGATTGAAACACGTCATGAAACAAAATCAAAAGTTTGTTGCAGTCCTTTGAATGCATTTGTAGCACTTAGTGAGTGAGTGAGTATGGTTTTACACCGCTTTTAGCAATATTCCAGCAATATCACGGCAGGGGACACCAGAAATGGGCTTCACACATTGTACCCATGTCGTGAATTGAACAACGCTTTAACCACTAGGCTACCCGACCGCCCCTGTAGCACTTAGTACTGACTGATATAAATAGGTCAAACATGAATCATCGAAAAAATATTTCAGTGTAGTTTGGGTGAAAACTGCATCAATCTTACAGGATTCAGTTTCTTGAAAAGTTATTGTCCTGTATCTACCTGACAATATCTTCATTACCTTCTCAGTAACTGCCTGTTTTTACAGGTTGCTGCATGCTCACGGGCATGGCCAAACACTGCACACGTCTTCTTGTTGTCTTACCTTTCGGATGTCACGGATCAGGTATCTTAAGGTGTTGGTTGGGCCTTGCCTCTGTTGTGAAAACACATTTTAAATTGATAGTACACATGTCCTGTGAGTTGGGTTCAATGCCACTTTGAACAGTATTTCAGTTATTTCATGGCATTTCAGCCTATATAATTAGTGTTGGAGTGAGTGAACAGTTATTGCTTTTAAAAAGACACATCAGCAATCTTGCAGCTATTTGCGGAGAAAACATTTGGACAAAGCCCGATAATTAGTGACAATATTCAGATGGATGTGGTGCTGACACACCAAGGATCATTATCTGGGGAATCTTGGATTTGAACCAACGTTCAGTAGATCCTGACTAAGGGAGGTAACTGTGCTCCAGATCTAGAGTGAAGACAACCAGCAAGAGTACATATACTACTCAAAAGAAGTTAAAGAACACCCATATGACAGTAGATAACCTGTCTAGTGATGCAGTAAAACATATGGGTGCTGGTGGCCATGGTAATTATATAATCCTCACCGTGTTGTAGAGGATCTCCAGCCGAGGGATGGTGAGGAAGGTGTGCATGCTGACTCCGTTCTCCAGCAGCAGCTTCACAAAGTCCACACGGTCGTTGATAAGGGCATCCATCATTGCTTGCTCCAGAGACCCTTCCTGAAACATACAACATACCACTAGCATCATGCAGGTCAGCACATGGAGTGTCAAGCCTTCCGTTTCAGCAGGAATGAATCTAAGGGATGAATGCTTGAAACTGCTTCCTTTGCATTGATTCACTTGGAAAATGTCTATACTGTCATTAGCAACATAGCAGGCCGTCTACAGTCAAAACTTTTTCAACATGTTTAAAAACAAATTAACATATAGTGACATTCTCCCAATCGCAACTGTAAAGTCTATATATCTTATTCTGTCAGCCTTTACATAATACCAAGTCTTCCATAAACATTTAGAAGTTGGAAGAAGAGGAAGACTTTTTAGGAATAACAGACAACAAAGAAGTCTATATCCACAAAAGGTTTCATGTCTTCATTCCTATTATACAAAGAAAATAATCCTTACAGAAATCAAACATTAATACATTTCACATTAAATCACATCCTACTCTCCAAATGATCCAAATGTTAAAGGGAGGTAACTCTGCTGTATGACATGCAGAAAGATGTGTATCGAACTCACCGGCCACTCCTGTCCATACACAAATATATGGCTTCGTGCAATGTCCACTCTGTCCCAGGTGAGAGCTAGACTCAGCTGGTCAGGAGCACTTGCGTTGGTACCTGGAACATGTCATAATATTTGTCATAATTTATTTGCAGGTCCCAATCTCTAAACACAGTATATTTTTATAATAACCAATGGTTGAAACCATTTGAAACATATTGGCCAACGATTAGGTAATGTCTCATTGTTAAGGCAATATTTCCCTCCATCTCTGCGATAACAGGAGATGACTGCATGGTGTTAAAAGTAACACAATACAAACAATGACAAAATGAATATGTTCTCAGATTTATTCTCAACACGAACATGAGATAAAATTTTCTTACGAGGAATAACTTATATCCATAATATTTTAAGACTGTGGTATAGTTTGGACGGAGAACACATATGTGGTGGTTCGATCCCTACCCACATCATGTCCAAAGATACTGAAAGATCACATGTGTAACCCTGCCTGGTGCTCTGCATTAAGGTAGGGCGGTGGGTTAGTCTAGTGGTTAAAGCATTCACTTGTCTCGCTGAAGACCCAGGTTCGATTCCCCTCATGGGTACAATGTGCGAAGCCCATTTCTGGTGTCCCCCGCCGTGATATTGCTATGCGTAATATGCGTAAAACCATACTCACTCACTCACTGCATTAAGGGGCTAAGACAAGGACAGGTCAGCTCAGAGTCTGCATTCTGTGTCTGAGTAGGGTATCCATGTTAAACTGTGGCAGGGTATCTCATTGGACTAGCACCATAAAACAGACATTAGTCTGGAGTAGTACAATGCACTTGCACGCACGCAGTAATCTTGAATGCAATGTTAATCCCCATTTCAGGAATAAAGCACTTTTAAAGTGTGCAGTCATCTCACTGAAGTCGGGGCGGTCGGGTAGCCTAGTGGTTAAAGCGTTCGTTTGTCACGCTGAAGATCCGGGTTCGATTCCCGACATGGGTACAATGTGTGAAGCTCATTTCTGGTGTCCCCCGCCGTGATGTTGCTGGAATATTGCTAAAAGCGGCGTAAAACCATACTCACTCACTCCCTCACTCTCATTGAAGTCCTTGGTTCTCTTACAACATGAGAAGAAACTGCGAGGCCATGCTTTGAGTGCTCCTCTGTGCTGGAATATGGCGACAAGAAGCTCAAGTCCTACTCACTCAGTCACTCACCTTTGAGCAAAGCAGTGAGGATGGCCAAGTCTATGTCCTGGGATCCTTCACTCATTCGGAATACTGTTATCTGAAAACAACAGCAATCTGTATGGAGATAGTTGACCGAGGAACATGATCTGCTCCCTACATCCAAGTGTTACACTCTGCGATGATGTAGCTCATCTATTGATTTTTGTGAGTTTTCTCCCTTACACTAGTTCAACGGAGGGTGAATCTTGTCAAGTGTGCAAAATGACAAACAACAAGAAAACATAGTTATCACTATCCCCTGCCATGGGGGACATTAGAATTGTGTTCGTTCATACAGTAGTGAATATAAACCATAAAAGTCATATAAAACCTTAAAAAGAGACAGCCACTAAGGCCGCTTAATGTCATCTGAAAAATTGATTAAATGTGAAATTAATTAACACAAAAGGCCCCTTCTCTAGAAAAAATAATTATGACTAGGTTACTGAATTAACAATGTTATCAAGACATCAGTTCTTTTCCTAATTTGTTCAGAAAAAGATAGGTGGGTGAGAAACAGCCAAAGTTCTAATTAAAGTTATGTGTAAGTTATTTTAGTGGCAGTTGAAACCATTGTAGATATATTTGTAGCAACTGTCAGTTGTAGCAGAGGACTGAAATACCAGTAACACATAACAAGTGATGTTGTGGGTTGAAACCAGTTGTAGATATATTTGTAGCAACTGTCAGTTGTAGCAGAGGACTGAACTACCAGTAACACATAACAAGTGATGTTGTAGCATGGACTTGTATATAGGTCCGTGGTTGTAGCAGATGACTGAAATACCAGTAACACATAACAAGTGATGTTGTGGGTTGAAACCAGTTGTAGATATATTTGTAGCAACTGTCAGTTGTAGCAGATGACTGCATTACCAGTAACACATAACAAGTGATGTTGTGGGTTGAAACCAGTTGTAGATATATTTGTAGCAACTGTCAGTTGTAGCAGAGGACTGAACTACCAGTAACACATAACAAGTGATGTTGTGGGTTGAAACCAGTTGTAGATATATTTGTAGCAACTGTCAGTTGTAGCAGAGGACTGAACTACCAGTAACACATAACAAGTGATGTTGTAGCATGGACTTGTATATAGGTCCGTGGTTGTAGCAGATGACTGAAATACCAGTAACACATAACAAGTGATGTTGTGGGTTGAAACCAGTTGTAGATATATTTGTAGCAACTGTCAGTTGTAGCAGATGACTGCATTACCAGTAACACATAACAAGTGATGTTGTGGGTTGAAACCAGTTGTAGATATATTTGTAGCAACTGTCAGTTGTAGCAGAGGACTGAACTACCAGTAACACATAACAAGTGATGTTGTGGGTTGAAACCAGTTGTAGATATATTTGTAGCAACTGTCAGTTGTAGCAGAGGACTGAACTACCAGTAACACATAACAAGTGATGTTGTAGCATGGACTTGTATATAGGTCCGTGGTTGTAGCAGATGACTGCATTACCAGTAACACATAACAAGTGATGTTGTGGGTTGAAACCATTGTAGATATATTTGTAGCAACTGTCAGTTGTAGCAGATGACTGAAATACCAGTAACACATAACAAGTGATGTTGTGGCCAGACTCGTGCAGCAATCGACAGCAGCAAGTACAATCTCGTTAAAATCACATAATCATTTACTGATTTCACAATTTAGTTATGTGCAAATCGATTTCTGGGTTAATCTTGATGTCACAAGCTGGAGTTTGGTACGACTACAATGGTGCATGCACATGTGTGTGTTGTGTGCAAGTGGTGTCTGTGTGTGTGTGTATGTGTGTGTGTGTGTGTGTGTGTGCGTGCGTGTGTGCGTGCATGCGTGCGTGGCAGTAGGATGGGGGGGTGGGGTAGGGGGGTGAGGTGACATGGGGTGTAACGTCACATTCAAGATTATTGCTGCTTTATAGCGACGTGTGGGGAGCGGGGGGGGGGGCTGCTTGAACTAGAGTGGACTGATGCTGATTTTCACTGCTAGCTCACTGAGACACCATGCCGCAGTTTAACATGAATACCCAACTCAGACACAGTATACTGACTCCGAGCTGACTGGTTCTTGTTGTTTTACCCCCGAGTGCCGAGCACCAGACAGGGTAACAAGAAGTACCATCTTTTAACATCCTATGGTATGACGCATCCGGGGTTAAAACCCCTGGCTTTCCACTCTCAGGGCAGATGCTTTTCAACTAGACCACGAAAGCGGTCTAGTTCTGGACCCTGCAGCTTATCAGATTTTAATTGCGTTTCTGCTGGGGAAGTTAGATGGCACTGGTTAAACATAAAAATACTGGGAAAAGCATGGTATCCATGTGGAAAGCTATTGCCTATTAACCACATGCTGACTTTAATCAAACTATCTTTATGCTCTGATTAATTTGGTTGCCATGGAATCTAAACCATAATTAGAATGGAAATGATTTGAACAATCCACTTGTTTGATCATCTAAGCAATGCATTATTGACTCTTTAATTTGGAGAACAACCCCTTAAATAAATAAAGATATTTTAAAATTTTGATGCCTTTTACAATATAAGAAACAGGAACTGAAATGTCATGTTATTTGGTTCTTGAAAAAAGAAGAAAAGTTTTTTGCAATATTGTCCAAAAAGGCAAAAGTTGATTGACGCTACAAATAAACATGAAATATCTAAAGTCATCATAATTTATAAAACTTTTATCATAATTTATAAAACTTTCTGGGATTCATGGTTTCTGAGAAAAGATCTGTTACAAAGTAAAAAGTTGATGCATTGAACCAAAAAGAGCCCTTTCATACATAGAGATTATCAAATAAGCAGGTCTGTTAAACTGATTTTACAAACGAGTGTCAGAATTCTTATATTTCCCGAGCGAGTTTTGTAAAATCAGTATGACACACACGCAAGTGTAATAATTTCTTTTTTACCCTTTATTTCTTCATATCATTCTTACATCACTATACAATTTGAGCAATGTCAACATTGCCGTCCGGATGACGTAGACAATACACTGGTGCATGTGAAGTGATATTTGCACCAAGGCACATACGATTTTTATGACCTCGGTTATTTCTAACCTTATTGGTAATAAAGTTAGGAACAACTTCAAAAGTCTCCATTCAAACCATCACACAGTTCTGGAAAAAAAACTGACTTTAAATTGCTGAAGAAGATTTCCAGACAACTCACTATGGCGTCACAGGCTAGGTGAGGTAAGAAGAGCTTAACATATATTTTTTCTGTTTTAGGTCAGTACAACTTTCTGGTAATCCCACTAATCATGTATTTACTGATATTCATAAACTGATGACCACAGCTGTTCCTGTGCAGTAATGAGAAGCTCTTCATGCATCCTGGCATGTGTTCAGTTAGTGACAGCTTGACAGAAACCTTCATGATATTTTCCCTAGGCAGAATGTTTGAACAGTGGCAGTGAAATAAAATACTTCTCTGGATTCAATTTATCTGAACCCCATTCTGACAAACATATTGGTCAAATATAGTCCTGATCATTTGCTCAAACTTCATGGCCCCACTTACTTCTTGATACTGGCTGGCATAGCCACTTGATACTGGCATAGCCACCTGATCCTGGCATAGCCACTTGATACTGGCATAGCCACCTGATCCTGGCATAGCCACTTGATACTGGCTGGCGTAGCCACTTGATACTGGCTGGCATAGCCACTTGATACTGGCATAGCCACTTGATACTGGCATAGCCACTTGATACTGGCTGGCATAGACACTTGATACTGGCATTGCCACTTGATACTGGCATAGCCACCTGATATTGGCTAGCCTTTTACTACTGATATAGCCAACTGATACTGGCTGGCATAGCCATTTGACAGTGAAATAGCCACCTACTACTGATATAGCCATTTGATACTGATATAGCCACTTGATACTGTCATAACCACTTGATATTGTCATAGCAACTTGATACTGTCATAGCCACTTAATGCTGGTATAGCCACTTGATACTGACAAAGCCACTTGATTCTCAGATATAGCAACTTGATTCTCAGATACAGCCACTTGATACTGGCATAGCCACTTGATATTGGCATTGCCACTTGATACTGTTATAGCCACTTGATATTGGCACTGCCACATAATACTAGCATTGCCACTTGATACTGGCATAGCCACTTGAAATTGGCATAGCCACTTGATACTGGCATAACCACTTGATACTGGCATAGCCACTTGATACTAGCATTGCTACTTGATACTGGCATAGCCACTTGATACTGGCATAGCCACTGGATGCTGGCATAGTCACTTAAAACTGATATCACCACTTAATACTGATATAGCCATTTGATACTGAAATGGCCACTTGCTACTGATATAGCCACCTGATTCTCAGATATAGCCACTTGATACTGGCATAGCCACTGGATGCTGGCATAGTCACTTAAAACTGATATCACCACTTAATACTGATATAGCCATTTGATACTGAAATGGCCACTTGCTACTGATATAGCCACCTGATTCTCAGATATAGCCACTTGATACTGGCATAGCCACTTGATACTCGGGTATAGTCATGTGATACTGACATAGGCACTTGATACTGGTATAGCCACTTGATATTGATATAGCCACTTGATACTGGTATAGCCACTTGATACTGATATAGTCACTTGATACTTGCATAGCCACTTAATACTGATATAGCTACTTGAGGTTGTCATAGCCCCTGAATGCTGACATAGCCACTTGATACTGATATCGCCACTTGATACTGGTATAGCCACTTGATACTGATATAGCCACTTGATACTGATATAACCACTTGATACTGATATAGCTACTTGATACTGATATAGCCACTTGATACTGATATAACCACTAAATGCTTGCATAGCCACTTGATATTGGCATAGTCACTTGATACTTATATAGCCACTTGATACTGATGTGATGTGAGGTGAGGTGAGGTGAGGTGAAATGGGGTTTAACATCGCTTCCAGATACTGATATAGGCACTTGATTCTCAAGTATAGTCATGTGATCCTGGCATAGCCACTTGATATTGGCATAGCCACTTGATACTGATATAGCTACTTGATGTTGTCATAGCCCCTGAATGCTGGCATAGCCACTTGATACTGATATAGCCACTTGATACTGATATAACCACTTAATGCTGGCATAGCCACAATTGATATTGGCATAGCCACTTGCTACTGATATATACTGATATAGCCACTTGATACTGATATAGCTACTTGAGACTGGCATAGCCACATGATACTGATATAACCACTTAATGCTTGCATAGTCACTTGATACTTATATAGCCACTTGATACTGATGTGAGGTGAGGTGAGGTGAGGTGAGGTGAGGTGAGGTGAAATGGGGTTTAACATCGCTTCCAGATACTGATATAGGCACTTGATTCTCAAGTATAGTCATGTGATCCTGGCATAGACACTTGATATTGGCATAGCCACTTGATACTGGTAAAGCCACAAGATACTGACATAGCCACCTGAGACTGACATAGCCATTTAATACTAATATAGCCACTTGATACTTGATACTAATATTGCCACTTGATTCTCAGATAAAGCCACTTGATTCTCAGACACAGCCACTTGATACTGATATCGCCACTTAATACTGATATAGCCATTTGATACTGAAATAGCCACTTGATTCTCAGATATAGCCACTTGATACTAATATAGCCACTTAATACTGATATAGCCACTTGATACTGGCAAAGCCACATGATACTGATATAATCACTTAATGCTGGCATAGCAACTTGATATTGGCATAGTCACTTGATACTGATATAGCCACTTGATACTGATATAGCCACTTAATGCTGGCATAGTCACTTTATATTGGCATAGCCACTTGATACTGGTATAGCCACTTGATACTGATATAGTCACTTGATACTGATACAGCCACTTGATACTGATATAGCCACTTGATACTGATCTAGCCACTTGATACTGATATAGCCACTTAGTACTGATATAGCCACTTGATACTGATATAGCCACTTGGTACTGCCATAGCGACTTGATGCTGGCATAGCCACTTTATACTGGCATATCGACTTGCCACTGATATAGCTACTTGATGCTGATGTAGCCACTTGATGCTGAGGTATAGTCATGTGATACTGACATAGCCACTAGATACTGACATAGCCACTAAATACTGGCATAACCACTTGATAATCAGGTACAGCCATGTTGTACTGAGAAGGTCCTTTGCATGTTATATCAGCATGCTCTATTTAAAGAACCTTCTCTTCCTTTGTTGAAAATGCAAAAGAAAGGAAGAAGTTTCCAGGCAGCTTTTGTTCCCTATTTACAGTGCCTGAAATCCCTAACTAATAATTGTTTCCGATTTATTCATTTCATGATCTCGTGTCTCCAACATGAGATTTAATGCGCGCATACCAGTTCCTTCTTCTTGACACACAGCATGAGTTCGATGAAGAGTTTCTCTGCCTGCTCCTGGGTGTACTGAAAGGTCTTCTGTATCGTCATGATTAGCTGATCACGTAGACTCTCTGGCATTGTGCTGCAACATATGTACAGTCGTCAGCAAACAATCACATTGTTGGATTATATAAATGAGTTAAGACAGGGTTAATAAAAAGCTGAAAAGCAAATATATTTTCAGTCATTAAGTTAAAATACAAAAAAACACATTCTACCATGACATCAAAGAATTCTGACGGTTAAAAAGAAGTATCCCTTTTCAAACTGAAACCTCTTTGAAATGAGGCCCTTATCTCTCCAAACTGCAGATGAAAACATCGACCGACAGCCTACACATCAACACATATAACAATGGTTGCCAATAATCCATTAGAATATTGTACATAATCGATATGAACAACAGCTTATCAAACATGATGAAATCAGAAATCAATTTTTCGAATCATCATCTGCAGACAAAAACGGCAGTGATCGCCATACTTCAGGGTGTGTTCCTTTGGCAATGGTTGTGCCAGGAGGCACAGTTCCACCAGTACATCATCAGGTTAAAGTTTAACATAACTATTGATCAAGATTGTCCTCCCTCTTCCTGCAATTTGTACCTGTCACTGTGAGCAACTATTTTGGCAGCCATTGACAGTGATGAGTATTTCAAGTTTACCCAATCCTAAGTGCGGGGTGAAGAAATTCGTAATATGTATTACTGTTGGGGAATTGTGTTTTGAACTGTTATTTTGAGCTAGTCAAGACGTATTTTAATTTAGAACTTTAGCATTATTTTACAATTCTATTTACATCTGACACCTTTTCGAAATTTTGTAGCCATGAGTAATTACATGTTCCAAGGGAACACCATTAATAAAGCACTCTTGCTGTCATGGTAGAATGGAGATTAACCTACATGTGTTTTGAAATTTTATAAAGAGCTTGGTTCCAAATAAGAGATATCTACTCTACAGTAGGACTACATTAAGTTTCAAAACACAGTAGGTTTATCTCCTTATTGAGATTCAAAAAGGTTTTTGCCTTTAATACACAATAATTACCATTCAAAATGAATAAGTACAAGAAATATGTCAAAGCATCAAAAGTGTCACTTTGAAAACTCATAAATGATAAGTAAAGATTTTCATTTTCATTTTGGTCTATGTGCTTTGGTGCTATGTGGATGAATACCATCAACGACAAGGCAAGGCCACCATCCAGTCTATCAATAAGGAGCTACTTTTAGCACGACTAAAAGGCATCCCTGATGCAATATATTTGTCATAAATGTCACACAATCATTAAAGGTATATTAGGTTTCTTTTCTTCTGAATTGTAGAAGGCTCATGAAATATCTAGGTGATGCTCTCTGAGAATTGCTGCAACTGATGCTGTTCTCACCCATCATCAATGGTGTACTTGTGTGTGAAGGCCAGGAGATCGGCGGCCCGCCCACTCCCATCACACACCACCACGGGGACTGGGGGGGTGTCGGTCACATACTCCAGGACAGAGCGGATGGTGTTGGCTCCACCCTCCAGCACCACACAGATCACCGGCACACCACGCCCTTTCACACCACTGGCTGCAAGCAAATACACACTATTAAATGTGATGCGTTCATGATTGCCATCTGGTTATTCCTAGGAGGAAGAGAGAATTAGCTGGTGAGGGAAAATAGTTTTGTCAACTGCTTTTCCAGTACATGTACCACTTTAAAATGTGTGGGAGGAAATTGAGAACATCGTGAGGCTCAATGAGGGGAAGGTTTTACAAGATCAGCTTCAGTTTGGCATACTAAGGGTGACACATAGGGGGTGTGCAGGCTTTGGTTTGAGAGGGGTGTGTGGGTGTGGGTGTGGGTGTGGGTGTGGGTGTGGGTGTGGGTGTGGGTGTGGGGTTGTGTGGGGTTGTGTGGGTGTGGGTGTGGGTGTGGGTGTGGGTGTGGGTTTGAGAGGGGTGTGGGTGTGTGTGGGAGTAGGGGTGGGGACGTGGATGTCTGGGTGTGAGAGTAAGTGTGAGTATGAGCGTGGGTTGTGGATTATAGATTGTGGGTTGTGAGTTGCGAGTTGTGGGTTGAGAGTTGTTGATTGTGGTGGGTTGTGATTTGTGGGTTGTGGATTGTGAGTTGTGAGTTGCGGGTTGTGGGTTGTGGGTTGTTGGTTGTGGTGGGTTGTGAGTTGGGGTTGTGAGTTATGGATTGTGAGTTGTGGGTTGTGAGTTGTGGGTTGTGGTGGGTTGTGAGTTGCGGGTTGTGGGTTGTTGGTTGTGGTGGGTTGTGAGTTGGGGTTGTGAGTTGTGGATTGTGAGTTGTGGGTTGTGGGTTGTTGATTGTGGTGGGTTGTGAGTTGTGGGTTGTGGATTGTGAGTTGTGAGTTGCGGGTTGTGGGTTGTGGGTTGTTGGTTGTGGTGGGTTGTGAGCTGGGGTTGTGAGTTGTGGATTGTGAGTTGTGGGTTGTGAGTTGTGGGTTGTTGGTTGTGGTGGGTTGTGAGTTGTGGGTTGTGAGTTGCGGGTTGTGGGTTGTTGGTTGTGGTGGGTTGTGAGTTGTGGGTTGTGAGTTGTGGGTTGTTGGTTGTGGTGGGTTGTGAGTTGTGGGTTGTGAGTTGCGGGTTGTGGATTGTGAGTTGTGGGTTGTGGGTTGTTGGTTGTGGTGGGTTGTGAGTTGTGGGTTGTGAGTTGCGGGTTGTTGGTTGTGGGTTGTTGGTTGTGGTGGGTTGTGAGTTGGGGTTGTGAGTTGTGGATTGTGAGTTGTGGGTTGTGAGTTGTGGGTTGTTGGTTGTGGTGGGTTGTGAGTTGTGGGTTGTGAGTTGCGGGTTGTGGGTTGTGGGTTGTTGGTTGTGGTGGGTTGTCAGTTGTGGGTTGTGAGTTGTGGTGGGTTGTGGGTTGTGATTTGTGGGTTGTGAGTTGTGGGTTGTGGGTTGTGAGCCGTGGGTTGTGGGTTGTGGGTTGTGGGTTGTGGGCTGTGTTTGTGTATGATTTTATGACGAAACCCCAAAAGGACAAATTAAAATCACTCCTAGGTAAATACAATATTAATGGTCTTTTGAAGGTATTGTATTGATCAATACTAAAGTTAAAAAGGTGCATACATTAAATGCTGAACATAGTTAATTTTTTATATTTTACTTAGATTTTGAACATAAAATAAAAAGGTCAAGAAAAAAAAGAAGAAGAGTAAGTGAGTTGGGTTTAACGCCGCTTTTAACAGTATTCCAGATATATAGCGGTGTATCAGCTTAACGTGGGAGGAAAGCCCGAAGTGATGCAGGTCTCAGAAAGAAGAAATAAATCAGGTAATAACAAATAAATGGTGTTCTTGTTTTACAAATATTTTTTATTACAGCTGTATGAACAATCCCATCAGGACCAGTGGTAATATCATGGAGTCAGAGTTCAGCTTAATGGCTCCAGTGGTTCTCAAGTGCTGCTAACAGGTTTTCTATGTTACCAAGGCAATATAGGGAGATTATAGGATTCTTGGAATCAAGGCAGGGCAAACAATCTCAAGGTACATCATGTTGTACAAAAATTGAACAAATAGTGAAGAAAAGCAAATTTTACAATTAACTTTGGATTATTAAATGTAGGTTCAAACTGAATGTCAAATAAGGCCACAGCAAATGCCAGTTGAACTTTTGAAGTTAAATAACCAGGTTTCAAATAAACAGGAGAAAGTGTCATAATACAGTCCTGAAGGACAATGCAGCATGTATCTGGCTGATGGCTGAACAAATCTCAAAAAGGATCAAGGTCAAGCGAAACTTGACTTTCCCATTACCTACAATAAAATATTTTGGCCACTAAAATTTCATGACTCTAAAAACCCCAAACAACCATGATGTTATCTAAAGCCAGCAAAACTAAAACAACTCAATTGGTTCTGTCTAGACTAAATCTCCCATGAATAAAACTGTCAATATCATAAAAACAATAATCAATAGCAATAACAAACTTTTCAATTTAATCAGAACATGGACGCCCTGAATGAAGCACCTGTACCTTGAAGTTTTTACAGTTATGTCGACACAATATTTGAATGATTGTACTGAATTCACAGAGCACTACCATGAGAAAACATACAACTTTGTAGAGAACAGCTTCTGGTTTATTGCATTTAGCGACATTTCGATGTAGATTCTTACACCGTTGATAATTGGACAAAGCCAGATGTACAGTAAGAATAACAAATAGCACCCAGGTAATTAACACTACAAGTCAAGCACCAGTGTAACCTGCCTAGTTGTACATGGTACTGTATTCATGGAGCAGGCTATGGTAATCTAATACCCCGTGTATGTAGCACCTGGAGAGGTTGCCACAACGTCAGTGTTTGTAGGATACTAGTGAGTACACCATGTTATTGGATAACCCCAGCAGCATGGTAACTGGGGTAAGCACAGTGTATTTCATGATCTATGCTATGTAATGTGTAACTGATGCCCCTCTCTGCACATCCCACATCCAGGGAGTAGTTGGTATTAGATGCACAGTACATGCAGGACCAAGGGGAACAGTTTAGACGGAATGAAGCATCACTCGGTCCATATACAATAGTTCTTGTTTCCTACATGTGAAACACAGAGAATTAATGTCAAGATGTAACATGGATTGAATCAATAGATTCTAATGGTTTGGTCAGTGCATAAGGTGGACCTGGATTAGGATGTAAGTGCAACCACTGAGTTAGATTTGTACACAGGTACACAAATCCAAGGCTCTGTAGCTCACCAATTATAATAACAATAACGATAATAATAATAATAATAATAATAATTGAGCACTGAGTTCAAGGTAGGCTGCTCACAAATGTTTTACATTATGATACCCCAGTTAATGGATCAGTGTGCACTCGAGTCTCCCAAGCTGCCTGGGGAGTATACAACCCAAGCTCCATGTGAGGCACCAGAAGGTTAACATTCACCATCTCATCCTACCAGGTACCCACTCACTGCTGGGTGAGCAGGGGCATATTTGAACAAAGTCACCTGCCTAGGGAGACACCACATGCATCACCTGTGCTTCAGAGAGGGCAGGACCGAGCCCTAGAAACTCTCGGGAGTGAAGCTGGTGAACATGGTCACCCATCCAACTACTCTCTGTGACCAGCAGGACCACGCACCACCACACTGTCCTACAGCTGCTAACAGAGGATGTCAACTCTAGTTATCATTTACAAATTCTCCTCACCTAGCTACAATGTGAACCCACTCCTGCAATGACCCCGACTTGCGTCAGCAAGATGGGTTCAAGGGTGGTTTGAACAGTATTTCATTTATATCATGGCATGTCAGATTAATTAATTAATGTGAGGAAAACCCAAACTCATGCAGGTCTTCGCTGTTTACCACTTTGGTCAAACAAACATGGATATGGTACTGAAAATCCTGAATTATGGGATTGAGAACCCGCGATCAAAGGATTTGGGCATGTCCGTCCTCTGCAAGAAATGGCTGCAGGTTTGTTACAATCCAGACTGCATGAAACTCCCCTCTGATGAAAAACTCATCTAGCCCAAATCAAGTACTCAGCACGTTATGAAATTATCACTTTGTTTAAGATGTAATAACATAAATCACAAGCTGCTTACTTATGCATATTTTTTGCTGGGCAATGTATTTCTCCAACTTCTTCCTGAAGAGAATCTCGCCCCCATACTTCCCCATGGTTCCATTGTCTACCAGGAGGAAGTAGGAATGATTGCTGTTAAGGACGGCTGAATTGGTTTTGGGTGAAGATACACAATGATATGGGACCACAATCTGAAATGAGAAGTCGAAATGTTGTCATCATTATTTTGTCTAAATGACATACCTTGGGGTAAAGGATGTGTTCTTTTTTTATCCTAAAAAAAGGTTTATATATATGTTAATGATATCAAGATCTGATATCTCCTCACAGAAATACATAATTTGGTAAGACAAGGATGCTATTGACTGGTATTTTTTTAAAACTTAATCATTTTTGACAAACGACAGTGAGTATGATGAAGTATGCATGAGTAAATAGAGACAATGGCTGTTGACGTCATCATGCCTTATATATCAAACATTATCCAAAATGGTGCCATTGAAAAATAACAAGTCCCCAAAATCGAAAAATGCATAACTTATCCACGGAAGTTGATATAACAGATGTGTCTTTGATTGGTTAGACTACATAAACAATTGTGGACTGTTTGCACTTGGTGGTGATCAATTAGTTCAATTTGACTGAATTCTAATTCAATCTAAATATATTTACCTAATTGAAATATAAAATCCCTAAACCACAATTTATCAAGCAGAGAAAATTGACAAATACTTCTCCTTGAAGGTAGGAATTAATTCACATTAAAGCGGAATCTGTGCTGTAAATCTTCTGCAACAGGAGATTTTAGACATAAGGATAAGCATCGGCCGGAACAATATGCACCGTGTATTTTTGCTGTCTGCTTTTCTCAGACTCAAAGTGATCAATAGCACAATAAAGTCAAGGAAAAGGCAAGGCAACATTGATTTTATTGCGCCAAAATATAATTCTACTGACTCTGAAGTATCAAGAAGGTGGAAAGTCTCAAACCTTTGATCTCACAACTTGGAAAAAGATTGGCTTCTCAAAGTATGATTGATAATGGTATAGGCATTCTTGTTTTTCAAAAGATTTCTCAAAAGAATAATTCCTCCAGTCAAGCTGTAATTGATAGAGGATGATTTTTTAGAAAAATTAATATTTCAGGGAAACCCATTGGAGTCATCAATGTAGAGTTCCAGCACATTGTCACATACAGAATACTACTTTTGAAACTAGACAACACTTGATCTGGTAAAAGCAGTAATGTTGATGATGATGCTACAAACAAAAAGTTAACCTTTTTAATTTGTCAGATTTGTTTGGGTATTGGAAACAACAGCTCCAGTTTCACGGATCATTGTGAGAATAAAAACATCCATGTAAATACGAGGGCTGGATGAAAAGTTCTGAGCCTAACTATGAAGGATGGTGAGTACACACTTAACAGTTTTCATGAATTAAGTTGAATAATTTCCATGCTTACAACTGCATTTGAATCAAATAAACAACCAGGTAGACATAAACATAAGGTTGCGTTTTTCAATAATAAGCTGCCCTGATGCATGTGGAGACCTGTAAGAGATGATGCTCTTTTTCATGCCACTGTTAAGCAGTTGGCAGCAGAGTTCAAGAGGGGGAACGACAGCCTTGAAGACGATCCGAGATCAGGAAGACCCCTTCAACTGCAGCCACTAAGGAAAATGTTAATAAAATACATGACATGATTGTGGATGATCACGAGTCACCACACGTCACATAGCCAATACAGTAGGCATTTCTCATAAAAGTGTTGACAAAGGATTCAGGATGCTGGTTCCAAGGCTTCTAATGACTGATTAGAAACCCTCCAGCTTCTGCATCTCTTGTGAGCACTTACGCCATTTTGAAGCAGACATAGCTGCAAAGTGATAAAAGTCAAAGCAGTGGAAACGTCCCCTCCGAAGAAGAAGGCAAAGTCTGTTCCCTCATCTGGCAAGGAAATAGCTCAAGGTTTCCTGGGATTCCCAAGGAATCCTTCTGGAGGACTACCTCCTAAAAGGTCAGACCATTAAAAGATACTTGAGAATCTGCTAAGGCAACTGTCTGAGAAGGTAAGGTATGCCGTGGAAAACTCACTAAAGGTTCAAGCAGGACAATGCACCAGTGCAAGTTTATCACCATGGCTGCACTGCATTGCTGAGGCTTTGAACTCATTGAACACTGTCTGCATTCTCCAGCTTTGGCACTGTCACATTTCTACCTCTGACTAAACTTTAAGAAAGAACTGTTTGCCAAGCATTATGCAAATGATGATGATGTCATTTCTGCTGTGGAGTACTTTTTGCACCACCAGGAGAAAGCTTTCTACAATAGTGGGATCCAGGCACTCCAGCATTGTGCAGAAGTGCAGAAGTGCAGAAGTGGATCTTGGGGGAGATTATGTTGAAAAGTAAATAGCAACCAGTTCAATGAAAAAGGTCCATCACAGTTAGGCTCAGAACTTTTCAGCAACCCTTTGTATCTTATCATGTGAAATTACAAATACTAATGGCCACTGATGGAATGAAAGATACACATGATGAAACAAGGTGACACATGACAACACAGGATGACTTACGATGACATCATGACACATGGTGAGACACAGCGAAACATAACAAGTTGACACATGGTCACATATGACCACACAAGGTGACTCTTAACACAGGATGATTGAAGATCACACTTTGGAACACAAGACGATGCATGGTTTCAAAATGGCTTAATCACAAACTAATCCCAGTGTTGCAGAACTGCCAACTCACGTCCCTCCCTATGAGGTCCTCTCTGTTCTCGACAATCCCCCAAGGGGCAATCCCAATGGCCACCACTTTGTTCCTGGCCTTAGTTGTGCGGTCACTGATGGCATCTCCGACATGTCGTGTCACACCTGCAACACGCAGTGACAAACTGAACACATATCGTGACGCTCAATCACCATCACAAACAATTCACAACAGAAAACAATCTCTGATTTAAGTAAGGTTGTCATTTTTATTGAAAATTTGTGGGCTTTTTTTCAGTTTTAGAAATCAGTGACTGTCAACAACATGTAATTTCACAATGACATTTAGAGGAAGAGAAGGGAAGAATTTGACATTCAAACCATGAATAGGAAACTCCTGCTGATTGTATTGATAGCAATATTTCAGCTATTTAATCGAATCTGGGCCTGTCGACTATCGGTGAATGTGATGAGCAGCAATCCACATCATCAGGCACAATGACTGGACTCAACCTGGTCACACTGTGATCACAAAAATCTCACTGTAGTCGGCATTTACCACAAGCATGGACTACTGGGGACCTATACTGAGTGAGTGAGTGAGTACGGTTTTAAGCCATTTTTAGCAATATTTCAGCAATATCACAGCAGGGGACAACAGAAACGGGCTTCACACTTTGTACCCATGAGGGGAATCGAACCCTGGTCTTCGGCATCATGAGCGAATACTTTGACCATTAGGCCACCAAATCGCCCTTCTACTACTTTGGAATTCAATGGTTTTTCATATACATTGGACAGTTTCAAAAATATAAAAAAACAAACCACCAGCATAAATGGTAGAGATGATGTTACCTGTCTGCAGAGTTGAAGCCATCTTGTTTTCATGCAAGCATGCTAAAGATGGTGTCATAGTAAACACAACACAGGATATTCAAGAAGCAAAGTCCGCATGACAACTGATTGCACAGTTTCTTCCGAGATCTAGATTATTTGATTTTGTAAATAAGTACAAGAGACGTCATAGGCTTTAATTTGCTTAGGCCACTGAAGTTGAAAGAAAATTACAGTTGTAAAGATAACCACAGTTGAAGCAACATGCAGTGACGAGAATCAGGGACCTTTAGAAGACGAAATGAAATGAAATAACATTGTAACGGAACTGTGATCAATAGTCCTGTGTAGTACTCCATTGACAAATGTGCCTTTTTTCCAACACCATACAGTGTACATATACCAGAACAGCTGGCAAACCCATTGCAATAATCAACATAAAAGCATCATCAAGGCCAAAATGAGAATATTTGATAAAGCATTCATGGTTTCCTTTAAAGTCAAACATAAACTGTTTATATCCTACATATATATTGGCTGTTCCTCTGACATCTACATTGCAAAATAGGACTAAAAACCCACTCATATGCCTGACTGTTGAAGTCATCTTGGACTTATAATTTCTATCTTGGAGGTTAGAGGTAAAGGATTTGAACTAGTCAAATAATTCCATATTGCAGTATTCATGTAAAACTAGTGTCATGGCCCTGTAGCTCACCTACATTGATCCCAACAATTTAAACAAAGTAAGCTGTCATCATTGGAAGGAAAATGTATGCCAAATTTCAATTTTCTTGGTCAAGCAGTTTCAGAAGAAAATTAATAAAATCTAAATACTTTTTACAATTATATAGTTATCCTGCATTACTCCGTAATGCATCTACTGCTTACCTTATGACAGCAACAGAGCTGTGCGATGGTCCTATGCTGAAGAAGAAAAGTTGTTCTCAAAAAGTCTACCATCTCAAAACAACCTCGCACAGCTGCCAAGTGAGTGAGTGAGTGTATGGTTTTACGCTGCTTTTAGCAATATTCCAGCAATATCACGGTGGGGGACACCAGAAATGAGCTTCACACATGTCGGGAATCAAACCCGGATCTTCGGTGTTACAAGCGAATGCTTTAACCACTAGGCGACCTGACCGCCCCTAGCTGCCAAGTGAAAAACAGAAGTGACGTCACGAATCGTCAACAGCGCCGATCGGTATTACTTGCTCAATCCTGTCTATGGAAAGAAAATGAAAGTTGCATGGAAGTTCAGGTAAAAATCAGTAAGAACAAATCAGCATGCGCTAACGGGCGTGTCAAAACACAAAGTCGGGTAAGACTGGCTCCGGACAGGAGGAATTCATTATTTGCTTAGGGGGTTGGTCACCTGCTGAGCAATAACCATAGAACCCAAACTTCGAATGCCGTGAGGATTGTTCGCTCTCAGAGGATCAAGGTTACTGATCTCGTATGCCTGAAGGATGACTGTGCGTAACCATAGAGATATGATGCTGCAAAAGCCTTTGGTAGTGGACGTCTGGGATACGGGAACAGAACAAACAACTGTTTCCGTGTAACATGCCTAGACATGGAGCATCGGATAAAAATTCTTATTCACTCACAGGGCACAATAAGAGTTTTTCCTTATATTCAACCCCCATAATGATAGAGATTGTTGAAATGGTGAAAGACCAGTCGGGTTGTCCTGTAGCTCACTCTTAGCTATAAAATCCCATCATAACCCAAGGTGAACTACTCCCTGCGTACCACGATTGGAACGGAAACGGATAATAACGAGTGCATGTAACTCGCTAACCCTTCCTGCTGTGGCTCGAGCCAAGAGAAAAATTGTCTTCTTGGTGAGGTTGAAAAAGGGTGGAGGGGCTCGAACGGAGATGCGCACAAACCCTGAAGTACCACATTCAAATCCCAAGCAGGGGACGAAATTTGGCCTTCTGATTCTCAAACCTGAATGAGCGTAGGAGGGCCAAGCGAGCAGATGAAATCTGCCTGATGTTGGGTGTGGCCATTAGCTTTGAGGGTGGATAAGTAGGTTTACTTTGGCAGTGGTAGTGGTAGTGGATTGTTTTCAGCGAGATGTACAAACCACCCCCTCGCTACCACCAGGACGTGACCAAGATCAGAGCGAGGTCCTTGGTTGCCTTTATTTGTTTTTCACCCTGGGAAGTTGTACAGGAGGTGGAATAGCATACACTTTTAACCCTTCCCAGTGGATGCTAAATGGTGGTTCTGATGCATGGCAAAGAGGTCAATATAATGGTTTGACCGAACCACTGATGCACCAGTTGAAAAGCCTCTGGGTGGAGCCTCCACTTCGTGTGAACCACCCTGTCTGGTCTGGATAATGCATCTCCCAGAATGTTCCAACATCCGGGGATAAGCTGGACTATATATTGTAGATGGCGTAGACAGTATTGCAGAAGTCAGTATCCACATATCCACAAGCTGGTACCCAGAATAAACATAGCATCTATGTAAGGTGCTGTAGGCTGTGCGTACATGGGTGAGGCTGCGTGTACATTGGAGATGCAGGCGGGAAAATGGGAGGCACATTAACGAGCTGGCCTTGAGGAGATGCAACTATCATAGATACTCCCAGCAAAGCATTCATCATCGCTGCAATCGGAGTACACCATTAGGTCGAGGTGTCTGAAGGCGTTGACAGGTTAGAAGTGTGCGCCAGCGCTTGCCTGGTAGTAGCGCCGTAATGTGCATGCAAGGGTCATAGCTGGAACCGTCACAGTGGAGGCCAGTGAGGCCTGAAAGTTAGAGACAGGTAAAGAACTTAGTCCAGTGCCTTGGTGCGTGGCGGTGGCAATGAATGTTGATTGTCTCGAGAACAGTACGTAACATTCAACCCGAAGTAGAGGGTTGTGTGGTGATAATGTAGGGATTGATGGCATGAAAATTGCTGTGAGTCCGACATCCTTCTAGCGTGATGACTTTTTACCACGACAGTTAATGCAACGCACAAGCATAAATTACGCATGAAAATTGAAGTTGTATTGTAAAAGCAGACTTGCAACATGATAAATAAACCAAGGTTTAAATCGGAAAAACAGAGTTTATTTTGTTAAATAACAAGCGTATTAACTCATTGGAAGGCCACTAGCAGCTAAAAGTATTTATAATATATATACAATACAATACCTAGCCAGGAATTGAAAACTGTAATGACTGCCTTGAATCTCTAAGAAATGTAACGTGGAAGCAAAGTGCAAACCACAAATCTGAGGACCAAAGGAAGACAACATGTCTGTCTGGTGACAAGCAGAAATGTGAAGATACGTGACGTCACTTCCATTGATCACGTGGCAGCTGTGCGAGGTTGGTCTTCAGACAGTAGACTTGTTGAGAACAACTTTTCTTCTTCAGCCTAGGACCATCCCATATCTCTGTTTCTGTCATAAGGTAAGCAGTAAATGCATTAAGGAGTAATGCAGGATAAGTAAAAAATTATTGTTATTAATCCTAGACTGCATTTTCAAATTTAAGCGAAGGTAAAGGTCCAATGAAGGTCAATATTAATTGTTGGAACATTTAAGGATATTATATTATACTTCACATCTTAAAAAACAGACATAGTGAAGGTCCTTAATAGATGTTTCAATATGGCAGCTATTGAACGAATCTATGTGTTATCATTGGAGGAAACAAATTTCAGATTCATTAGTTTACTGGTTTCTGGGGAGACGATGTTTACGGATGTGGATGCCAGACAAGACCACTTGACCTTCAGTCAGGTGAGCCCAAAAAAATCATAAAAAACTTGAGGAAACATCTACATTTTCAAATCTACAATCATGAGAAAATGTTTCATAGCAACCTATTGGCATGCTAACATTATGTGAATACATATTTCTAACAAAATGCTAAAACAATTCTACACTATACAACCCTAAATCTCCCAGCGTATGTGAAACCATGAAGAGCATTCCACTGCGCTATAATAGCTAACATAATTAAATAAAACTGAGTGAAGACCAATACAAAGCTGGAAGCTAGATATGTACCAGGGGAAACAGGATCTAGGGTAGGTACTGATCAGTGAAACAGGATCCTCCGTCACGACTGTGACTTACTGCTACAAAGTGAGAATTACATACCTGGGAGCACAGCTGAACCAATGTCTATTACAGGAAAGTATTAACAAGCATTCAGTATAACTGATGAACACGGCATGTGTGGGAAAAGAAGTTGCTTCAGGTTTTTCAGTGTTATGCTGTCCAAAGTCATAGAAATATATTGCAGTTTAGGTTCTGCACATTTTGCAAAAGCAATTTTGACATTGAACAGATTGTTATTGACAATACAGGATCTATGTCATATTCCCATGTGACAGAAAAATGTTGCCTACCCTAGATAACTGAAAGAAAATTTCAAAAATAAATAACATGATCCCCTTAAGCAAAGTTAATTATTCAGCAATAAAGTAAAAATCAGCTGCCTAAGTTTGGCAAAGCAAGTTTTGTAAAAGTCGTGCACATAAGGAAAGTTGATAGCTTCACTTAATTCATCCCAAAAATTAAAAGAGGATAATCAGTTTGCAGAGGTGACACAAACATCAGGATCTTCCTGTAGTTACCTGTATTTGTTCCACCTGTGACTATCCATGCTCCGGTTGTCTTTGCAGCCTTGAGGAGGCCCTTGCGGAACACTCGCTTCAGCTTGGGTTGGAGGTCAAAGTTGAGGATGCCACCATGTACAGTGATGAGCAACTTGGGTAAGTCAAGGCCCCAATGTTTTTGCAGGAGATGGAGAACCTGCTCAGGGCGTGTGTCAAAGCTGCTCAATCTGACATACTGCAAATTAACATTAAAGAGATGTAAAATTGGGCTTTGAAATCTTCATTGAAACACAATGTTGTCAGTTCCAGGCTGTCATTCTGAATCTGATATGTATCAAGTAAACACTCCTAATATAAGCAGCCAGATGGATAGGCAGTTTTGAGCACCTGACGTACCAGAACTCTTGCAACAGCAAAATTCATCCTGGAATAGTGGCAGGATTCTGACTTACATGAGAAGATGACTGATGATACAGCAGGAATGTAGTGTGTATGGTGTAGGACTAGACACAAGTGGCCATTGTAAAACTGAATAGTGCTTTGTCTTTTGGGAGGACTACAGACACAAGCGGCCTTTTTAACACTTAATAATGATTTGTCTTTTGGAAGGACTACTGACACAAGCGGCCATTATAACACGGAATAATGATTTGTCTTTTGGGAGGACTACGGACACAAACGGCCAATATAACACTGGATAATGATTTGTCTTTTCGAAGTACTACAAACACAAGCGGCCATTTTAACACTGAATAAATGATTTGACTTTTGGAAGGACTACTGATACAAACGGCCATTTTAACACTGAATAAAGATTTGTCTTTTGGAAGGACTACTGACACAAGCGGCCATTATAGTACTTAATAATGATTTGTCTTTTGGGATGACTACAGACAAACAAGCGGCCATTTCAACACTGAATAATGATTTGTCTTTTGGAAGTACTACAGACGCAAGCAGCCATTTTAACACTGAATAATGATTTGTCTTTTGGAAGTACTACAGACGCAAGCAGCCATTTTAACACTGAATAATGATTTGTCTTTTGGAAGTACTACAGACGCAAGCAGCAATTTTAACACTGAATGTTTGTCTTTTGATAGGACTACTGACACAAGTGGCCATTTTAATACTGAATGTTTGTCTTTTGGAAGGACTACAGACACAAGCAGCCATTTGAACACTGAATAATGATTTGTCTCTTGGAAGGACTACAAACACAAGCTGCCTCAGTCCAGTCAGACCACCTCAGGGGTCGGGTCCTCAGGTCCTTGTTTCGCATATTGACCTCATCAAGAGTAATTACTTGTATATTAATTACAGTTGGACAGTTACCAACATGTGCTTACACTTCTGCTTGTGTGGAGTCATGCGAGTCATTCTTGTTGACTGAGGATTGTCAGTTATCACCACAGATTAAACCTCCAAGGGGATTTGTTATTGAGGAGGAAGAACTTGTTTGGACTTTCATATATGATTAGGTGTTCACTTGGAAGTAACATAGAGTTTTCATCTAGTATAGAAAGAATACGTTCTGGTAGCCGTGTCCAAATGACATTATTCACTTTATGTAATTACCTTACTTACCCACACACTCCCAGGATGCCTGTTGGGTTCAGTACGGAATGTATAATTATTCTTGACTCATACAAACATTCCATAAAGTTGTTAATGCAATCAAGTGACAAAGATGACCTGCTTCTTAAATTTCTGAACTTTTTTCTTAAACCAAAACCAACCGTCAATTGTATCTAAGTGAATTCTTTCTCAACTATCCCTGTGGTGTAAATCTACATACACATAGATCAAAAACAATTTCCCAGGACAGTCTTCCTAATTCCATTTCCTTAATCTAACTGCCTGTTTCAAAGTAGCTAAACAATTTCTAGGAAACACTCATAATGACAGCACAAAGGGGCAATCTCAATTTGCACTAGTTGTCTGTACAATAGTCTCGCTCTCTATTCCCTTAGGGTGTTAAGAATACCAATCAGCATTCAACTATCCCCTCGCAACAACTATGCCTACACATCATGCATTCCTCTTGCATAAATCTTTTCTGTCCAGCATCAGTTTATCCACAAATTTAATTAGTATGTTATTGCTCTAATATGAGATCATGCTGAAATGTTTGCATTAGCCTACACTGCCATCGGAAGCAGTACAGATTACCTACTGTTCCAAGGTTTCAATTTTGACAGTAGTTGTAGAACATATGTCCACATAGACCCTTTGCTTTGCCACAGTCATACACATTAAGTTCAATTCATAATCCAATAAGCTGTGTTTGTCTCTGATGTGTTTGAGTTTCCCTTATAAAATAGCCAATTGCTTCTCTTTATTTGCTTATTAATTTTTTTAAGCAGTCTGAGGAAAGATGAGAGTTTTTCGCAAAACAACTTTTAGTGATTTACACTCTGTAAACTGTCAATAGTGTACATCCTATTACCGGATCCGTTATCTAAACACTATTAACTCGTTACCCATAGAACAGATCAATTTTGTTAAAAGATCAATTATTGCTGTTGTTTTAATGTTACTACTGACCAAATTTTGTTATTCCATTGTCCATACCTTAACTCCTCTTATGTTTATAATGACAAATAGTAGTGTTTGAATTAATTTCCGAACAATATCTGAGTACTACACAAAACATACGAACGAACATAATTTGTCAAGTCCCCAAAATCATTTCAAACTGTCACAGGAATTTCTAATCCCCTGTTCAAACATAGTCTATGATTTATATGTTCTTGTATCTGGAAGAAATTAAAATTGTTTTTCCTAATTTTGGGGAGAAGGGGTTTGCTGGTGTTAACACCGTCATTCAAAAAGTCAGTAATCTATCCATACATGCTTAGTTCTTCATGGGCAAATTCCAGATTCAAGTCCAAAGTTAACTTGCATGATATCTACTGAAAATTGGAATCATTTCTTAAGATGAACAACTGACTCGCCTTTGCATGTGTTTGTGATAGGGGCCAGTGGTGCGGCAGGATACGCTCACCTTTTCGTGTACACCTGGTATCATCACTATTTGATAGTGATTCCTGAACACCTGCTTATGATATAGTTGGAATTATACAATGGACTTTGCTTTCAGCAGAGATTGCTTATAGTTACGGAATGGTCTTGTCGCTTCTATATTCAAGTATAAATTGTGCTACAATGTATATCATACTAATTTGGACAAGATAAGACAGTTACTGTAAGTCCAAATGGTGTATAATGCCACGTTCAAGATTATTATGTTTTCCACAAAAGGCGACTATGCTTGTCCTAAGAGGCGACTAACGGGATCGAGTGGTCAGGCTTGCTGACTTGGTTGATGCATGTCATCCTATCCCTCATGATGTCAATCACTGGACTGTCTAGTCCAGACTCAATTATTTACAGACTGCCGTCATATAGCTGGAATATTGCTGAGTTAAACAAAAAATAAGACAGATCATAGTGTTTGAAGTGTTCACATAAAAAACATGCTCCCATTCCCATGTTCCTTTACTTATTTCCATCAGAATGAAGGATGATGACAAATACTTCTCCCAAAGCAAAAAAGTAAAGAAACTACTTTGTCTCAAAATAATGCCGTCATTCAAATTCTTGACATGACTTCACTGAGATAATCCAATTTATCACAGAAAGATTTTTTTCTTTCTTTCCAACAAAGTCAAGGAACATGAATGAAATGTTTTCTGACTGACAGAATTTAGTCTTTGTCAATGTATGAACATTTTCAACAGGTTCAAAATACTTAACACATCTTAAAAACATATCTGTTAAAACACTTTTAATTTGTTTATGATCATCAAAACCATGACAGGCAACCCACAGGAGGTGATGCAGGACATTCCTGTGCTTGACTCCATCGCTTCCCCAGTGAGGAATTGTTGACTTATTGGTCAAAGTCTCCAGGTTCTTCCATAATTCTGGGTTAGGGCTCATGAGCAGCTTTTGTCTTGCCTAGACCTGGACAACTGCTCAGTTAGGATTCAGACACAATTCAGTAGTATATGGGAAGCTTGCATGTTTCTCCTCAGACAGAAAAACATGCAGCTAGACTGAAACATAGGAAGTTAACCCCACCAGAGCTGACTCACAGGGACCAAAACACACTTGAGAGCTTCACTGAAACATAGCAAGATGACCGTTTTAGAGCTAAGCCACAGGGACCAAAACACACTTGAGAGCTTCACTGAAACATAGCAAGATGACCGTTTTAGAGCTAAGCCACAGGGACCAAAACACACTTGAGAGCTACACTGAAACATGGCAAGATGACAGTTTTAGGTCCAACCCAAAGGGACAAAAACACACTTGAGAGCTACACTGAAACATAGCAAGATGACCGTTTTAGAGCTAAGCCACAGGGACCAAAACACACTTGAGAGCTACACTGAAACATGGCAAGATGACTGTTTTAGAGCTAAGCCACAGGGACCAAAACACACTTGAGAGCTACACTGAAACACAGCAAGATGACCCTATCAGAGGTCATTTGCATGTACCAAAACACACTTGAAAGCTACACTGAAACATGTCAAGATGACTGTTTTAGATCTAACCCACAAGGACCAAAACACACTTGAGAGCTACACTGAAACATAGCAAGATGACCGTTTTAGATCTAACCCACAGGGACCAAAACACACTTGAGAGCTACACTGAAACATAGCAAGATGACCGTTTTAGAGCTAACCCACAGGGACAAAAAATTACTTATCCTTATCCAAATTTATGATGAAATACTTGTATAAATATTCTTCTGAAAAAACTTAACAAATGTCAAGAATAACAGAAAATAACATGGAAATCAAAGGGTAATGACCTGTACATGTGGCATCTCTATAACCATCTACCCAAACACCACGTTGTGGGGGGCCCCAGGTCCATCTCAGTACCCTGCAGTAGTAAACAAAGTCATTTCTCACATAGAAAGATGCTTGAAAATGTGTTGCTAAATTAGTCTGACATTTAATCATGAAAAGGGAAATGTCATTCTGGGGAATGATATATATTGGCAATTTCACAGATGAATAAATGTAATCCAGTCTGTGGTAAAATACTCATAATAAAATACCTCTAATAGGTCAAGCCTGAAATGGGTCAAACACGTAAAAACACAATTTTTCCACATTCGAGGATGTCAAAACAATCGTTGTAAGTGAGGTAAATTCAATTTGTTCCAGCATTGCTTTCATGTCTTTTAATAAAGAGTGACATAAGCTTTTATCTTGAAGTCAACATCAGAACTGACAGAAAGGATTCCATTAAAAATAAATCACAGCATTCCAGAAAGTACAAACTGACACACACAATTACATACACGCCCAACAGCTGCAATCCGTGTATCTACATAATACAATGATGTACACACTCTCAAGGACCTGTGTCCAGGAGGATGTGTACAGCCAAGAATAGTCTCTCTTCCTGGACAGGGCCCATTCATCACTGATTACTCCCACAAAATGCAGCCAGGAACATCATCCAGGGCAATAATCTTTAGGATAAAAATTAGTGTCCCTCCAATCAAGGGGTACTGGGCTTGGATTGTGACCCATAAATGTGGTGTAACCATGTACCCCCCAGGAGCTATCATAATGAGCCAGGTCAACCCTCTATGTCAGTAATAATATAGACCACTTCCAGCGATGTCCACCAGCGACCCATCAGTCAACATCAGATTAATCCACAGTGACAGGCAAGTCAATATAGGCGTCAAATGAAATCAGTATACTTCAGTCATGACAAGCTAATATTCGGCAAGACCAGAAAATAACTCTAGTGGGGATTTACACGTCTGATCGGGCAGCCATTGCTCATATTTTCTGTGTTGGCCATCTCATTATTGCAATGAAGATACTGATGAGAATGTGTGTGCAAATTACAGGAGCTGTTCAGAGGAAAAGGTAATGGTTTCTATCACTGACTTCGTCCTGGTCTCCTGGGGCACACAAATGGCACCAGATCGATTCAGTCAAGGAGAAACAAAATAAATTTCATTTAAATGTTGGATGATTGAATATGCCCTACGTCTACTTATAGTAATTCTGACAAGATCTCAATTCTTTACATCGTTTTGTGAATGAAAGTATTTTTTCTTTGATCGTTCAAATATAAAATTTCAGCAGAAGTCGAACTCTTCACAGTATGAAGCTGTTCAAATGTCTTAAAAATGGATATTATGCATTGATGATGGTTCCAGGAGAAATGTTGTCCCTTCCAAATAAAATTTACAGCTTTCTAGTGCTGGAATTATATGTTACATGAGTGAAAGTTTCCAACTCAGTTAATGAAATCCATGGGAAAATCTCTTCACGTTATGCAATAACTGGTTTACTGCAGCAAATCAGAAAGTTTGTTACAATGACATATTGACCAACAGAAACAAATTATTTCTGGTGTTCTCATCTATTTGTCAGTAAACATTTCAGAGAAGATGGATAACATTTGTGTGACAGTTATGCTCAGTATTTTACATTTGAAAACATAGGCAAATGAATTGAAATAATCTGAGATAATGCCTTTATGACATGGTGTTCTAACACACATTTGAATGAAGGAAAACTTGAATTGGTTAAATGTCATAGAATTGAACAGACTTTACGAAATAGCGTAGTACCTAGTTTCCCTAGCCTTCACCTATTATCAGACATACTGGTTTAGGTTTGCATTCCCAAAGCCAGTGTATCATATCTGGTCAAACCTTCCCCAGTATCTCAAAATGTCTACTGTTAGCAACTCATCCAGTGCTAGAGGAATATTTTACCATCCCTCTTGATGTCATCTACAGATATGGTGAAAAGAACATATGGATGCCCCCACTGTTGTCAACTGGTGTGACTGGTCCCTACCCAATTACTTAGCATATATATATACCCCTGCAATACTGGATGACTGCCATTCCCATGAACCCAGATGTTAAAAACATACAGGGAAACCTCCTACACGGAATATCTTGATTGCATATTGTTGAACACATTACACTACTCTGAGGCGGTGCTCCTAGCAATAAACACTGCTTGTCAATACAATAATTTATCATTGGGAGACATCTTTGTAGTCATTGTTGACCTATTGCTCTGGGTAAATAGACAGTTTAGCAACCTAATAAGTGATCAATGACCGGGATTACAAACTGATAGTGTTGTAACACAAATACAAAAGACATCTGTAAGAGTATAATGGCCTCTAACTGCTCGGTCAGCAGTAATCATGTTACACACAAAATCAATTCACTGATGACTAGCCTCCATTGGGGTCCTGAAATAAACATACTGTCATGCCAGAGAATATATAAATGAAATCACTTCTTTCATTTACAATTCAATCCCGTAATATATCTAGCAAAAGGATATATATATTGAAATCCTATGAATAATCAATACAGCAAGCTAGATTCATGCCTATAACTGATATTCCTGTAAAACTATCACTTAACTAATTCCATGAACTGCCTCCATGAATTCCCAGTTACAGGGCCAAGTTGAGCTCAATGGGATTCAAGTTCCCCCTCAAGAAATAGTGTAACCAAAAAGGAAGATTGCTTCATCTTGGAATGTTTGCTTTTCAAGTAAAGTTTATTTGCATTTGCTTCAGATATTTCTCATGTGTTTATCTAAGGTTACAAGGATTTCAATCGATAGTTTTATTGGTGGTGCTGATTCTATAACTGTCTTATCTTGAACAAGTTTGCCCAAATTAATGTTAATCCTGCATCTATCATCACTGCTCCCTGCAACTCTCTGAACAGACATCTCACAGCACGGTACTGACAATACATTAGTGATCTTTTCAACTGGTCTTCTTTCACTAATCTGCTAGATGAGCTGGCCAGCTGGCCCAACCTGAAACTGCTATATGTAGCAAGTGCATGCATCATGTGAACTTGTCATGTGGTGAACTGTACATTGCATGATACAGTACCACTTACAGACAGTTCACCAAGGGCATCTTCACCTTCATCTGTTAAGTTCTCGCTTGTGTATTGACAATAAATCTTTTCGACTAAACAATGATATATCTATTGTCCTGAAACATATGTTCTGTGATGCAGTGATATATAAAAAATATTCAACTGTTCAATATCGTAATATTGAACCACTTGATGGTCATCTGAAGCCGATCTTCCTTCGAGATCAATCAGGTGATGTTTTGCAATTGGTATTTAAAGTGGTAGCCATCATGTCTGACTTCCACAGCTACTGACAAGTAATGCTAATTGAATGCATGATTTCTAATGTTCAAAATTCATAGTTGCTGTGAAACAGCTGGAAATTATTAAAATCCATAATGGTATTTGTAATATTGGCGTATGAGAAGGTGGTATGGATGGTTGGCAGGCAAAAATTACCAATTACTATGATAATATCTCAATTACAATCAGAGAATGATCAGATGATTACAATAGATAAAGCTCATAATAAAATTTACTCAGGCTTTTTTTTATCCCAAATTCTAAAAAACCCAGTACACAACACAAATGAAAAGCCATCTACATCAAACTGTTATTAATTTTACTTTGATATCTTAGTATAAGTGTCCAGTTAGATCTGCATGGAATGTTATTTGGGATAAATTTAAGTTATGAAAAAAATGTATTTTAATTCAACCACATTCTAAATGAAATGGGAACATTGTATATATCCTTTATTTAAAGTCTCAATAAAAAAGATATTCTTTTACCTTAGCAGTGTCCAGCTGTAATTGTGAGATTGTGCAGCCCTCTGGGTAGCATAGTTTAAAGTATAGAAAAGGTCAGTGAATTCCACAGTGTATTGCACACTGTTGAATGTGTTGTGTTGTCATTCATTGTAGCTTTTGGGAACAGTAGAAAAACAATTTGTCTCACAAATAGATCTTAATACTAAATTTGTCTTGAGGATTACTTAGATTAACTAGAAAAGTGTGTGCAAGTACTTGTGAAACCAGAGGGAGCCCCATCATGACAATTTCTAGAAGGCCTCAGAAACACACGGCCACACATGTCCAGTGTGATGCCATTACCTTTGATGAGATACACAGCAGATTGAAGCACCTTTCCTCCAGCTAACAAAATGAGGCACCTGAAGGCATCTAAACCTCAGTGCCAAAACAACCTCCCTCATGGCATCATTTCTGGTATGGGGAACACATGTCCCAATGCATTATAATTCAAATCCAGAAAGTCCTATATCTCTATTTCCTTCACCAGAAAGTTAAACACAGCTCTGGTTGAAATATATCACTTCCACTTGGGAAATAAACATGTCATATGCAATGCAATTGTAAGTCCTATGTCCCATTACTGACGTAACATAGCTGTCAACCCCTAGATGTCTAAATGCGCGAGAAGCCAGCTTCCAGGGACTGCAAGCCCCGCTGGGTCCAGAGCTAAGCTGGTAAGCGAAAACTGGTTTTGAATGATTTTAAGACCATTTTAATGGCCTTAGAGAGCATGTATTCTGAAAAATTATATTTTTATCTACATTTTATATGAATGCGGGAGAAATTCCCAACCTTGCATGTGAGCGTGATAAATGCGGGATGATTCATTATTGATCAAGCTACCTCAAATGTTCATTTCTTGACTACCCGTCATCTTTCTTGGTTGCTTGCACAATACACCACCAACATACCCTGTTCATTGTCATGTTACACCAAGTCCTCCTTTTGCTTATCCATCCATTACCATAACTCAATACCTCTTTGTATTTCAGTAATCATCTCCTATTTTCAAACATCTCCTTTTTAATGGAGAACATGATCCTGAGGATAGAAGCAATTGAAAAAACAGAGTATCTTGAAATCCAAAAATGATTGCAACAGAGCTTCCAAAATATGTAAGAAATTAACTAACATCGACAGATACGAGAAAAAATTAAATAATGTACATGAAAAAGGGACTGATATACATTGAAATACTGTATACATCTTATGAACTTGCAGTTCATTATTATCCAGTATCATGCAGAATGCCTCTTTGTAGTGTATGTCTTTTACTTTGTGTGTTTCCCTTAACTATTATCAGTATTAACAACTAAATAAATATGCTACTGCAATAAAATCTGTCAACAACATCATAGCCCAAATACTAAAACCAAACTATAGCCCTTGCAGCTTTAGCCTTGATTGCAACAAAAAACAGTGAAATATTCCACATTCTTTCCTGTATTGCCTTACACAAAACCCCGAGCAAAACGACAGTATGAGCTTCACACACCTGTGCCTTGCTGGGATGGGGTGCCCCTTGGAACTCGATGGTGCCATATGCATCAGTTGGTCTTGGTTCTGAGTGCTTGATAGGGTGCCATCGCTCATCATGCTTTGGAGTGTCATCTTCAGGGGGTCGAGGCAGGTTCCCATGCCATGCCTCCCCACGCCCACAGCAGCATCTGCAAGCATGAACATTTTATCAGCACCCACAAGCACTTCATCATTCTCTGAACTCCATAGAGTGTCTGTAACATGAAAGACCCCAATTTTAACAAACTCAAAAATGGTTCTAAAGTAGCATAATGATTCCCCAATGAACAAAAAGTGCATTTTCCCTCTAATGATCCACATGTCAAACAGCCTCATTTGGGTATATTTCAGCAGTATTCTGTTCCTTGGCATGATGTCACGCTATATGGCATGGATGCTATCTGACCTCATTTACTTAGTCAACTCAGTACAATCAATAGCAACATGCTGTAAAAAAAATAAAGCCCTCTTGTTGGAGCGGAAACATTTAACGGTTCAACTGGAACATTTACTAATACAATCGAGCATGCTCTTTCTACAAAAATCTCAAAGAGTGTCGTATGAATCTTGCTTAAAAGTTGTTTGATCAGGGTAATAACACTCAAGGCCTAAGTGAAGCTTTTAAAACATTTTAGGGTAGACATGTGGAGGACATTTCCAAATTTGACTCATCAGTGAGAGAAATGATGTCCGATGCAATTCCTTGTTTTGACTTGTACATATAAAATGCTCCCATGTTTTTGTAGATGAACAATTAACTTGCCTTTGTATGTGTCTGTGATGGGGCAGGGTAGGCTCACCTTTTAGCAAGCACCTACTTGATAGTTATTCATAAAGACATGATATAGATGGAATCGTACAATGATTTCTTATGTTTGTTTGTTTGTTGTTTTGCCGCACCCAGTAATATTCCAGCTATATGATGGCAGGTGCAAATAATCGAGTCTGGACCAGACAATCCAGTGATTAATATCATGAGCATCAATCCACGCAATTGGGATTCGATGACATGCATCAACCAAGTCAGCAAGTCTGACCATCCGATCCCGTTAGTCGCCTCTTATGACAAGCATTGTCGCTTTTCACAGCAAGCATGGGTTGCTGAAGACCTATTATTCTACCCCGGATCTTCACGGGTCTGATTTCTTATGAATATGGAAAGTGTTTTGAATATTTATATTTATTTATTCAAACATACAAATACCTCACAGTTCGATTTGTGCGATGGATAAAAAAACAAACCAGTTGACATCCCTACAGGTGAGGTGAAATTGGGTTTAACGTCGCGTCCAAGATTATTGCACTTATATAGCGACGTGCATGCACGTGTGTGTGTGTGTGTGTGTGTGTGTGCGTGTGCGTGCGTGCGTGCGTGCGTGCGTGCGTGCGTGTGTGTGGCTGCTTGTACTAGTCCGGACTGATACCGATTTATAGTGCTAGCTCACTGAGATACCATGTCGCAGTTTAACATGAATACCCCACTCAGACACAGTATACTGACTCCGAGCTGACCAGTCCTTGTTTTAGCCCCTTAATGTCGAGCGCCAGACACAGTAACAACAAGTACCATCTTTAAACGTCTTTTGGTATGACGCGGCCGGGGATCGAACCCCGGACCTTCCGCTCTCCGGGCGGACGCTCTACCACTAGACCACGGAGGCGGTCTTGCCCTACAGCATAAAATATGGGTCTTGCCGATACAGTGTCCAAAACACACTTATCATCTTTCATTTAACGATCCCCAAAAGCGCTTGTACAGTGATCAGAGATACTAAACAGATACCTTAATGTGGATGATGGTTTCAGATAATCAAATCTGTTGATTATGTCAGAGTACAGACAACCGAATTTAGGCCCAAACTTTAACATTCAAATTAGTGTAAACGTCTGTCGAATTAGGTTAATTAGATCTTAAATGCGCAAAGTGATCTTATAGATACCTATCAGAAAGTAATCACAAATTCAATATTTGATCTAAGAATTAAGGTCAAAGGGTTACCTAAATTATCTGGATAGTTTATATAATGTCTTGGTATCAAGACTGAAAGGTTGGCCATGGTATTTATTTTTCATAGTTTAATGGTCAATAGCTTTTGTTTCCCATTCTATGTGGTTTCTGTAATATAGAAAATGCCTAATCTTCGACAATCCAGTGTATAATATCTCAATTCTAATATCAGAAATACCCCATCTTCCCAAAGCAAGAGTCCAATTTCCATCCTTGCGCCAAACTAGGCTGGAATTACGAAGTTATATTTTGGCTGGACTAACAAGTCTACGCAAAAGTCCAATCAAAAGCACTTAACAAAATCAAATTCCAGGTTGTAAACTTTGATAAATAGGCCCACGTGTATCGTGTATCGTATCGTGGGTCAAGTATGACGATGCATCGGAATATTGGTGTAACTAAAACTTCCATCAGTGTCCATCAGTCATGGTCTTACGGACTGATTTCTTGGTAAGTCAAAGAGGTTTGTAAATTACTTTTCTTTCTGAGCTTTTTTTTCATTCCTTAGTTTTACTTTACTGAGTAGTCGAAACACTTCGTGAGATTGCGTGACCTCAGACTTAATGATTTTTTAACCCATGTGCAATGATTAATATCATGATCAACGATAAACGCTGATAACGTCTGACCATCCGATCCTTTAGACGCTTGTAATGACAAGCATATGTTGCCGGGTAGCTATTCTTACCAGGAATCCTACGTACATGATGGAACAAGCAAGGAATCTCTCATAATGATAAGCAAGATGCCTTGCATCATCTCAGTAATGGATGCTCAAGTCCACCTGAATGATAACAGTGTCACACCTATCCATGTCACTGTGAACTGTTCAAAAACTATAACTATTTATTAATTTTACCAACAAATATCCAAGCACAACAAGCAAGCTTAAATAATGTATATAGGTTTGAAATAGCATAAAACTCAACAATGCAAAACTGTCACTAATGAGTATCTTATTGCCAAGCGACAACTGTGTATGGTCTGTTTGTACACTCAACAGGAAGTAGTCGGGGATCCACAGGCTATTGCTAATGACTGTGCAATTCTCAAGGATAAATCTTTCAATCAAATTTAAAGAAAACTGATTGAACTCTCAATGGTTGTCATCATCAGATGCCTCTTAACTCATGTTTGTCCAGTGCAGGAAACTTGCACGGATGTGTAAGATATTGGTCAATTTTCTAGCAGGGTGTGGTGTTCTTTCCTTTTGTAGCTCAGCATCCAAAAAACAAAGGTGATCACAATTCTATGAGCTGACTGAATAACTTCGTCTTTGATAATTTGCAGACAAAGAATATCAATCAATGTTTTGTAGTAAACATTATACCATGATAATACAGTCTGACTATCAATTTGAAAATCTTGATCATTTCATGATTCTTTCATGTATTGTTATTTTACCATCTATAATAGCAATTCCAAATACACATTCTGTTTTGCCCAAACAGGCGTCTTGATAACTTATTATTTCCAGCTACCAAGTTCTATTTCTGGAATTTTTGATCATAAGACAACAGTCCTTCAAACAGAACCTCACCTTGTGAGAGTAACAATATATTAATTAGCTTTCCAAATACCATATTGTGCCTAATCTAGTACAAAACAACTGCAGCAGTGCTAATTAAGCCTATTCAAACTCATGCCATTTTCATTTCTACAACATCAACCTTGCCAACGCCTGAGATTCTTACATACAGAATTAATTTTCCTCATCCCTAATACCAAATAAAGAGATCATTCAGACGAACATCAGACAAAAGTGTGATTGATTCTTTAAATAGCCATCTTCCCGATACTGTTGGTAGATGCTGACAGGGGGAGAAATCATGCAAAGAGGTGACAATACAACAGGGCCCTATATAAATTATGAAGACTCATAATGTTTGTCTTGATGATGAGACGTTTGATAACTGTCCCATTAACCCCACATTTCTTTACAGTTTCTGCTATCAATATTGATTTTATTTGCCTAACTTCAGCTGCAGCCCTCATTCAACAAACCTGAGATTCAATTATCACGTGATGAGCATTTCATTACTTAGAACGCACTGGGCAAATCCAAAATGCAATAATATCCCAAAATTTTAGACAGGAATAGATAGAAAAAAATTCAACTGAAACTCCCATGATTCAGTTTGCAATGATCCATGATTAATTCCGGGAATTTTTCTAATCAAGTCCAGGCCATGTTCTCATGGTGATTTTCCACTACTGCAGTCATCCCTGTCAATTCAATGTAATAACTTATAGATAAATAACATCCTACTACCCACAGGCAATATGTCCAGAGATGAAGACCGTTTTAAACACAAAATGAGTTCTTTGAGCTCTTCTATCCATTATCCATCCCCAGCACATAATAATCATCTAATTTCTTAAAACTCTCACAAGGCTTAATCCTATCAAGCTCATAAAACACATTTATGACAATCCTGTTCTCCTATTATATCAAATCTGATGACACATTAGAAAAATATTTTGACAAAACAGAAATGAGTTATTCAACAAATTTTCAAAGTGCAACATGCAAGACTTGAAGATGTGCTTTCTGAATTATTGATGAAGAATTCTAAACGGAAGGTTTGTTGTACCAACACTGGCAACAGCTTGACAAGGAATTAAATGAGATGTCTACAAAATGTGTTATACTCCACATTATACTTCAAACTGTGTCAAAGACAGTACAGTCAAATCAATATCAATCTGTGCATCAGTGTGTGGAGTGTGTGTGGGTGCAAGGGGCTATGACAGCGCTTCATACAACACCAAGGAACGCATTGTGTTCTTGTAGAGGAAGAATTGCAACATAGAATATTGAGCAATACAGATGTATTAGGCTGGAAATATTATATGTTGAACAATGACTAATTCCTAATTTGAAAACTTTATGATGTATTCTTCTGGAATGCAAGAAATTACAGGTGAAAGGTATAGATTATAGTATCTGAGCGAATAAAACCTTTTGTTCAGTATTCATCAGACCTATACTGTCTGTTAAAGAAGCAGAAATATGTTACCATTATTTCTTTTATAGGTTCCTGAAGTGAAGTGTCACTGAGTTCAATCATTGCATTATAGGTTCCTAAAGTGAAGTGCCAGTGAGTTCAATCATTGCATTATAGGTTCCTGAAGTGAAGT